TGTTATAGGAAATTTTCATTTATATATTATATAGATAATATGGACAATTTTTCCATAACAATTATGACGAGTTTATGTGTTCGAATCACTGGGATTTGAACATAATGGAAAAAGATACTGCAGGTCAAAATTAACTAAGCCATTTATTGACTTAAAACCAATTATATTCTTTTATTTTATGTTTAAAACAGTAAATTTCAGCTGCATTTTTAAGTCTATCATTACAATTATAAACAAGTTTTCCTTCAAGTACTCGTATTCTGTTTACAGATATGCACCAACTATAAATAATTATATTGATGGATATATCAATAAAACATTTCTTTAAATTTTCTGAATGAATTTCACAATCCATAAAAGCAAAATCAATAAAGTACAACCTTTATTGATTTTGCCTTTACGCATTGATGTAACATTTTTTTTGTATAAATTGCCAGAATTGCTTAGTAAATTGTCCTTACATATTTTTGCATCCTTTAAGTACTTTTAATTAACATTTCATCAAGGCTCACCAACAAACTTAATTAGTTTTTGATCTGATTAATAATATTTTGGGCCTCGGAACTAAGAGGTATTCGTGATTAAGAGTGAATGTACACCCTATTTCTTTCTTCAGTCCTTTCATGTATTGCATCCTCGTAAATAGCTTTGCTCTCATTAATGCCGACTTCTGTATTTGCCTAAGACGTGTCTTAAGACTTTTAACTTGCTGGCGCAATCTTCTTATTTCACTTTGTGCCTTTCTTGCTTTTCTTGCACACCATGTTTCACACTTTTTCTGAAGGTACTCTAACTTTTTATCTGAAAGGTGATATCAAAAATTAATACATGTAAACATAATATAGATTTAATGACACAACAATGCTTTTATATATATATATGTATTAACTTCTTTTAAAAAGTAGCTTATGTACCGTTTGTATTGTTGGTTTGGACATAAAGAAGTTGACGGGCTTGCCCACTTTCAAATTGTCCTAAAACATCTGCTGATAGATAGTTCTATTATTGAAGAAAGTTCAAATGTAATGCAGACAAGGCATTTTATGAAATAGTTAACTTGTCACTTATCATATATTTTTATCATCTCTTTTTATATCTTAAGGACAACATGATTTATATCAATACAAAAAAAATTAACATCAAAGTACCTTTATCTGCTTTTACTTCGTAATTATAGTTTGGGTAATATTTCTCTATCATAATTATAAACAATAACCATACTACATAATTATAATCCTTACAAACTTGTATACTTATCATTTGTAAGAAATAATTATAGAAAATTATATTACCTGCATCAGAATTACTTGATGAATTTTGACCATCACTCTTCTCTTCATTTGAAGCTAAAGATACATTTGTTGTAAAACTAGATGGCATTTGAAATTCAGTGGGGCCACCTGGTGACTCTTTACATAGAGAAGGTCCAGGAATGTTTGTTAGCTTAGCCAAAGGTTTAGCTTGTAAAAAATCTCTTCTTGGACCACAGTAACTATGGTCAGTTTCCACAAATGTTCTTAGTGATTGCTGCACACCTGTAAAATAACATTAAAATATTATTGGTTTATTTTATAATATTATTGTAAATACTATCGGTTCACCTGATGTTGTGATAACTACCACCAATGGACATTTGCAACACCTGTAGGGTTGCAAATGCATTGCCACCCTTAAATACCTTTTGTAATGTTGTCATTGTAAAATATAATTACACACAAAACATAATACCAACATTTATATTCTTTTAATGACTAAACTTTTAATGTCAAAATTTTAAATAAATTTTTAAATGTCACAAATTAATAGAAAGTCAGAATTATTTAATACAATATTGATTAAAGTTTTACTTACGATTCAAATTAATGGTTGGTATTGCTGACCAAATAAGGCGACCGCCGGTAGTCTTACACTTTAAATCAAAATGGTTATCACATAATCTTTTATTAGAATATATTTTCTTTGGATCAGTTTCAGTAAGTTTCTCTCCGACTGATGACACCCAAGCAGTGAATAAATCACGACGCTTCTCAGGATTTGGAAATCGGTGTAGGGGTACACCATGTGCAACTTAAATAAGAAACATTTAATTAGTACTAAGAACATAATTATATATTAATGTTTAAATAGGTATTTTGGTAAAAGACTCACCTAAAGCATCACAACCAAAAATACAATATTTTTTCTGAAGTTCCCTCATCTTAACAATACTAGAACAAAGTTAAACTAAATAAATGACCAATCAATAACAACAATATAACAAGAACAAAATTCAAAAAAAGAAGAATATTAACAACAATAACAAGCGGAAAGGTGACGATTTTAACAAAATTTTGAGTTAACCTCAAAACGCATCAAAAACGATCAAGATGAATATTAACATTTTAAATTTTTAATTAACATTTTAAATTTTTAACAATATATACGATTCTCTTTGAATGAAGTTTGACAAGCTCATTGTTGCCAACTACTAAAAAGAAGTGACCCTAAATAACCCTAAACGCAATGTTCAAAAGCCCCAAAAAACCCCGGTATTGAATTCAAAGATATTGTTTAAATTAGTTTTATGTTTTGTTAAGGTAAATATAATTTAACTTAGTTTTAATTACTTTCATTACAAATAGTTGAAATAATTACCAAAAAAAAACATTATTAACAAACATTTCATTAATTTCATTCATTAATAGACATTTTGCGTTTATTTTACTCACTTTCGTCAGTGATAATAGTGATACACGAAATATTATTCATGGCCCTGAACTTTTTTGGACCCTAAAAAGCCCAACATGCATATTTCCGCCCTAAAGGGGCTAAAAGCCCTAAGTTGGCAAGATTGTAAAAGCTAGAAGCTATAGAGAGGACGCTGTAGAACAAAAAAATGACATTCTCGTAATGCTCTAAGAGCCCGCGAACGCCAGACCTTCGTCATTTTATAAGAGCTAAAAGTTTGTCAGCGCACGCTCCCAATATAGGTAAGAACGATGTACCATTATGGAGTTTGGGTTACCTGGGCTCGGGACGCACAAACTAATTAAGTAAAAGAAAAACAAAATCTGTAATAACCTATAAAACTACAACTGACTGATTCATACATTCAGAGACTTTTTTATACGTTGCCACAGCGTCGCATTACAAGCCTGTCCTTCTAACAGTATGTTTTGTCCTTTTTAAATTCATTCAACCCATTCATATGCTTTGTGACCTTTACAAAGAACTTTATGTTACAGGTCTATACGTCAGGGTGTTATAAACTTTTTTGTTTTGGAAATTTTAATAACTCGGTAAATATTGATGTTTAAAGAATGTAAATGTTTAATTCAATTTTAAAAAGTTATCCTCCATATGTGTGTTCATTTATTGTCGCGATTGTATATACACACTGTTTAAACATCCAGACACTAGAAAAACACTATATCATCACACAATATTTTTCCAGTAGTGCGGATCGAACCCACACCCTCTGGCGCAGGAGGCAGGTACACTACCCACTACGCCATTCGGGTCGTCATTCGGTCGATATTATTTTCATTACCGGTCTGGTAGGCCACCAAGCTCTTAGGGCGCTTTGGCGGACGCTCCATGAATTGACTAGGATCAATGGTCCCCCAGAGGGGACATCGGCTTGGGCTGTCCCTCAATTCCCGTTTAGCATTCCGATTCGAGGGTGCCCGAGAAGGCCCGGATCTCGACTCGATCTCGGAATTTCTAGATCTGTCATTACTACCACTTCGGAAAGCTTTGACGCTAGGAGAAGAAGTGGCTGAAAAACTCCAGCAACGCTTCTATCATTCTCTAGGGAAAACCTGCCAGGTATGTGGCGGCGCCTAGTAAGTATGACAGCACCGACTAGAGATGTGTAAGTAATGCCTATTATATCACTCGAGTAATATTAATTAGCAATGTCATAATACTTTTACAAATTTGTTAATGCTTGTTTCCAATTGTTTCCTGATGGTCCAAAGCCTAAGTCCATTCTGTGTCCATAAATGTTGGAAGGTATTTATTACGCTGGTAAGTTACATTTAAATTAAATGTATCGTACAACTCATATTAATTTTTCTAAAATAAATTATAATTTTTTTATGTGCTGTTTTTATCACAGAAATGAAAATACGAAGCCATTTTTTATTTTGATATGACAATTTATTATTAGCTTTCATAACAATAAAAATAGTAAGGAAAAATAAAACTGTTGTTTTAGTAGGAATTTCATAGAAGAATAAATAAAAAATATCATGTATGCAAACGTTTTTATTTAAAGTTGAAAAGTTTCAAAAATACACCAAACACCCGAGGTAAATATCGAATTGGAGGTGCTCGTAATAAAATAATTCGACGAGGGCTACCATAATTCATCTAGATCACAATGATACGAGGACTACGAACGAACGATTCAGAGCGCTCGCGAGGGGCGTGAGGAGCGTTCGCCGGAAGAGTAGATACGACTACGAAAATTATTGTCGGAGAGGGGGGAGGAGTGGCGGCGGTTAAGTGGCACGCGCCTCGTCGGGGGGCTCCGGGCGGGTGCGGTAGCGGGCGGGCGGCGCGCGGGGCGGCGGGCCGCGCAGCGCCAGCGGCTCGCGGCGCGGCTCGGCCGGGGCGGGAGGGGCGGGCGGGCCGCGCGCCGCCGCCGCCGCCAGCGCCTCGCCGCGCTCCAGCGACCACTGGCGGCGCAGCACGCGCGCGCTCCCGGCGAGGCATCTGCGGTGGACGAACCGTTCGCGAGCATTCTGTGCAACGGACACTCATTCATTCGGAAACTCCTAAAATTACCTACCTATATCGAGAGTGAGCGGAGAACGTGAGCCGTGGTGGGCTGCTATCCGCGGACACGGCGCCGGATCGTGCCCAAGCCGCTCGATCCGAGCGCAAGCACACCGCCGCTGCAAACGGAAGCCAAAGTTCGAATACGACATATTACCCGATGGAAAGTAAAACTGAAAGGGCGAGTACGCTCACCGAGGCAGTCGTCATCGGTGTCGGAGGCGGTGCGAGAGCGGGTGCGCGGGCCGCGAGGCGCCGGCTCATCGCTAGAGCGCTCGCTGTCGTTCTCGGCATCGGACTCGAACAGAACCTCCTCGGATCTAAATGAAAATTCTAGGTAAGTTTCATGATGATTTCTTGTATTTACGCGACTACATGTTACTAATTGAAACTATATTTCATACATTTATCGCATTTATTTTTAACTTTAATTCCCGGCGTTTCGAACCCTTTACAGCGTTCAGGATACGGGAAAGACTATAAAGCTTTAGGCGTCTGAATGTCGCTGTTAGTCCGGGCTAACAACAGTTTTTAAATTATTAATTTTTTGTCTAATCCACGAAACAGAAGGTGCTGATTATATCTTGTGTTGCAATAGTGATTCCTTTGAGCCTCGATTTAATTTTATGATGATGCGGATGGTAGAATCCAACCCTTTTCTCGGTTGAAATTAAAATTAAAAAGAAATGTGATAAATACTTTCATTTATAATCCATTCAACAAGTGCTTTTTTCAGCAGGCTCAGAAAAATATATAAAAATGTATTAGTTTTTGGAATAGCTTTATCTTTTTCATTTGGTGAATGAGCAGGCTTAATCTTTATATTAAGTACCTAATCCTCACAGAAGGCAAATTCTTTAAAAAATATTATTGCATTTGTAATCTGCCAAAATCAATGTGAACTCTGTGTGTAGCATGAGAGTTAGTTAAGGCAGTTTAAGTGATTTATTAGCAACATATGTGAACATTGAAGTTACTCTAGAGGCGGTGGAGTGGGCAGTGGCTTGTCAAAGCCTTCCTTGCCCAACAGCCAGTAAGTGTGCATGGCGCCCTTGCCCTTGATCTGGCGCAGGCCGCGCGAACGAAGCCGGTACCCGCCGGCCGCCGACAGCCGCTCCGCCGTCGTCGACGATACTTGAATGCGCCACGCTGCACCTTCACGGGGCGGTGGAAAATCGTCGTTGGAGCGAACTCGAAGTTATTCGTTCGTATGAAATTTGGATTACGCCTGGACACCTGTGGACTCCATCCGCGAGGCGGTGTTGACGGTGTCGCCGAAGAGGCAGTAGCGCGGCATGGTGAGGCCGACGACGCCGGCGCAGCAGGGGCCGGTGTGCAGGCCGATGCGCAGGTGCAGCGGCGTGGCGGGCAGGTGGCGCACGCGGAAGCGGCCCGCCAGGTGCAGCAGGTGCAGCGCCATCGTGGCCACGCTCTCCGCGTGGTCAGAGGTGCGCACCGGCAGCCCGCCCACCACCATGTACGCGTCGCCGATCGTCTCCACCTGCACGCGATGCTCTCAACTTACCACAACCTTACGCGAATGGGACACACAGATCTACTTGTCGTATTTTCATGAGAGATGCTTTCGCTAAAAACAGTTACCGTTTAAAAACCCAGACTATTGTTTTGACCCACGACGGACGTCAGTTCCGTCGTCATATACGTTTGGGGTGAGAGAATGTTTGTGTAAATCTTTTTTTTGAAACAAATAACTCCTTGCAGTGTATGTTCAAAAATAATGTAAATACGTAAAAAGGAATAAATAAATTATAAATAATTTAGTGTATATCATGACTGTTTTCTCCGGCTGCGTTTGCGCAGACATCGATAGATGGGGACAGTAGTATAGAGGTGTGAAGATGTATGCGCAAGCCAGTGCCGACTAACTTGCAAGCGCATATTACTTATAGGTCGTTATTAAAAGTATTAGTTATTTGTTGCTAAGCTAGCCTAGTTCTAGCACGTGTTTCGCTCAACACACGTTCTTATAAAGAAACAATCACCTTGTAGACACGATACTGTTCTATGGCGGCGTCGAAGGTCGTGTACAAGTCGTTCAGTAGATCGACCACCTGCACCGGAGTGGAGCGCGCCGCCAGCTCGGTGAAGCCGACGATGTCACTGAAGTAGATGGACACCTCCTCGAACTCTTCGGGCTCCACGCGAGACCCGAGCATCAGCCGCTCGGCAACGGATCTGGATTTTTTATCATTTGCTTACATCAAAGGTAGCAATTTATTTCAAAACGTTTTCCTTGTGAACATATTTTTTCATACCTTGGTAGCATTCTATTGAGTAGTTGTTCAGTTTTCTTTTTTTCCATGTCTAACTGATCCGTTCTTTCCTTAATAAGTTCTTCTAAGTTATTGCTATATTTTTCCAACATCTCGAACATCGAATCAACAATGTTGATTTTTCTGTAAAACAAATATTATTTTAAATATTTTCAATGGAGCACAGAATTTATTTTCTATATATGAATGATGGTGATATCCTTGAAGGTACTGTCATATAATATTAAATCCGTCCAATTAATAGATGCACTTACAGCTATAAAAAATGTTACAAGACTATTTTCGAAAGGAGCAATTGTGCACGCACCGGCCGCGGTGCATGTGGCGGAAGATCTCGTAGAGGCGCGCGAAGTCGGGGCGCAGGTCCGGGGCCTCGCTCCAACACTGCCTCATGACGCTCACGGCCTCGGGCGGCGCCGCGCCCATCGACACCGATGGCCGGATCAGTGGCGGGGGCCGGCACAACTTTTCCACTATTTCTGTAACGAACCACTAGTTCCGTTGCCGAGGCCACTGCAACTGCGGCACTGAGCCATCTCTCGAATATGAATAATAAAGAAAAGAATGACCTTCGGGCGTGAGCGCGAGCATGCAGTAGGGCTCGCCGCGGACGATGACCTCCTGCATGATGATGGCGAAGGAGAAGGCGTCCCCCGCCTGCGTGCCCCGGCCCGCGCCGCGCCCTTCGCGCAGCAGCTCCGGCGCCGTCCACAGCAGCTCTAACGCCGCGGTGTCCGCAATTTTTCAATTAAGTTGTAATTATGTAATGATTACCAAATAAATCATATAAAATGGTATACCTAACAATCGATTAGTCCACGATTCCGTTCGGGTTGGCCCGTTCAGCTTCAGCGAGAGCCGCTTCGTGGCAGAGTTTATACATTAACGCGTACATACAGCGTGTCGTTACAACCTCGAAAATAAATGAACACACATATAGAGGATAACTTTTTAAAATTGTATTACGCATTTACATTCGTTAAACATCAATATTTACCGAGTTATAAAATTTTTCAAAACAAAGAATTTTACAACACCTTAAGTATAAAACTGTAACGTGAAGTTCATTTGTAACGGTCACAAAGTATATGAATGGGTTGAATGAATTTAAAAGAGACAAAACATACTGTTAGAAGGAGAGCTTGTAATGCGACGCTGTGGCAACGAATGAAAAAGTCTCTGAATGTACGAATCAGTCAGTTGTAGTTGTATAGGATGTTACAAATTTTGTTAACATTAATATTTTTTCTGATTATTGGCAAGTAGCGTTAGGCGTGTGTTCATTTACTGTCGCGGTCGTAATGAAACGCTGTATATAAATTGTAATAACCTCTGGCGGAGCGCGGCGGCAGCGGCAGGGCCTGTGCGTGCGCGAAGGCGGGCAGCCCGTAGTCGGAGACGCGCAGCACCCAGCGCGAGTCGACGGCGCAGTTGCGCGACGAGAGGCGGCCGTGCGCCCTCAGCGGCGACGCGTGCAGGTAGCGCACGCCGCGCACCAGGTCCGTCAGCAGCGAGAGCCGGAACGTCCAGTCCAGCCGGATGTCGTCCGCCATCAGCACGTCCTCCAGCGAGCCGCGCCCGCACGCCTCGAACACCAGCGCCGGACGCACCTCCGCCAGGCAGCCTGCCGTGCTCGAAAACTTGAGTCATTTCTTCTTTTCGAAGGTAGCCGCAAATATATTTTTTTAACTGTGCATAACGCAAATATTGAGTTTCGATACCTATAAAGGGGTTAAGGTTTTCATGGCGCATTGTTTGCATAACAAGCAGAATGTCCACAGCCTTACGCTTCAGCTCCAGCGTACCCGCCACAGGCAGGTACTTCATGTGCACAGGATCTCCCTTAAAATGACATTAGTCAAGTTTGTATGTATTATAATAGAATACTCCAAAATAATTTCAAATGCAAAAAATTAATATCAATTACAACTAACAATGTATATCTAAGAAATCATAAGGAATGGATAGGCAGACCCTGACAATAGCAAGGATTAATATCAGGTGGAAGGAGAGTACAGAGGCAATGCCTTATATGATACCTTATACCCTGTACGACGATCGAGGGCGAGGCGCGTAATGCTGCAGGTGGACGAGGGCGCGGAAGGGTGTGCGGGAACAGCTGGCGGCCGCTTCAGTAGGTCCGGACGCTCCAACTCCGGCCCCCCGAACTCGTGCAGCTGCTGTAGCCAGCACGACAACATGCTTTCCATCCCTTCGCCGACGCGCCGCTCGTCCACCGGGAACGTGAAGTCGGCCGCCACCAGCACGGGCTCGGAGCGCGGCCGGCGCCTGCGCCTCGCCGCACGCCTCGCCGCTAGAGCCCCGCCCGCCGCCAGCGCCAGCAACCCGCATGCGCCCAGTGCACTCGCCGCGCCAATCGCGCCCGACCTTCCTGACGCATTGTGAGACCGCTCTATTTGCTCCGAACACCAGCGCTGAAACCTACTACCGGAATCGTTGACTTTAACGAACGTCTCCCAGTCATTAACGCTGTCCAGTAGTCGTGTGGAATTTGTTGCTAGCTGTACTACTGGAACCCAGTTCATACTCTGATCGGGTGGACTCTCATATAGATAATATGTATCAAGTAAAGTCTCCAGCCTTCTGGATTCCAATTCCATGTATTTTTCGATTATCATCAGTGCTTCGTTATAAACATCATTGACAGAAATGGCGACCGGTTTTGACTGTATAGGTTCATCACTGAGAATAAGAGGACGGACACCATTAGTGTTGTCTAACCACACCGTATTGACACCTCTTCGAAACCATCGTCGGTCTTTCGAAGACAGTCGGTTTTTCTCTTCACTTACACTTTCTTCATTTAAATGCCTAGAATTATCGTCTAATATAACTTTATTTTCTTTCAAAGTTACTGATGTTTTACTAGAAGGTATAAATTTTCCTCTCCGAAATTGTGGACTTGTTTGTGGAGAAGATAAATTAAAGTTATTGCTAAAATTTCTTACACGATGTAGAGTGGAATAAAAAGATGGCAATAATGTCGGAATTGACGTTAGATTTTGTTTTCCTAAATCTAAGGGAGCCTGTGCGTCAGGTATCACAACGAAATCTTCGTCTATCGCGAGGTGAAGCAGCAGCACTGCGGGAGCGAGTGGGCCACCGTGCATCCAATGAAGGGCTCGTGTGTCCGAAGAACACAATATCACCACTGTAAAAACAAACAAATTCGAAATAGAAAGTCTCATTTATCAATATAAAAGTATACACATGAACAGAAATGTTTTACCGTGAGGTTGTTGATCTAGTTCTTCGCGGGAGAGTGGTTGCCGGCGAACTATTAGGCCGACGGAGGCGAGCTGGTGCGCCACTGCGAGCGTGGCGGCCGCGCAGTCCGCGCCCGGCGCGGGCGGCAGCAGCACGCGCCGCCAGCGCAGGCGCAGCGCCGCCTCGGCCACGGCGGCGGCCCCGCGCGCGCGGCGCGGCGCAGCCGACGGCCGCGGCCGCCCGCAGCCCGCGCGCCGCCGCCGCCAACAGCCCGCACACCGACGCGCCCACGCGGCCCGCGCAAACCACCGCGCCGCCCGCAACCAGCGCGCCCAGACTAGTACGCGTCACCGTTTCACGCCACTTAGAACCGCACGTCTCTACAAGGAAAATATTAATTTGTTGAGAGAAAACGTTTTAGAGCATTCCCCAATACTGTTTCAAGTTGTCAAAACCGACATGATGTTCCTTCAGAGTTAGGAAGTAACTACTATATACCGTTAGGATTGTTTATAAACGTTGTGTTGAAGTATCATATTTAATACCACCCAGTCCAATAGTCAGTATATTTTTCACTCCCTTTGTTACCAGAAATAAATCAGATGCATCAACATGAAGCGATGACGATCTACTGTGGACGCCCTCTGCCCCAGCTAGGGTAGTGTTACCGCGAAAGCAGAGCACAGCTGACCGTCAGCGTAGTGATAGTGATAAATGCGACATTGAGTTTGACAATGTTAGTGCGCGTAAACAGGACAAAGCCACCTCCCCTATAGTTCATAAGCGAATATCAGACTCTCTAGTATAAGATTGTAGACTTTAAGTTAATTGTGTGTATCATCATTTATTTTGCAATTTGTCATGTATCTATCAATCATTACGATTCATTTTATCTCTCGCCCGGGAGCATGTTCGGTTCAATATTGAACCAAACAGCTTTGTTTGCACTTTTTACCTAAAGTCCATCAATACGTTGTAAGCATTAAAATATACCGCGACAATCAATCAGTTCACGTTCGGCCATCAAGCAAACCACGCGTTCTCAAAATATCATACCTAATTATCATAACTATCATAAATATCATATCATATTATAAGTATCATTTTAACTGTATCAATTTAGTAATAAAGTGTTTCATATCAGTACTATTATCATTTCTAACATCATATCCGGTGTTAGGAGTTAGCCCCAACAGGGACATAGGATTTTAAGTCAAGTAAGTCAATCGCATGAAGCTGTATGAAATCGTGTATTTTATACGTAATAAAAGATGACTATTGATTAATGTAATGAGTTGCGATAGCTCAGTGTCCGGGCGCTCGCCTTAAATTCAATATTAATTGTACTCTGGCGGCTTATATACGTTATTACCAAGGTATGTAAATTGAGTTCAAAATCGAATAAATTACGAGTTCTGTTAACGTGCAAGTGTTTCATTCTTAACAATGCCGAAGGCACTCACGTGGACCCAAGCTATAGACAGCCCGTATCGCTTGCTTTTGCAATACAAATATCGTTTCTAAACCGGATGCGAAACCCCAAAGTAAGACACCATAAGACATAATGCTTTGAAAATAAGCATAATAACCTAATTTAGCTGTTAGTTCCCTGATCTTGCGTATGGCAAAGACGGCAGAGCTCAACTTCTTAGCTAATTTACCTATATGAGCTCCCCATTGCAATTTGGAGTCAATACATATTCCAAGGAACGCTGTTGTCGGTAGGATGTTGTCATTAATCAGATTCCTGGTTTGTGAGATAGATTTGATAAAGTAAATCTGATACATTTAGTCTTAGTGGCGTTCAAAAGTAAATTATTGGTCGCAAACCAGAGCGACACGATACTTAGTAAGTCATTTTGTTACTCTAATGTAACAACTTTCCTATTAAATTTAAGCAACAGTGAAGTGTCATCCGCAAACTAAACGATTTGAGACCTTTTTTCTACCACATATGACAAATCATTAATGTAGACTAAAAACAGAAATGGGCCCAAGATCGATCCCTGGGGAATACCCATTTGTACTATTGACCCCGATGACAATATACCATTTATAGTTACTTTTTGTTCCCTATCGCTAAGATATGAGGAAACAAAGTCAATGGCAGATTTCCGAATACCATAACATTCCAATTTCCTAATAAAAATTTTATGATGTTGTACACAGTCAAATGCCTTGGAAAGGTCACACAGAACACACCAATGGTGTCATGGAAGTTTTCCAAAACTGCAGGATATGCGAAACTAATTCTACTCCAGCATCAGTTGTAGATCTACTTTTCGTAAATCCGAACTGATGCTGGTTCAAAATTTCATTTTTATTAAAATGAAATATCATCTGATCCAGCATTATTTTTTCAAATACTTTACTTAAAGCTGTTAAGAACGAAAAAGGACGATAATTAGAGGCATTTTCTCTTGAGCCTGATTTATAAACTGGCAAAACTTTGTTATATTTCAACAATTTTGGAAATTTGCAATAATCTAAAGATTATTTAAATATTTGGGCTAATAAAAAAGCAATAACACACATTATAAGATCTAATGCCCATATTGATAAGCCCCTTAGGCTTATCAATATGGTCTTCAGTTTTATTTTTATTAAAATTTTTAAAAGTATAATATTGTTCGGACCTATGTGGCAAAACATAAAATCTGGGATGGAAATATTAACATATTTATAATAATAATAATAATAATTCTTTATTTGCCATAACCAAAAAAAAAATGAAAAATTCACAGAAAGAATATGAACAAAAAAAAAGATATAAAATAAACCTATAATACACAAAAATATATAAATTTTATTTTGGCAAATAGGTAATAAGCTCAGCGATTTCTAAGAATTTCTCAGTGCTGATTTTCAGCTTATCCCTTCTTAAAACTTACTACCTACATCGTCATTTGCAAAGATTGACACTATAATAATAACAATAATGTGTATCTAAAAACTACTACCGTACTGAACACCAAGGACAAGAAGACAAAAAAGATATATACAAGAAAAGAAACAAAAAAAATTTTGAACCGAACCTATTAGTAGTATTTCACATTTTCAAAAATTCGACAACCTGAATTCAGGACTGATTTTTCGCAGCCAACCCTATACCACCGTCTTCGTAATGAAGTAATCTTTTTTTTTTTTTCATTTAATTTTAATAATTAACCAGATCGGTGCAAGTTACTAGTATCGATTTACCTGTTTATACCTGCATACCGGAGAGTTGTGACGGGAAAAAAGGGCAACCTCACGTTTGCATATTGTATGGGCTTTATACTTTCGATTGGTATGGGATTTTTCTATTAACCAAACCGGTGGAATGTTAAAAATTTTTTTAAATTACTAATCATATCCTGAACTGAAATTTTTTAGACAACCCATATGCATTATATTTATGGACATATTAAATTGAATATAAAATAAGTTTCAACCATTAACCAGCTCTGTGAAGGTCGTCTTATATCGGGATCCTATACTATAAGTCATTGTTAGTTCTGTGTAATCTTATATACACACATATATTTCACAAAAGTTATTTTATGCGGCAATACCATAGGTAGCTTCCTTAAATAATTTTCAGAATCAATGATTGAGGCACCATATCAAAGATAATATTGTAATAAAACGACGAAAAGTAACTGAAAAACTTATAATTAACATTATCGTTAAAAACAATGAAGCTAGAATATTTTGAGCCGTGATAGCTCAGTGTCCGGGCGCTCGCCTTTAATTCAATATACTCGAGCAACCTGAGTTCGATCCCCGGTGCCGGCACCAATGAAGTTTTTAACTTTAAGTGCTGACTTATCACGTGCTCCGCGGTGAAGGAAAACATCGTGAGGAAACCTGCATATTTTCGAAATAATAACAAAAAAAAATATTTCGAAGATATGTGAAGTCCGCCAATCCGCAGTAGGAATGTTTGTATTAAAGTTGATGGGTCAAAAATCACATCTAATTCAATCAATTTAATTCAATTAAATCTCCCGTAGATTATAGTTACATGTTAGTTGACAGAGCTGAGTTCTATAATGCCATAAGAAATCAAGCTCTTACCGTCGTAACTGAGTACACGAAACTGATCGCTCAGAGTGATGTTGAAACCGACGGAGAGAGCGTGGTGTCGGAGCGCGCTGGCGCTCAAGTGGGCGGGCTCGCGGGCGCCGCACGCCGAGCGCAGCACGAGCAAGTTGGCCGCGTGGTCGGCGGCCGTGGTGTTAGCGGGGGTGGCGCCGGTGGTGGCGGGGGTGGCGGGGGTGGCGCCGGTGGTGGGGGGGTGGTGGCGGGGGTGGCGGTGGCACCGGTGGCGGTGGCCAGCAGCAGCCGCAGCAGCAGCGGCACCGGCGACGGCGGCGTTCGCATGCCTCACGCGCCGCCCCTCCGCGCCATTCCGCCGCGCTCGCGCTCCGCCGCGCCGATTAAGCGCCTCGGCTCACCGCACCGGATCAAACGAACGCCTCCGTCGTCGGTGAGGAGGTCGCACATTGTGAAAAAAACAAACCCATGCCACTTTTCCGCCCTAATAATTTCGACGCTATTGAACTACTTACATCTATCGCGAAAACGCTAAAAACCATTCGAAGTGATATCCAAATTATGATTGAATACTGAGATTTAGTGTCGCTTGATTAAATATAATAGAAATATTTCTTTCTTCTAATAAACAATATAAACTTCGAACATAATAATAACTGTTTATGTAAATTTATCATAGGTATAATATATTATTTAACTTCTTCGATTAGAAATCGGTGTGATGGAAGAGTCGGTGTTTTTTTATAATTGTTATGCGACAACTGGCGACGCGAAGGCGGTCGCGACGGCCTCTTGCGCGGCGAATGTGCCACCGTGATAGAGCGACGGAGTACGTGCGCCCCGGCGGCGGCGGCGCTCCTGTCCTCCCGAGCCACGAGCCCGACGCTTGTCCCGGGCGAGGGCGAGGCGAGGGCGAGGGTGAGGCCCGGCCCCCCCACCCCCCGCCGCAGCGCGCCTGCGCCCCAGAGCCTGAACCCCGGCGGCTTTTTACAAGCTTTTATTTAGTTTCACGTCTCCTGACGTTTGTCATAAAATCTTGCAAATTAATTTGATCCGCTTCCCGGTTACCGATTGAGCTGATATTTTGCATACTTACGTGTGAAAATCGCGTGACAATGCAATATTATGATGACATGCTGCTGATCTGGTAATGGAGATGAAAGCTTGGCCACCCCAAAAGAATATCGCAATGAAACGACACAACCCCATCGAGCTTCGGTACGTTTGATTCGTCTTGGCGAGTACTTTATTTTTAAATGGTTACCGGGGTCTGACCTGATGATGGAGCTGTAAGGTGGCCATAGGAACTCAGCAAAGAAACGACGCAACCCTCTCGAGCTTCGGCTCTTTTGAATCATCTTGGCGAGTACTTGATTTTTAAATGGTTACCGGGGATCTGATGATGGAGCTGTAAGGTGGCCATAGGAACTCAGCAAAGAAACGACGCCACCCTCTCGAGCTTCGGCTCTTTTGAATCGTCTTGGCGAGTACTTGATTTTTAAATTGTTACCGGGGTCTGATCTGATGATGATGGAGCTGTAAGGTGGCCATAGGAACTCAGCAAAGAAACGACGCAACCCTCTCGAGCTTCGGCTCTTTTGAATCGTCTTGGCGAGTACTTGATTTTTAAATGGTTACCGGGGTCTGATCTGATGATGGAGCTGTAAGGTGGCCATAGGAACTCAGCAAAGAAACGACGCAACCCTCTCGAGCTTCGGCTCTTTTGAATCGTCTTGGCGAGTACTTGATTTTTAAATGGTTACCGGGGTCTGATCTGATGATGGAGCTGTAAGGTGGCCATAGGAACTCAGCAAAGAAACGACGCAACCCTCTCGAGCTTTGGCTCTTTTGAATCGTCTTGGCGAGTACTTGATTTTTAAATGGTTACCGGGGTTTGATCTGATGATGGAGCTGTAAGGTGGTCATAGGAACTCAGTAAAGAAACGACGCAACCCTCTCGAGCTTCGGCTCGTTTGATTCGTCTGGACAAGTACTTTGGTGCTAGATGGTAATCCGGGTCTGATGATGGAGCTGGAAGGCCATAGGAACTCAGTAATTAAGCGAAACAACCGCGTCGAGTTTAATTCGTCTTAAACGGTGAACCGTTTTTGATGGGTGGTGGAATCTTTGGGAAATAAAGTTCGTTCCTTCCGTTTGTTATAAAAGTGGATTTTGTCTTTGATTAGATAGAATATGAAAGTTATTAAAATATAAATAAATGTTACATAATTGTTTGTGTCAACAGTTTGTCTATTTCGGGCGTTCAATATATTTATATATATTTATAGTATAAATAATATATTTAAAGTATAATTCGGTTCTACAAAAATATTCATTTAAATTATAAAAACAATTACATATCAGCCGTTTTTTTTTTCAGTCAGTTTAGTTGTTTAAAACTTTGTTCCAACAAAAATTAACCTACGGAGATCCACCACCGAAAAGTAACGACATTCATCAATTACACAATTTAGAAATTTTTTCATCTACATAAATATCAAGTGAAATATTATTGCTGTATACAGCGTGTCGTTACCATCGCGACAATAAATGAACACACATCTAACGCTACTTGCCAATAATCATAAAAAAATGTTAACGTTAAACAAAATCCATAATTAAAAAAAATATATTTTTCAAACAAACTAATTAAGTAAAAAAGAAACAAAATTTGGAACTTCCTATACAACTCGCGCCACAGCGTCGCATTACAAGCCTCTCCTTCTAACAGTATGTTTTGTCTCTTTTAAATTCATTCAACCCATTCATGTGCTTTGTGACCTTTACAAATAAACTTTACGTTACGCTTTTATAGGTAAGGGTGTTCTAAAATTCTTTGTTTTGGAAAATTTAATAACTCTGTAAATATTGATGTTTAAAGAATTTAAATGTTTAATACAACTTTAAAAAGTTATCCCCTATATGTGTGTTCATTTATTGTCGCGATGGTAACGACACGCTGTATATAGTAATATTATGCAGTGGGCATTAGGCCATAAAGAGTTTATAATTTTAACAACTTCATCTTCGGAGATTTCCTTGGAATGAAGAAAAGACCTATCTATCATAAGTGCCATTACATTATTCAAAGAAAGTGAGAAGGGACAGTGAAACATTATTTTTTTCTAAGATTATTAAGGAAATGATTGTTTAAGGCATTAGAGTCAGTAAAATGAGAGATAGAAACATTTTTATTGTACTTGTTGTTTATTATGCTTCCACATTATTTTAGATTGATATATTGTACTTGACATTATCTGCCTACCTTATTAGGGGGGATGTCTGTTGAGGTTTCTAAAGATCGTTGTTTTCTCATTAGACCTCACAAGTCGTCGGGGTCGAGCTGGTCGTCTCGCAGCAGGTGTCCCTCCGCCACGGCCCGTATGCGGTCCTCGTAGAGCCGCAGGGCGGCGCGGCCCTCGGTGCGGCCCAGGTGTCGGGCGCCGAGGCGCGCGTAGAAGCGGCGCGCGGGCGCGTTGTGCTCCAGCACGTGCCAGTCGAGCCGCGAGACGCCCCAGCGCAGCGCGCGCCGGCACAGCTCCTGCAGCAGGGCGCGCCCCACCCCCGCGCGCCTCAGGTGCGGCGCCACGAACAGGTCCTCCACGTAGAGCGCGCGCCGCGTCCAGCTCGAGTAGGCGCGGTTGCACATCGCGAAGCCCGCCACCTCGCCGCCGCTCTCCGCCACCAGCACGAAGAACCACGGCGGCGAGCACTCGAACCCGTCCGTCGCGAGATCTATCCCACGCATTGACATCATTATAATATACAGGGAGGCTTTTTTAAATGGATAATTTTTTTTATTAAATTCTAGACAAAAATAATGTTATGTACAAAATGATATAGGAACATGACTCATAACAGAAGAGACAGACGAAGAGATTCCGAAGAACAGATTCTAAAGCGCCGACAAATATTTAAAATCACATTGCTGAGAGCACGTTCACGTTCCTTTGGTGGAACGCTGGCGTTCCTTTGGTGCGGAGAGTACAGAGAGATACGTTTCAATCTTTAGAAAGTAATTTAGAGCGTGCCCGTTTCCTAGGCGTCTCATCTAAAGAATCGAGTTATTGGCTTCACGCTTTACCATCAAGTACATTGGTCTGGGGGCACCGATTTGTCAACCACACCAATGCCCTTGTGGTGTCAGTGTAGACAAATTTGGTCTCCATGGGCTTTCTTATCAAAAAAGTGCTAGCCGTTTTTCCCGCCACCGTTCCCTGAGCGGCGTCATCCGTAGGGCTCTTGTTTCCATCAACGTTCCATCTATTTTAGAGCCCTGTGGCATTCTTCGCGGCAATGGTAAGAGACCCGACGGTTTAACATTGATCCCTTGGGAGAGAGACAAAGCTTTTGTTTGAGACGCCATTTGTGTAGACACTTCGTCTGCCTCTCATCTAAGGGGTACTTCGGTCAGGGCCGGGGCGGCATCGGAGGCAGCTGAAGTAAGTAAATGGCGCAAATATGAGTCTTTATGTTTAGATTATGTATTTGTGCCATTTGCAGTTGAAACATTAGGTCCGTGGGGTCCCCGCACATCAAAATTTTTTAAAAGTTTATGTCCTAGGCTTAACGCAGTGGCTGTTGACAAGAGAGCTGGTTCTTTTCTCGCTCAAAGCTTAAGCATAACTATTCAGCGAGGAAATGCAGCTAGCGTTCTTGGCACCATGCCGCGGGGATTAGGTTTATTAGATAATATGTAATTTTAGATAGATTTAATCTTGTAAATATTAGATCAATAAAGCTCGTAATTAATTGATTACATTCATTTGAACTTATCTCAAAAAGTGCGTGATTTATGGGCAACTCATTTATTTTACGCGCGATCATTCATAACTAACACGCACACAAGTTCTTTTCAAAAGTATACGATGCAATTTTTAATGACTACCGCATTGTCATCAAGTTCTGTTTTCTAAGGACTGGAAGGGCAATTTTTTTGGAAAAAAAAAGGTTGTTTTTATTTCAGTAAGCGATTATACTACCGAGTCTGAACCTCCTGTGTGAATTTAGGCACCTTTAGAAAAGCCACCCTGTATACACACTGGCACACTTATGTATGGTAAACGAAAACCCAATATTAAATAGTAATATAGTCTCAAATTTTTTAACTGATTATAAAAAGGAGGAGGTTCACCTATTTCTCCCCCATTTGTGGGCCGATTCTCAAAATTCTTTTTTTTTTATTGGAAAAAACATACTATTGAGGTGGTCTCATGTGCACCAAGTCAGGATGATGATGGAGTCCCAGGAAAATCGAGGGCCAACCTCAAATGTTATATGTTTATAAAACTATTAAGATATTTAATATATATTTAACGTTAAGGAGTTAAGTGATTTCTTGTTCTAGAATAATGTATAGAGACTTTTCGATATCGATAATTGATTCTCTGGAGAAAACAGAGTGAATGCTAGAAATTAGAAGTATTAATCATTTTAACCGTCATTAAGAAAAGAAGGATAAAGGTTATCAATTCGGATGTTTATATGTTTTTTCTAAATACTATTATCCATAGTGAACGAAACAAATAATTCTCAAGAGAACGAATATATACCGATGCATATTAATATCTAATAATATAATCAAAAATGTTTCAGTTAAATACATGAGATTTATCATAAACATTTACACGAATAGCAAAATGCGTTAAACTGAAAGTACATTTCGTAATTTACCCCATTAGATTTCCCAAAAGCAAACACACAGACGTAAATGTTAATTAAATGCTTATACTATGTAAGCTTATTATGCACGTATACTTCCAAATGTTTCCTCTGAGCAACATTAAGGCTAAACATGCTTTTAGTTTTACGTTGTAGGTGTCATCAGGCCCATAACAACTGTGACTATATCTTTAATATTTTATGCTTATGATGTTTATATGGATAGGATTTTATTTTATAAACACTCATAAACACCAGTGGCCATTACTAGAGCGACAAATGAATAAGGAACGAAGTGTCCTGGTGGCCTCGGTCAATCAATATACACCTATATTAAGGAACTAAAAATGTGGAATACAGGCACAGTAACTCGTTGCTCACCTTCCACGCTGAGCTGCGGACCCTCGGGCATCCCCTCATAAGTTGCAAGCTCCTGCATCAAAATCAAAATTATTAATTCATCAACAGAAGAAAAATAAATTTCATTTATCGATAGTCATTTTTTTAATCTACCACCGTTTCGTAATGAGGTTTCTCTAACGGGTAAGAAACAGGCGAAAGAAACTCCGTAGGTATCATCTTTTTTGTAATTTTTTTTTTCTGAACAAAATTAAAATATTATACAACTGTTTTTTTTTTCTTTTAGAAATAGCTAGAGAGTGATCAACTTATTCCGAGGGGTTATTGTCCACAAATCAAACATTCATTCATCAGACAAATCCTTCAATTTGAAAACATATTAACTACACAATAAGTGAGGTTAAAAGATAAAGCAATAAACATGTGATGAATGTTGATAATATAATCACTATATAAGCTTGATCCCTGGTATTGATTCTAATGAGTGTTTCACAGAGGTCTTGTAATACTGGCTGTTATCGAGCAGACAATAACATTAAAGTGGAAGCTAATTTAATCCGTGTAATCAAGGACATGGGTGCTAAAAGAGGAGTTTAGGCGAATGTCGCTCACGTGTATCATGCGATGCACGGCGGGCAGGTCGTCGCGGGTGCAGTCGCGTACCAGTACGGTGGCCGCCTCCGCCTCCGCCTCCGCCCACGTTTCCGCTTCCGCTCGCTCGCTGGACATCGTGACGTGCTCCCCCTGGCGCGTGGTGCCAGGCGAATGGCGACTGGCGCACTGACACTCCGTGCCCGTTTGTTAAACGCATTAAACCACATGTGCCTGCTGTGCGGTTTAGACCACACGTACGCAATTAGCACGCATCGTTCGCATTTTGAGCTGAGATACTACGAACGCCATCTGGTGTGGTTGTCTGCAAGTTCACGATCCTGTCGTCGATCAGTATGTGCTGTGTTTCATCCCAAGAGAGGTCAAAATAGTCAATTACAATAGGCTATGTATTTATAGTTGCATTTAGGACCCTATAGTTTCCTCTAGGACTTTCAGTCTGCATATTTACGACTCCCGAAGAAATAATCGATCCGGTCTTGAAATTCCCGGAAAATGCGATTTCGACAATATTAATATTTCGCTATGGGGGCACGCAAATTATATAGAAAAAAATATTTTGCAAAAAAAAAACTGTCACAGGTACTATTTATAATCTAGACTTGAATGCATCTTTGAGTGAGTTAAAAGAAATAATTAAATTTGGCCTCTCAATATATATATATATGAAAATGTCTTAAAATATTAATAATTTTAATAAGAGTACTGTTGTACATAATGTAAATACTAGGAATAACCACAACCTTGTAACGCCAGTTACTAGACACCGTAGAGTAGGTAAGTACCTCGTTCATGGGGCGGTGTATACGCTTCTACAACAAAATCCTAATAAATGCGCAAAGCCTGCCTGTTAACAGGTTTAAGACATTTTTTAAAGAAAAACTTTATATAAAGGGTTATTATAATACAAATGAATACATTAATAATAATAACCCCAGGGAATGAGTTGAATACTCCCAATCCCAAGCTATTTCTAAAAGAAAAAAAGTGTGTTTCTTCCGCCTGTTTCTTCTCCGTTAGTGGAACCTTATTACGAAACGGTGGTAGATTAAAAAAATTACTATCGATAAATGAAATGTACGTTTCTTATGTCGATGAATAATTTTGACGATTTTGATTTTCTGTCAAAAACAGTTTTCATACCCATAGCTTGGCAGTTCAGCAGATTCTATGATATTTGAATACAACAACGTTGTTAATCATATTGTTATAAAAATATTTATGATGATGCTTTAAGTTTTTAAGGGGCACGTAAATAACAAACAGCTTATTTACTTTCAGACGGAGAGGATCTGATTTCCTATAAAAGTTACCGACTTTATAATAAGCCCACTCTGCGTCAATCAATGATTCATGGAATTCTCTGATATCTCTCATTTTGACATAGAGGTTTTTCTATGTGTAGAGATTTTTGCAATAAATAGACAGATATGGAAGTTCTCCATACCTCTATAGCTAACCATAAAATGTCATTGACTTCATTTAATAATAAAATATAACAGAAATCAGACTTACAAAGCTGAACTGGATCCCAGGCTTCCTAAACGTGGGGCATTTTAGTACACCGATCCGAAGCATCGTGAAGGAAATGAACGAGATTTTCTTAAAAACGAGGAAGCCGCTTAAGGTATGAAATCAACGCAAAAGGTGGATTCAAATAATTATCTCGATAATGTAGAAAAAGATACCCGGCGACTTAATAGCACCATTATATTTTCAGTATCCTTGAGGAGACGCCTTACTACATCTTCAAAATGAGTTTTTACAAACCAAAACTGAAATTGAGGGAACTGTTCTTATATCTAACGCATGCTTATTAGGTAAAGAAAAATAATTCAATCAATATATTTAGTAAGGCTAGGAATATGGTTCAATATCAGTACAATATGAATAGCGAACCTATCCTACGAGTCACGGATATCGTAACCTAGGGGTTACATTTAACCTGAAAGGGATTACGTTTAGAAACTAAGGGTTCATAATGAAATAGAAGGAAAGGGCCCGAGTGTCTCGAAAATCAGAGAGGTTAGAAATTAGTGAGGAGTCATCTTGAATGTAACCCAGTAATTTCACCATCTGATGACGATAAACATAAGATAATGTTACAACGGGTTCAAAGTAAATTCACGCGGTACCTATTTAACAGGTTGTATGGTGTCTATCAATAATTTTAAGTATGGTGGGTTACAAGTACGACAAACTGCAAACTTGTAGGGACTATGCACTCGTCGTTAATTTTAATTTTAGTACACGGACAAATTTTTTAACAAAAGAGACATAAATACTTTATTACAGCGCCATCTACCTTTAAGAATGGCGATATAACGCCATGCTACACAATTTACAGCGTCATGTCAACAAATTAGTATCGTATGTATATCAACAGATGTCTATAATTCTGAAGTAAGACAAAATTATATTAAATAATTTTATGTAAATATTAATTCATAGTTTATTTATAGAGATCCTACCCAAAATTAAAATCTGTACAACTAACTTAAGAAAAGTTTGTAAGTGTAATCAAAGTTCTGTAACGTTTTCCGACTTATAAACCTCTTTTTACAAAAAACAATGTTTTTGAGCTTGAATTTGTGTTAATCTTCATAGCATCGAGCGCCGTAGAAGCAAAAACTTAGAATATTATTAAATTAGCTGCTGACCGCGACTACGTCTGCGTAGAATATGCTGAAGGTGTAATATTCGGAAAGAAAGACAGATATACATAAGAATATGTAAGTATATAAATTATAGCCTATTCTGATGTATAAGCTATATTATTGTAGTTTCCTTAAAATTCATTCAGTAGTATTTGCGTGAAAGAGTAACAAACATCCACCCATACATACAAACTTTCGCGTTTATAATATTAGTAAGGATAAGTTTTTTCTTAACATGTTCCAGGCCAGTTTCTGAGATAAAATACTAGATGGCTGTAGCTAGTGTAGCTATACTGTATTGTAAAGTGTAATTTGTATTGTTGAAGTAAAATTTTACGCTGTTTCATTTCTTTTCGGACGTTGAATATGTATTTATGTTGTTCCAGAGTTTGGAATTAGATAGCATGTAACAAAAATATTGAAAAAGGGTATTTTAGAAAGGGAATGTTAAATAAAACTGTTTTTAGAATTTAATCGTTTTTAATTTCGTTACAAAATATGTTTTGTAGCATGCAGCAGAATAGGCAAGTCTTTCGAGGCTAACAATAAAATATTATGATATTTAGTTTACTAAAATCATGAACATCGGATTTTTTGTACGATGTGGTCAAGATAAAAATTTCCCGAAAAAATTTACGTATTGAGACGTCCGGGTTTTTATTGTGTACAGAATAACATCAAATATTTAATCTGAATAGCCTACTGCCTGCCGTTTATTAAGAAAATATTTTTTTGTGAAATAAGTCAATAGAAAATCTGTTTTTTTAATTAAATGAGTGATATGAGCAAAGCCGTCTTAGGCCATATCGGGGTCCAAGGCCACACGGAGCCCTGATGGAAAGTGAATGACAAAAACATTTATATTGACTTATGATAAAATTGTATAGTTTTAGCGAATACGCCCGTGTGTCCATATGGTAAAGACAATACTATTTGTACTTTTGGATCTTCCAAACTTTTTTCTTTCAGTTATTATTCATTCATCAATCTTCAAGATCTGAAATATAAATACCCAATTATTTTGTCCTTCTAACAGGTTGCTATTGATTTGGGAAAAAAATTGTATGTATTGTGATTTTCAGGAACTTGTATACGTATTTACCTACAAATATGTCCTCATAATTTAAAATAACAGCAGCAGAGACAACAATAGGAATGTATATTGAATGAAGACACACTTTTCTTACAAATGGCTAACCTAATTTTCATGAAACTTATAAGAAGGTAAATAGACCTTCATTGATATTACCATGACTTTTTCGTTATTTTAAATAATCCCTAAACTATGTAGTCATGCCTTTGGATACGTCATATGCACGCTCATTCGCATTAGAAAAGGTTGTAGTGTAAACTCGGTGTCCGGCCGGGCTTGAGCTACGTGAAGCTTAAGTGACATTCCCATTATCTTATCCCCTCGCCCTAATTGCCCAATATGCGTACCAATATGCGTACGTGCGTAATAGCTTTCGTGAAAGAGAAGGTCCGGTAGCAAATCGCCTCAAGGGGCCGTTAGTGGTGACGGTACGCACCTAATGGACATCGCTTTGGGATAATAGCTTTAAGTTCCGATGTTACATAAAGTTGTTTAATGAATGTCCAATGTTAAACACCTATAATACACCTATGTTAGGGATTTTATCGAGAGTTGTTAAATTTTCCCCATTTTATACAATGTATAGCACCTGTATTAATATATTAATACACGCATTATGGCACCGACTTCAAAATTATAAAATGCTTATTTAATAATTTCTGAATAACCAAATAAAAATACGAATTGCTTTGTGCTAAGAAAATTTAATTTTTACCGTTTAGTTTCCTGTTTGAAGTCGGTTTTTTTTTGTTAAAAATTATTTTATTATGGACATACATTACATTTGCAAGTAGAACTGAGAAGCTACAGTACTTTAAATAAAATAATTTTCTTCGAAAAAGTTCATATGATGATACATTGCGTGTCTCAAAAAGGCATGATAACGCTTTGTAGCCTATAAATACTGTTAGACTGGCCAAAAAAAGTAAAGTTCGGTAACAGCATATATATATCCCCCTGATGGGCAAAGGCCTCCTCTGTAAAGACCTTAATAAGGAATAGTCCCACCACGTGACTCAACTGCGGCTTGGCGAACTTCACATATCTTCGAAATATTTTTTTTGTTATTATTTCGAAACTATGGAGGTTTCCTCACGAGGTTTTCCTTTACCACGAATCATGTGATAAGTCAGTATTTAAAATTAACAATTTCAATGATGCCGGCACTTCGGATCGAACTCAGGTCTGTTGAATTAAAAGTGAGCGCGCGGTCAATGCGCTATCACGGCACTGGACTGACCGAAACTAATAATAAAATACGTAAGAAGGATCTATTACATTTTAAATGCTAAGATCAATTATCCAGAACACTAAAATATAGTACGCTAATCTGTTTTTAGTCGAGCGAAAGCACGTGTAACTAGGAAACTTCTAAATGGCGGTAAACAGCTGCAAGAAGGTAATATAAGAATTGTGTTGTTACTTGTTTTTATTACAATCAGTTACACGAAACTTATCTTACTTGATAGTTTATACAAGCACAGAGGGCGCTCCAGGTAGTGGCCTGTAGGATTTGCTGCCTCCTGCTCCTTAAACAATCCGGGCGTGTGTAATGTAAGTAATCATTAGGATGTTCAACGATTGAGAATAATCTATACATCGAAGTGCCTACTCCAAGTTTTGAATTAGTAGTTGCAAAAACAATTGAAATTTTTTTTATGAAATGGATGGTTTGAAAATATAAAAGGGCTCACTCGCCTGCAGATTTAAATAAAAAAAAACTGAAATATGGATAATTTACGTTTACAAATAAAACAGAATTTTAAGAATATTTTCGTCTATATTCTTTCTATAATATTTATTGGCATTTGTACTCCAAGAACTGATGTTTTCAAGATTAGACGGCAATGATTTAATACGCTATGTTCTGGAGAACGTAAAGGCCCATTTACACGATGACATTTTCTTGAACATACAAGAGCAATAATTGAATGCAATAAATTGCGCGCAACAATTGTTTAGACCATTTCTTGTTTAGACCATGCAACTCATTTATTGGTTCAATTTAATTGTATACAACAGGCAAGAAACTGGCACCGTGTAAATCGGCCTTACCGTATGAAATTATTATTATTGTATGTCTGTTCTTGAGGCGTAATTCAAATAATGTAAATCAAATAATAAGCTTCCAAAAGCAGTTTAGTATCATTAATTTTAATTTTACTTATAACTTTTTATTCATTAAATACAATTCATTCATCAGTGTACGTAGTATTTTGTAACCTAATGAATTAGTTTACTTTTAAAATGATTATTTCTCATTAAAATTTGTAGAAATAAACGATAATGTTCATACTTCTACATTAAGTTTTTAATTTTATTTGTGTTATTTATGGTGTGCAATAAAGTATATTGATTCATTCGTACGTTGAGAGTGTGACAATCAACCGTTTAGCTTAGTGGTTAAACTTTAACCGTTGAAGCATCTGGGCGCCAATCGGGGAGATGTGGGTTCCATTCCCACAACGGTGAAAAACTTTTCGTCCATTTTTTTTACAAATTTTAATGTGTCTACAAATTTTGTTCAACAAATTGCAAATTCCAGTCAATTTAAAACAAGTTGGTTAACTCATATCTCAGAAACAAATTACATTTATTGTTTAACATCTATTTTTTATAAACAAAAACTGAACACATCAAAAATCTTCTGGTCCAATGCTTTTACTGTCATTTGTAAACGTTATTTGTAATTAAATTAATTACGTAGTGATGGTTCTAATACCTTTTCTGACTTTGCTGAACATATAATTTCTACGGCAGTAACCCCACGGATTGTCGTAGTTCACATGCCTTCTAAATATATTTTCATTTCCGCGACGTGATGCTTATTGGTGCCAGCATCGGTATTTGAACTCAGTTTGCTCGAGTACATGGAATCAGAAGCGAGCATCGCACACTGAGCCAATGATAGGATCTAACGATAAGTCAATCGAATATCAAAGAACTCGATAATTGGCACGAATGGGAGGGAGCCGCGCCACGGGCGATTCTACCGCGCGTACCTGTTGCTCTCTCGTTGTACTTACGCCGGTGCCAGTTTCCGCGTCATTACTGGCGATATTGTTATTGTTCGAGGCCACGGGCCCACCGCATGGCGTCGCCGCCCCGCCATGCCGCGCCAATGTGCACACTGTTTCCACTTGTGCACCATTACCTGGTTATAATGACAGTCATGTAAGCCACCATTGGAACGGTTAACCATTTCTATGTAAGCGAAAATCATTAGGTTTTTATAAAGACACGACTTTGCACGAGTATGAAACAAATATAGAACGTAAGTCGCAAAGGAATTTCAACAAAAAGTTCTTATAGAGGATAACGATGTTTCACAGTTTTCCGATAAACTTACCGTAGAGTCCTGATAGCTTAGTGTCCGGGCGGTCGCTTTTAATTCAAAATAGTTCACAAACCTTAGTTTTAAAAATCGATTGTTTGTAAGTATTTCCAACGGTGCAGCTACTAGGTAAAAGTTTTTCAAGGTTTGGTACCATAAGTAAAGTATATTATAAGACAGATTTTTTTGTTTTATAATTTCTTATTTATGTAAAATTTTCATATCCTAAAATATTCCTAATGTAGATTTAAATTAGCTTTGGTTTTGGTTTATCATATCTTATATACGAACTTCTGAGGTATTACGGCACAAAGATGCTGCCCACTCCTCGGGCACCTCATTGACCATTCCTCTGGTATTCCATGTGAATCCCCACGGGAGGCGGTGGTTCCTCAGCATCATATGAGCCGCTTGCTCATTTTCCTCATTTCTCATATTACAAAAACTACCGTTATTGTGGAACCTAAACCCAATAATTACGTATTTTGTTTTATTACTAGTGTGGAGTGTGGATAAAAGAATATTTTCTTGACTTCTTATCATTCAACTGGCACCAAAGCGATGAAGATGTTACGTCATCATATTGTCAATTGCCTTGAAAATTCACGCGGACTGAAAATGCACACGTATATTCTGTAACAGCTAATACTACCGAAGTACTGTCTTGTACGTTGCTTGCAATGTTTGTATTAAATGAAGTATTATAGTGAGAAGGAAACATAAAATTCCAGGTATCTAGATAATTTCACCGGGATTTATGAAGTGTTGGGGTATATGTTAGGTTGTTAAATGTTTAAAAAGGATGTACTTTGCTCATAAAACGGTTGGATCTAACTAGAGCAGGGGTGAGCAACCTTTTTAATCAATGGGCCAATTTAAATTTCAATTTTTTAGGCGAGCCACACATAATAATTTACGACAAGTTATTTATAATAAACATTAGAATAAAAAAATATAAAATTAAAAAAGTAAAGATTTCATATACAAATTTCAATGCAAGGTACAAATAAACAAGAAAAGAACAGAAAAACGAACAAAAATATTTCGGTTCAGTATGTACTACCATTTTATTATAATTAATTTTATAACAATAAATATTGATGTGAGAAATTCGATAAAATAAATTCAATTTTAGAAATGCTTGGCGGGCCGCATATACATGTTGCTCATCCGTGAACTAGAGCTTGCGTAGCAATTACTTTAGGTACTATTTATAGTTATATTAAATTAATATTTCTCTTTATGATTAATTTGTCGGATATATATTTTTTTTAATGTGAAAAGATGCCAAACGAGTAGAACGGTTCACCTGATGGTGAGTGAATACCGCCGCCCATGGACACGTACTACAACCGAGGGTTACAGATGCGTTGACAACCTTTTGAAAATTGGGCTCCGGCTACCCCACTCACCAGACGAAACGTGAAAGTATTTGTCATACCTCCACTTTACGCTGGTCTTCTGTGAGATCGTGGTACTTACCCGCACGGGCCTGCCCATTCGTGCAACAGCCGAGGCTGCTGCGTGGCTCTAAAACCTAATAATAATGGATAACTAAGGTTTTTGTAGACTCTTAACGTGTTGTATTCAAATCTATTCTTGTGAGCAGCAGTCCGTAATTACATCATATGCTTTATCAGGTTCCTTATCAACGGATGACGTTGCTTTTCAAGACGACTCTTTCGTCGAGTTCAAATATATAAAATAGAGTAAAATTATGAAAATTAAATATTTATATAATATTATATAGCATGATTGACATCAAGTATCACGTATACTAAACTTCAATCTAAACAAGAATCAAACATTTCAACTAGTATATTGTAAAGACGAGCTACACATTTATAACTTTTGTACCGAACGTGCTTTCTTTTCGACAGTATAATTGACAAGTGAGCACATCACATATTGCACTACCGCTGTGAGATGCACGCAGCTCTTTATTTTCATTCCATAACGTCACTTAGGTTTTAAAACTTTAAACCCTGAATCAGTATGGACTCTGTTACGGCATAGCACTTGCCACTTCTGCAATGTATTCTTTAAAATTTGTAGAAAAATGGCCGAAAAGTTTTACTCCGCTACGGGTATCGAACGTACGTCTTTCAGATTCACGACCAGACGCTTTAAGCACTAAGCTAAACGGCTGATTGCCACACTTACGAAAATGTCGACATATTTTATCTACCTACATTCTTACTTGCGCATTTAAGCAATTCCTGTACTGGCGAAACAATAAATTTCTAGTACAAAAATTAACAAATGACAGTTGAAAGATCGCGGCCATTCGAAGTGATTGACGTTCCTAATCGTATTGGAAACACGGTTATACTCGTAAGTGTGGAAAGTGCGTTGCTGTATTTAAGAGTGGGAACTTTCGTTAACTTTCGTCTTACTCAAGGGACGTAAATAAAATAGAGTATCTACTTCGGTTTCATCTATTCGTGCAAGGGCAGAAGCGACCAGTAAGGTATACAATATGATCAATCTGGTTAGGGTCCTCGTCTACCGCCGTTCCTGCTAACTTGCGTACAATAAGCACTCATCAATCACTCTTCCTTCATTTATTATCCGTGCACGAAGCACCAGAGCATTCGTTTTTCAACTCGCCATAGAAAAGAAGAGATCATTTTTGATGAAACATGCATTTATGATGCAAACATGGAACTTATTATTTTCAATGGAAACCTATTAGCGTTCAAAAGAAGGTATTAGTTTCAGTGCACGATTTCTTAGTAGGTATTAGATATTTATATGGATTAACAAATATCCAAAATGTCGTTGAAAACGTAAAATCCCAAGGGTTAATTTAGATTTAAGTGTTTTAAGAACTCTAACCTCTAACAAATCCGTATTTTCATCTTCAGTTTTAATATAAATAAGAAAATTTAAAAGAATGGAATTGTAAATTAGTATTTTGAAAATCTTCCAGCGAATACATATCCTGCAATTTGTTTTATTTGGTGTTTATTATGTTCTCTACCATAGCATGGGACAATTTGGGGGGGTGATACATCTACATATTATATGTATATTCTGACCCCAGGGCATAAGAAGCATAGAAACTAAACTACACAAACTTTATCGAATGTATATTCATTTAAAAAATATTCTGAGAGTTCTTTAAAACGCGATAAGGATGCATTGTCGTGTAGCTTATTAATCGGTCGCTAACGCGTGGTGGCGTTAGATAACGGAGTCGGAGGCGCCTTCCGCGGCGGCGTCTTCCCGCCAGTGCGTCTGCGGCGGTAGTGCGCCCGAGCGGCTGAGCGGCTGAGCGAGTGTGCGTGGGCGTCGGATGCTGGATGCTGCGCCCCGCTCCGCGCTCCTGGAGCGGCGGCGTCCCGCGACGGGTTCGAGATTCGAGATGAATCTGCGAGGTGGCGCTGAGCGGCTGGGCCGCGCGGCGGGGGGCGACGTAGTGGCGACGGGGCGGCGGGGGCCGGAGGGCGCCTCGCCTCGCCTCGCCGCGGCGGCAGCACACCGCCCGCCGCAGCCGCGCCGCCGCCAGCGCGCGCCGGCATGCCCCACTCCCAGAGCGCGCCGGCCACTGCAGCCCACGGCGCCGCCGCGATGGCCACCGTCGACGAGCACTACCACTTCGGTGAGTGCACGCCTTTCTCGCCGCTTTACACGCAGCCCGGTGTTCGCGCCGTGCGCGCAACGCGGCCCCAGGGAGCGACAGTCGAGTATGCGACAAAAGTAAGCATTGACAAAATTACATATCAGTTTGGGCATCAAGAAATAATGAAGCGATGGGGCGGCGGTGCGCGCGGAGCGGAGCCGCCCGCCGGGGCGAGTGCAGCTCTGCAGCGTTGCGGCGCTGCAGCGGCGCCGCGGGCGAGGCGAGCCGCCTCGCGCTTTATCATCCGCCGATTAGATAAAGCGAAATCGCTGAAAGCCGCCGCGGCGCAGTAGGCTGGCGCGCGCGCTGCCCGCGGCCCGCGCCGCCGCTGCCTCCTCGATGGCATGGGCCCGCCCGGCCACCGCCGCTGCGCAGGAGCCGGGGAGGGTGCCGCGGCGGGAGCGGGGCCGATGAGCGCCACGGACTCTTCGGCCAAGGTAATGATATCCCGTGCCACCGCAACGCGCGTGTTTCCACCAAAAGCAACAAACACGCGGTCTTTGCCGATGCTCCGCACACTTGATCCGATATAAATTTTCCACCATCGTAACGATAATATTATGGGTATATTTTTCGTGTCCGCCTTGATCCGTTCAATTGCTTCGACTAGTTGCAATTTTATTTATCGAGAAATGATGCCACGTGTCGCGCGTCTTCGGTACATATTTATTGCTCCTTGTGTGCACTATTAATAAATGTAATTAAAATTATGTTATTTTCATTATTTCAATTTGTTGCATAATATGCCTAAATTAGGACTTCATGTTTTTTAAGTAATTATTTGTGATATGAGAAGTATTTAGTTACGTCCGATAAATACTGTACATAGATTCGCGCCGCAATCGCTTGTGAAACTAAAAACAACTTGATTCCATCTAGATCTTGGAATCCAATTAGAAAAAAGTTTTTATATAAGAGTTCCAATTAGTTTTCTAAAATCGAAATCAGACGACGGCGAAAATATTGTCGCTGAAAGCTGGGAAGAGTTCCGCGCGATAATGAAAAGTAAAATGCCTTCTGCGCTTGCTTGTATTGTAACTTCGACGGTGCCGCCGGTTATCAGTTCGTGCGTGGTATTTTTAGATCTATGTGACGTGTTGAATATTTACAATAGCTAACGACCACTTAAATATTACAACCGTCTGTCATAATAAATTGCGGGGAGGAGAATGCCGCTGGGCACATCGTCTTCATCTCTCCAAGTGAAAAACAACAAACACCCTCCGTTTATCGAGTCATGACACTAATTTATATACCTACCTCAAATGTTAGAATGAAGGAAAAGAATAAAGTTGAAAGCAAAATCTGTTTTGTGATTATAAACTAATAAAAACTGTTCATAACAAGCAGGTTTTGTGAAGAACCATTAATGAAGTGTTAATTAAAGTGATTTCATGTATTTCATTACATAGTTTTGTGAAATTTTTTATTGTGGCCGTGCTAGATAGAGCTGTGATAGCCCAGTGTCCGGGCGCTCGCCCTTAATTCATTTAGAGATACTAGAGCAACCCGAATTCGATCCCTGGTGCCGGCAATGAAATTGTTAATTTTAAGTGCTGACTTATAACGTGCTCAGCGGTGAAGAAAAAAGTTGTAAGGAAACTTGTATAATTTCGAAATAATAAAAAAAGAATATTTCCGAGACATATTTCGCTCTTTACATATGAAGCCCACCAATCCGCACTGGGGTCACGTGATTGACTATGCCCTAATACCCTCTGTACAGGGGAGGCCTTTGCCCAGCAGTGGAACATTTACTGGCTGTTACTTTACTTTTACTTTTTAGAGTTTCGTACCTCAAAAAGTAAAAAAGGAACCCTTAAAAATTAGTCTCTTGTCCGTCTGTCTGTCAGAAATTGGCGGACCTAGCCAAGTTGAAATTTATACCAGATACTGAGTACAATAGTCCCTATAAGGTGTATAAAAAACAAAGTTATGACCCAACATGATAAAAAGGTATGGGCAAATACCTTGCTTTTAACCAAAATCGACAATTCTAGGTCAACCGGAAATACCCTATAGGTTTTTGGGCCGAAAATCTATGTGCTAGTTCCACGGTTTTAAGTTTCGTGGGTTCTAGGTTAACGGACCTAGAACCACGAAACTTCGCAAAAAGCAAGATCTTACAGCACAAGTAAAGGAAATATTCCAAATAATAAAAAAGGTTGAAAATTATAGGGTGATGCGAGGTGCTTTTTCACAATGTATTACGTTTCAAGTCACACACGTAAATAGAGTGTTACGAAATTAAGACCAATATAATGATGGCATTATCGTCCAACTTTTAAATGACAGATGTCGCTACTGCTTTGCCCTACTTCTTGCTCTACATTTCCGTAGCATCCTTTTCTTTATCTGTCCAATCGAAGGTCCATTCGTCGGATTGGATGTGCGTCCCCTCCATCTTCTGACCAGTAGCCTGGGATCCTTTGCACTTGTAATGTAAGAATACTATGTACCCCAAAGGCGCTCATATCAAACTTCTAATTGAGAAATATTTTAAAAGGTGAAGTCTGATACGACTTTCAAAATGTCAAAATGCCACTAGCAAATAAAAATTTTGACTGATTTTTTTAAATTTATTGGGACATAAAACAATTATACATTAACAATTATACATAAAATGGAATTTCTAATTATATTAAGTGCCTAGCCTAGCCTTATTTGCGTATTACATATTAAGTATTTGTGTTACCATCCTTTTAAATTGATTTTGTGAAAGTGAAAAAAAAATCACAATTTTTAAATTTAGAGTTGTATACACCTAGCACTCTACGAAGCGGTGCTCGCTGCCCAGCATTTGTTCTACAATTTTCAGTGTAGAATAATCGGGGCACGCGTGCATCGCGTCTGGTAACTCTTCTTGTTACAATGTAAGCAACCTTTTAAGTAAGCTCCATACAGTCGAATATAGTATTAATATTAATACATAATCCATATAACAGCACGTTGGAAAGGAAGCAAATTCAAACGGTTATCTGTGATCGTTTATGGTTCATGTTTTTGTGCTTTACACTCTAACATTTCTCCCCGTTTGCGCTAGTAACCGTTCGTTGAAGTAATTAGCCCTTTTGTATTAAAGCTGTTAGCTAAATGTTGCATATTGGGGAGAACATGAAGTAATCTCATAGGAGGAGGAGGCTAGTAGTTGGAGCTGGCGCATGGCGAGTGGCTCCGCGCAGGCGACCCGGTTACCGAGTTGCCGTGCTGCGCTCGCCTGGAGCGGGAGGGGGGCTGCGGGGGGCACGGCGGCCAGGGGGGGGGGGGGTCCGCCGCGATAACGGACGCCCGCGCTGACCCCGCGCCTCGTGGGATGGACGCGAGCGCAGAAAAACAATTCCACCGGCTCTCGTTGCGCCGAGCGTGGACGCGTCAAGTCCACGCTCCACGCTATCACTGCACGCCAGGCGACAGTTGGTGAATTATGGCCCCTCGTGGCCCTTTTTGCAAAGGCGTTACATAAGTGGAAATATTCCATAAAGTTCTATTAATTCCGTCGAGGTCAATTATTGTAGTCGTTACGAAACATACTAAGATTTGATTCAGGAGTAAGGAAGTACAGACTTTTCAATATTTTCTTGCAACTTCAAGAGAAATGGGGAAGTGCAAAAGAGGAGGGGGGGGGGGGGGGGGTATATGACCACGCTATGCGCACAGTATTGTTATTTTATTTTTACTCTGTACTGTAAATTTTCCTGTACCTACACTGAGAGCCAGAGGATGTCTAACGTTTTACTAAACTACATTTTTAACCTTATTATTGCTTAAAAGCTAGTTCCGTCATTAAAAACTGTTTATAAAATAATCGGTTATTTTCTTTAGATAACGATTGGTTTTTTCTGAAGAGGTCACACAAGAATAACAACTTATGTAAGCATTCGAGCGCGCTTCTCCACTTTACATCTTTAATAATATTAATATATTCCTCTGTTAAAACTTCAAAATGATAGAAACAACAATTTGAAATGGCTCTCGACTGCAGTGATAGTAATGAAAATGTACTCGATTATGATATTAATATTACAACATCGCATGCTTTAGCAATTTTGGTGAAACATACTGTAATACTTAAAAAACTTAAAGCTCGAAATGTTGATGAATACCGGCACCAAATAAGTCACTGTTTTAAATTGTCCACTATACAGTAAATATTTAACTTTATAATGGACAACTAAAACCGTGAATCTGACTTGCATAGGAGGTGTTTGGAAATTTTGTGTAAAGGCCCATTTACACGATGCCATTTTCTTGAACATACAAGAGCAATAATTGAATGCAATAAATTGCGCGCAATAATTGTTTAGACCATTTCTTGTTTAGACCATGCAACTCATTTATTGCTTCAATTTAATTGTATACAACAGGCAAGAAACTGGCACCGTGTAAATGGGCCTTAAGACTTCTTAACATTGCACTCGCAACTTGCAATTACAGTGTAAAACTTTATATAAATATCCTTCTGTTACAAATAAACTGTAACACGGAATCGGCCTTGACAAGTATTGTATTGAGTAAAGCCAGCGTTCGCCCGAAACTGGAAAGCACATTTGCATATTGTGTTGCAATGATGCGAGCCTCATTGGCTTCACGAAAACGGCGCCGCCATTTTGCGTTTTATACGCGCCAACGTGTCGTCCGTTTCTTTGAAGTTTCGCCCCTCTTCACATATCCGCCATCTCGATTATGCTTCTGAAACTCATCTGAGAGTCGGCACTTAAATAGCTCCGAGAACACGGTCAATCGTTCCCGCGTATCCCACGTAAACGGTAGCTAACTGTGCTTTGTATTTCCTGTTACTCCTATTCATCCGATGCTGTAACCAAACGGCTGTGATGTCATATCACCACGATCTGGTTGGGTCATTATTTGTTCATTCAAAAACATTCAAAAACATTTATTTTGCCATTTTCCAACATAGCCAACAGCCATATGATTCTCTGTAGAACTTGCTGCTATCTGTGAGACAACCACGTTCTCACCAGGTACGACTTGAGCCTTTTCTCCTAGTCTCATATTCCAGAATCAGAAATTAAATTGTTTTTGAAACCTCCTATGGCGGTACAAGATGAAATTGGTACCTTTTTTCTTATAATGGGAATACTTAATATCATTTTTAACTTCATCTGGGATCTTAGCATCTCGTTTGCAAAGCTTTGCAGGGCAGAAGAGTAGTTGTTACGTGACATAGCTGTAACGACTGTTTGTATTTAATGTAGGAAACGGCAGCACGCTTGTTAAAATTTTACAATAATTTTTAACAAAAAAAATCGACTTCTAACAGGAAACTAAAACATTGTTAATACCTATAACATTTGAGGATTGCCCCCAATTTCTCTGGGATGGCATCTTCATCCAAATCGGGGTTTCCGTTATGGTACTAATCTTGGGATATCTACTTTCCAACAAAAAAATAATTGGAATGAAAATAGCATAACCGTAATTTATGTTGAGCAAACAATTACAAAATTTAGCTTTACTTCCATTAAAGTCAGAAGGCAAGAGCTACAAATGAACATTCACTTACAAAGGGTAAACGGTCAAAAAAATCGTCTGTTGCTGTATGTAATGATAACGTTTTGTTTTATCTTAAAAACAACTTTGTGCATGATGTGTACCATTCACATTGTTTAGATTATTACCATAACAATACAAAAAAATTGTTTGTATTGTTTATACCCAACCGCTCATTTGATTTCAACGCTTATTATTCTAAATATTATTTGACATTGGATGTCATCTAGTTTACAGTAATTTTTTTTCGTTTTTGACCGTTTTGTAATATTTGTATTTTATGGGGTTCATCTTATTTTGGAATATTATGATGTAGTTATGTTCCTCGGTACCTTAAGGCTTATGGCTTTCGTGATAAACATTTGCACCGCAGCAAGTAACTTTAGCCAACGGTCGAGAAGCAAGTTGGGAAGCGATGCACGTTGTAGCAGCCAGTCATGGTGGGTTGTTAAGCTAATGGTGGCGGTGCATGTAGGTGCGGGCGCGCCACGTGCGCGTGCCGGCCGTGACGTCACGCCGAATGTGCGCCAGCGCCAGCAACGGCTATCGGGAGAATTGTCGCGATAGTCTCGATAGAGTTTCACGATAATGTCCACGTTGCGATACCAGAATGCTTATGAATAGAGCGCGCCGAGGGGGGGGGGCGCGGTGCGGTGCGGTGCAGGGGGGGAGCGGGCGGCGGCGAGGCGATAACGCTCGGGCGCGACCTCCGGCCCGCGCTTCAAAATATTAATATCTTATTTATTTAACCGACCGCGCCTCGGCACCACCCCCCCCCCCCCCCCCCCCCCCCCTCGACCCTCCACCTTTCGGCCTCCCTCGCCGTTGGGTAGCAAGCAGCTTCTCGTCTGACTGCCACAAGGAGAGAACACATTATCTATTGTAAATTTCATTGTTTCCAAAGAGCACATACGGACAATGGCACGTATCGGCTGCCCGCCTAGTTAAACTGCGCCTAATTAACTCGTTATAGTTTCGTTTGTACACGTTTTAACGGCCCCTGCCCGCGTTGATAACGTTAACGTCAAAAAATGTGTAAAAATAACAGCTATAATTTAATTGGGAGTCTGTAAACGTGGAATGGAATTTTTTTAGGAAATATTTCTTGTAACTAGGTAATAGTAATTCTGTCGCTGCAATTAGTAAACATCAGCTCCGTACACTGGTATCTTAGCACCTAAATTTTAAATTATTAAACTGAATTATCTACAAAAACGGTTTCTTGTCAATAAACCCATGTCACCAAAGTAGACGAAAATTTTTGAAAATATCATGCAGAAGTGAAAGCCAAAAGAGTTTAGCGTTCATTTATATTCGCCGATTTGTAAACTTGGGTGAAAATGGCAATGCGCGATCGAAATTGAAAATCATCTAATGCTCAATTTTCCACAAGTTTAGTAAAAAAGTTGCAGTGGTCGGTATGTCTAAATATTTGAAATGAATACGTTTTAATGCCCAGTACTGATTATTTATTGATTAGTGAATTTTAATTAAAAATTTAAAAGACTGCATAGAAAGTGCTCTCAAACGAATTTCCCCAGTATTTTCCTATTTATGTACCTAAGGGGATTTAATTACGAGCTAACTACTTCATTCCAAGTGAGTCTAATATGTACTGAGGCATTTAAACTTACATAGTTTTCAAATGTCTTTTCTTCCCATCGGTTGAACCAAGTTTGCTTCAGACATGTATTCAACCTCCTGTAAATTCCTCTCCTTTATTAAAGAAATCTTTCACGGTCACACACTTTCGATTAGTTGTCTCTTACCTTTGAAGTAACTAGGTAGTACAATCGTATTACTTGCAAGTCTAATTGCATGCTTCTCTTATTGCCTTGTCTACGAATGCCCACAAACTGTACCTAATATTTTATATACCGCCCTCAGCTCTCTTTTTTGTTTTAATTAACGTCATTACACATACAATGGTATGAAATGAATGAAGTTGCTTTCAGAGTGATAAGACCTACTTAATATACATACATTTCGCGCTATTTTGTATTATCTAGGTACCTACCTAATCATGTTTTTGGTGCACAAGAAAGAATAATTTGATTAATTGATTATTTGATTATTGTTAACGAGAGCTTGAAACGTTTGAGAAATAAATAAATACAAGTCAGACAACAGGTTATCGCCTCAATACGCTTTATTTTTCATCGCTCACATGTGATTAATTTCTTAACACAGATTTTCAATACCAGAAATCGTATGTCCTGCAGTGGCTACTATTCACGTTCTATCTTCTAGGGCCACTAGAAGTTAAAGTTTCATGGCAAAATTCAATTTTAACCTTGGACGTAACACATCTCGTTACACTTCATTCAAAATCCAAATCAAAATGAAAAATATATTTATTCAAATAGACCCTTGCGCGCTCTTATGAATCGTCAAATTTTTACATCTAAAATTATGTATATAGGTTCGTAAGGTACGTTTGCCCGAATATACGTCCAAAAACAATTTACATGCAGTACAACTTTACAATTAATTAATAATTGCAGGGATAACATTTCTCAAAAGTGACAGGGTGAACCTTAAATCAGTCAAAGTCAAAATTTCTTTATTCAACATAGGCGTAAGCTCTTATTGAACCTCAAAAACGACCACCGATTCACTAAACTAGACCTGCAAGAGAAGAACCGGCAAGGACCTCTGCGGGCATATTATAATTTATTAATCAAATAAACTATCCAATCAAACCCTCCAAAACAGACGGCCGTGGTTCGCGTCACCATCATTTACACATTATTTTTTTTACTTTTTTTTCGATTCCAGATCATTGCTTTCTTTATTTTTAATTTTTTGTCGATTTGTTTTTTTGTTTTTTTTTTCCCTTTTTTTTTAAAGTACTTTCTTTTGAGAAAACATCAGTTCATATATTCTTATTATTAAGTCGGTAAGATCGAAAAATATTATGCATATTTCATTACTCAGTAATTTGTATCTAAATGTAATTTCCGAAATACACGATTTACCAAAAACTGAACTGTGGGGCGAGACGGTGCTATTTTTCATTTACATACAGGACCTCTACAAGACTTGTGGCAGATATTGTTTTCAGTAATTGTTATGTGTATTTACAAAGAAAAGGATGTGTTTTCTTGTGATTTTACGGGTTGTTGTTAATTAGTTTCATGTAAATTGGTAGTTGAAATAAGTCATGTTTTAGTTATGTTAAGCTTTCAGTACGCGTGCTTTTAGAGAAAGAGATAGTTAAAGCGATATTCATTCGTCGTTGTATTTGCTGTAAGCTTTTATTTTATTTCTTTGTGATGTACTGTCGCTATTGTCTCTTCCAAAAGATGTAGATAGAGAGAGCATTAGATAGTAATTAAGCTTAATACCTTATTGTTCGTAAATATGGTTCTGTATCAAAATAATTTTCATGTCAAGATGATCTATAGAAGATATTAAAGAAATGAAAGGCATCCATTAAAATACCCTAGATTTTGAATTATAATTAACACGCATGCGACAATGAACTAAAGCAACTATGCGTCAAATGAAACAATCAATATATATTTATTTGAAACGGCCGCGCACCGACATGCTTATCAGAGCACGTCCCGAGTTCCGTTTAGAACGTATGTTAGGAACCAGGGCTTTTGTATTACTTGGCACCCTAGTGAACCTAACTCAAGTATAAGTGGAACAAATGGAGTTTCTAGATATATTAAATATAAGTATTACATATTTCTATCAAAATGATTTCCGTGGTTAGGTGGTTTGATTTAACTCACAGAAATTGGCTCACTCTTTCCGCGATATGAGTTTAAGCTAGTTTTCTAAGCAGACGGGGTAGAATAGGTCGCGATCTGATAACAAAGCAAGTTCAAAGCAGGTAAACGGATTATGAGTAAGACGGCAACATGCATTTAAAAGTGACTAATGAATGCATTCTTAGACACAATTAACCTCGTTTCACTTTTTGCTACCGCTTTGTTGACTTTCAAACCTATGCTATGCTATTATAATTATGCGAAGACAGCCTTTAACATTAGGTATTCTTTTCGTTCTTAGTTTTCGCCGTGTGAAGAGTGAATCCCATGCTCGCATAATTTTACGAACAGCTTAATTTTCTAATTGTTACTTAAGCTTCTTAAGTCCATTAATGAGAGTAACTATTGTTATTTGTGAATAAACAGGATATGGCTGCAAACTTCGTTTGTTTTCAGTGTGTCTAAATATTTTTTTATTTTTCCCTATTTAGTTAATGAGCAACTAATTAGCTGTCTTAAAAGCCACTGACGGTATTATTAGATTGATCTGTTTTCTCCCAATGGGACATTTGTTTTTTTCTTGAGAACTTTATGTAAAACACTTCATAAAATAACTATAGTTAGCAAATATAGCAATCTGAAAGCAGAGTTCTAAGAGACTAGCTTTTGGCCCGCGTTGATAGTTATAGCATTAGCAGATAGTTAGTTTAGCACTTCAACGTTGAAGTGCTTAAATAAATATCTGTCTTAAAAAATATACATTTTAAAGTTTTTTCTAATTAAAAAATAGCCTATGTCCTTTCTCAGGCTCTAGACTATCTGTGTACCAAAATTCATTTAAATCGGTTCAGTAGTTTTGGCGTGAAAGCGAGACAGACAGAGTTACTTTCGCATTTATAATATTAGTATTGATTTTGTTAAATCTCTTACTATGCAACTTATACTAAATAGCTGATTTTTGAAATGCGATAGCCATTGGATAATGAGATGATAATTATAGTTTAGGAAATAGGCACCTACATCATAAATATCTGCCAGCCTGGATATTTACGATGTACCTACATATTTGCCAAACGTATTTTCTCAACCCCTAGAAGGTATTTCATGAATATGTGAAATAAGTGATACACAGATTATAGGTGATATAAAAAGATCAAGATAATGGATCTCATAGGTGTTACTAGCCAAGAGGGTTAAAAACTTTTTTTTTACAGATTTTTTATATATACTCAATTACAATCTGAATATCAGATAATTGTGTCGGATAATTGTGTAATTTTTGTATGTAACACTCCTTACAACACAGGACAATAATATCCTACAGTGAGTGGAACGTTTTAAAAAAAAGAATAGAAAATAAAAATAAATATAAATTACATGAATTTATTGATAATCGTTAAATCTGTAATGGTAATCGATAAATTGTGTTACGATAACCTTAACAAAATTTTTAGATTTCTCATCTTCTAGATCATGAATTGAGCTGATTATTTAATATCTCAACTTATAACAATTTGTACCAAAGATTCCTTATCTCTCCATATCTTCGTTCAATCAATTATCATTAACAAAATGATACAATATAAATGTCGTGTAATTTGAGTGTGTATAAAATTTAAAAAATGTTAATCTTGCTACCTGGGTTAACATTGTAAAATAGAAAAGCATCTCACAAATAATATAGGTAATGCAAAAGGAAGCAAAGCTATTGATGGGTGATATTTGTTTACATATGTAACGAACAATGTGTTAAATGGATACAATAATAAAACCAGTTGTTTTAGAAGAGTAGAAAGGCGCATTAGAATTGCATTTGCATGCATGTACTCGTGTCGTACCTTACATATGTGGCACCCCAGGCCCCATGGGCTCAGCCTAGAGCCATTGTCGTCGCTGAGGGTGCATTGGGCGCATTCCAGGAACACGAGTCATTGGTCGTTTCGCTTATGTGGCAGCGCATGAATAGACATAATCTTTTGCACTAGCTCTCTAGATAATGGGGTCGCCGCGTCAGGTGACTAATGCGGGGTCGGTTCCGTGTAGTGGACTGGGCTGACGTCACGAGTACCTGAAGTCTGCTGGCACCCTTCCCACGGCGCACGAAGCATAAGTGCAGGGTCGATTTATGCGATTACTTACATTTCGTATAGAGCTCGATCGTTAGTGGAAAGGAACGGTCTATTAACGAAGCCATAAAATTCACGCGTAATTCTGCTCCATAGGTACAATCCTTTAGCAGCTAATCCGCGAACGACTGTAAGGATTTTTTATGAACGGAGTCGGCTAATCGCCTCGTTGGGCCATAAAAAGCGTGGCATAAAAAGCGCTCTCCCCGTGGTGCGACTAGTCCCGCAGGGCTCTCGCCAATTTGCACGCGACAGGGCGTACTGTCTCCGAGGCGCGCGCACAAAGGGGCGCAAATGTTTTGACTGTGCTAATCCAAACACACGGACGGATCAGGCGACACGTGTTGCGGGCGGCGGGCCGGCCCAGCCAGCGGGGAGCCGCTCTCCCTATCGGCGCGCTAACGCGACGGAATTTATAGGTTCCCGGGAGCGAGCGATGCCCCTTGATTTGTGGCCGCATGTGCTCCTCCCGCGACATCTTTATGCACGCTTCAGGGAAATTGTTAAATTTACAACCGCGATGATGGCACGCTCTAATTTATTGTCGCTCTAAACTTCTCAAAAGCAACGCATTCCGGGATCGGGGTGAGAGGTCATTTTTTCTCAGCCGTAACCTTTTGAACGCCGTTGTTATGCGATACGGGGAGCATCTTTCTTTTCCGCTACAAAAACCGTTTCAGATAACACTTGAGACCATCTACACTCGATTCCTCTAGTAAGTCTAGTCTAGTCACATAACGATAGATAATATGAAATCACAAACGAGCGATTACAGTGGGACGTTGTGCGGTGTAGGGGTAGGTCGCGGCACTTATCGGCGGAGCAGCAGAGACGGATATCGGAGAGGCACGGGCATCGGATGCGACACAATCATACGAACGCAAACTCAACCGGGCGATGTTAAGAACGCGGTACGTGATAGAAATGTGGTCTAAATGATCATATTGATCTCATATGCATGGACAAAGTTTGAGCATCATCTCGTTGACCGGCCGAGATTCGACTGTGAAACGGTGAGCGTATCTAAGGATATAGTGTTTTGCAAAATTGAGCGTACCTCGTAATAGGTGGAAGGAGAGAGTGTTGGGTTCGCTTCCCGTGGGCCGCGGCCCGGGAGCCCATTGGTCGGCCCGTGAATAAAAGTGGATCGGATGCGCCGATCGGCGGCTGCGCGCCCCCCTCCCCCCTCCCCGCGCCCCCTCCGTTCGCTACACGGGGGGGGCGGGCCGGGGGGGGGCGGGGGGGGGCGGGGGGGGGGGAGCGGGGGGGGGGGGGGGGGGGAGGCGGCGGGGGGGGGGTAGGGTCTCCGTCCCCCCGCCCCAGCGCGGAGTGCGCGGGGCTGCGCGTGCGCAGAGCGTCGCGCAGCGCCAGTGTCCGCTCGACCGCCGCGTGAGGAGCACGCCGCAGCGCAACCGCGGTACGTAGTGAACCAGTGAGGAGCATGCTGCACGACGCGTGGCCCGGCGCCTGGCACCGCGCCGAGAGCTTCGAGCTGGAGGCGCTGATCGCCGAGGTGAACAACAACTGCCCCAAAGGTGAGTGAGCGGGCGAGCGCCGGCGGGAGGGGCGGCGGCGGCGGGCCGCGACCAATGAGCGTCTCGTTGCAGAGGGCGAGGCGGAGAGCGGCGCGGCCGACAGCCCGCCCCCGGCCGCCAGCTACCAGGAGCTGCGGCCCGCACACGCGCGCGACATGCAGCCCTACGCGCTGGACGAGCCGCTGTTCAAGGCGGGCGCCGAGTTCGCGCGCGCCAGGAGCCCCGAGCGCAGCCCGCCGCGCATCCACTACGAGCCCTACGCGCCGCACGCGCCCCACGCGCCGCCCGCCGCCTACGCGCACGACCACCACGCCGACGGGTGAGTACCGACACCTCTGGCCCTCCGCACCCCGGCGCCACCGCGGGCCGCGTTCTACGATGCTCGCGAGATAAGTGTCGAGACCAAAACACACGATAACGCTAATCTCGCGCTATCAGCCGCCGCCGCTGCGATTAAGTTCATTCAGTAGTATTTTGCGTGTACTTCGTAGTAAACGGACACGTCGTGCTTACCGTGATAAAAACATATTTTAGACCTACAAAGACAATTATACTGTTTATTTAAAATGGGAGAAGAATAAGACACGACATCGGATCACCTAATTGGGTATTTGCCTAGTAAACTGTAAATACAAACCTACTTAACTCGACTTAATTGACGCTATTAATATAATAACTTTAATGTCCAGTTTAAACTGCAAAGGCGCTATATTTTTCTTTGGAAATTTTCGTAACTTATATTCGCTATTGTTCCGAACGTCGTTTCATAATGAAATTTTCCTCAAGTATACTCGTTTCATTTCAAGACACAAATTTTTCTAAATTCCAAATTAATAATAGGTATAATTTTTCCAACGTTTATAAAACGACAGGTTTTAGAGCTCAGAGTTTCTAGGTTTTTTTTTTCTTTTTTATCTTTTATATCTTTTATAGCCGTGATAGCTCAGTGTCCGTGCGCACGTCTTTCATTCAATTTACTCGAGCAACCTGAGTTCAATTCCCGGTGCCAGCACCAATAAAATTGTTAATTTTAAGTGCTGAATTATCACGTGCTCAACGGTGAAGGAAAATATCGTGAGGAAACCTGCATATTTTCGAAATGTCAACAAAATAAAATATTTCGTAAATATGTGAAGTCCGCCAATACGCATTGGCCGCGTGGTGGACTATGATTGAGGATTGAGTAGGCCTTTGCCAGCAGTGAGACATTTATAGGCTGTTACTTTACTTTCTTATCTTTATATAAGGTGACTTTCCGTTGAGCGTAGGTATTTGTTGCTCCAAGCAACTTTCTTACTATTTAATTCATTTTTGTAACTAAAATCCTTAGCCTATTTTAAACCAGAATCGGGATAGGTCATGGTTCTAGCAATTTCCTTTTCACTTCCTTGAAAATAATAAATGACAGGTAGCCATTACCCAATCCAAAAATTAAATACTTCGGTGCCCCCTATTTTCATTATTAATATTGGTACACATGATTATGTTACGCAACTTCTTCCATATCTCAAGCAATGGGTATATAGAGGAGAGCTTTCTTTGTGCACTAAATAAGCAAATTTTATTTGATGGAATTTGCCCGGACCGTGATCGCAGTAATAATTCTAAATTTATTTTATTCTGACTCTCATCCAGAAATGTGAAAATTGAATCAAGATCGAATTTCACGTTCTAAACCAACAACTCCATTTTATTTTATTTTATGTTAAAGGAGTAAGCTGGTTGTAAGACCTACAATGCTAGGACTGGTGGTATAACCATTTTTCTATTTGAGAAGGTGGCAAGGGAGTTGGCGGTTCACCCGATGTTAAGTGATAACTGCCGCCCACAAAAAATTGCGACTTCCGTAGGATGGAAAATGTATTGCCACCTTTTAATAAAGTGGGCTCTGGTTACATCACTCGCCAGACGAAACGCAGAAGTGCAACACTTCTACTTGAAGCCGGTCTTCTGTGAGGTCGCGGTACTAACCAGGGCCGACCTGCCCATTCGTGCAACAACGAAGATTTTTGCGTGGCCCTACCACAGCACCATACAAATTAACTTGAAATAAGTGTACATTTACGTTTACTACACACATGACATTAGTTATTGAATATACTGGAGCCATATTAAATAGGCCATTTTGAGATGTGAGAATATGACGAGCGAGCCAATGGCGGTGTGTCCGGGGGCCCGCGGGCGGCCTCCTGGTCGCTCGAGCGCGATCCGGTCGCGGACGAGGCTCGGCCTTATCCGGTGGCTATTTCGGTCGGCCTGTTTACCCGTCAATTATCCTTCTACGAAGCTGTTTGCGCGCCATTACTAATTGGGCCATTGTTTGCTTCGTGCGCGTGTCAACAGTGCGCCGCGACCCTTGCCCGGCCGCCCTCCGCTCCCTTCTCTCTCCAAGCTCCCTTACAATACATTTGTCAAGCGTTCAAGCTCTTTTATCCTAAATGCGTATTCACCTTGTGCTATATCGAATAAAAGTTCTATCTTATCCCGTTCCTCGGTGCCCGGGACATAGATAAAGGTAGGTGGGATGCGCCAATTAAAAATAGTTTTTCACAACTTTTTCAAGTTAAATAAAAAATCACGGGCCCTTTGTAATATAATTTTGAACAAGAAAAAACCGATTTCAAACAGAAAACTAAAAAGACATTGTCAACCTTTGAGGATTGCCCTCGATTTCTCTAGGACGCCATCATCAGATCTGGATTTCCTTATCACGGTACCCTTAGGATATCTCCTTTCCAAGAAAAAAAAGAGTCATTAAAATCGGTTCATAAATGACAAAGTTATCCCCGAACAGATATAAAAAAATAAAGATATATACGGTCGAATTGAGAAACCTTTTTTGAAGTCGGTTAAAAACCTCTATTAAACTTGTTTTACATTTTATGTCTTAAATTTAGTAGTAATACGAACCGTCAAGTCGCTAGGCGTCTCCGACCAAATTTCGAAGAAAAAGGGAGCAAAGAGGCATAATACGAGTACTTAACAATTGTAATAATTGTTTATGCTCGTACACTGAACGTAAGTGGAACCGTGTTGTGGTCGCTAACGTTGCAGGCCCGCTCAGTAACTGACGCTTTTGTTCTTTTACCCTTACATCAGTCCAAAAGCCGCTCATGAAATAGACCGATGTCTTCCACCGCAGAGCCCCATCGATGAGGCAACGCCAGCTGCATTCGGCGTTCACACAGATAGTGATAAGGGGATTTCGCAAGCGTTCGTATCGTTCGTTTCTGCAAAACGTGTCGTTTAGTTGCTTTACAGACCTTTTGCAGAAATTTATCACGTCTTCAATGCAATGAAGCACATCGGCCGTAGGAATTTATTACTAATTAAATGTGCCGCATGGAAATTAGTTGCCTTCATTAGTTTACATTTTCAACGTTCCCGTACGTGTGCCAATAGACTTCGGTCACGACGTCAGCCAAATTGACACGATCGAAATATTTCTTTTGTAATTTATTTAATTGTATTTAGTTAGCTCCTTGAAGACTATATTCTTCCATTTGCTACGTTTAACGATAAGGCTAAAAAAAACGTTAGGATTTGTGTACCTACTAATAGTGACCCACTATACAAATTATCTGTACAATGTACCTTCAAAAGATGTGATATTATCGATCAGTTTAAAGAGGAGAGATCTCGTATAATAAAAGAATCAATCTGCGATTGAGCACGTCCCGAGCTGCTGATGCAAACGCACGGCGATAAGACACCGCGATCGAAGCGGTAGCCTCGCAGCGCTCCATCGCCATCCATCCTCATGTGCACTTTGGATGGCAACGAAGCCAATAATATGTGGCCACATATCTATAAGAGGCATATATATAAGGGTTCCGAGTAGGCCTGGCCTGCTCCTAGCCCGCAGACAGTGACGGCGGCCGCGTAGCCAGATCGCGGCAGCGCGTGCCGCGGTGTCGCAACGGAGCGGCCGGACGTGCCTCGTTGGCGGCGACGTGCCGCAGCGCCGTTGCGCCCACCGCGCCTGCGCACCTCCTGCTGCCGCTGCGCTCTTGATAATCCGCGCATTGTTTCAAACGGCCCTGGCTCCGGTGGCTGTCTCATTGCGCCATTTCCCAACGGCCCCTTGTTTTTACCGCGGCTGGTAAAGCGACAAAGTTTCGACATCTCTCTCAATGCGCGCTTCATCCTTTCCTCTTGCGGAATGAAAAGAATATCCACAAACAATATGTTTTCCTCGTGGCGTTGCTTAGTGGCAAACGTGAGGTACGGTGCGCCGGTACATGTTCGGTTGCGGTGGTCTGCGGTCGCTCGATGCGCACACACATTTTCAAGTAATTAATTTCCAATCACCGACAACCAGTACTCCTTACATAACGGCACATTATTCGAAATTATATTGTATGCTGCTTCATATCGTGATTTGCGTCACCGAAAATATTACTTAAATAATTACAGCAATATCCACATATATGTATAGTATCGTTTCTAAAATTTAAGGAACACTAATCAATTTGGACATTTAAATAATCATATTATTTTAAATTCAAATATCGCGCGTTCAAAACTATACAAAGTTATTTAACCAATAACGTTTTTTTCACTAACTTCGAGCGTTATTTTTACCTTTATCGATCGAGTTTCTTTTGTCTCACTAATGATGATGCGATAACTCATCAAAGAAACATCAGTCTTGGAGCGGACAACAAGCGACGCATTCCAAACTGCTACAATATATATTACATTTTGTGTTCTAGTTCGCGTGTATACTTTAAAAATGTTAACTACTTAATAGTTTACGAGTCTTTATTGCGGCTATAAGTTCGTTTGTTGTTTACGTATCGTGGGCAAAATGTGCGAATAAATATAGCGCCGATGCAATAATTCCTTATACACACATTGCACGAGGAAGTGTTCCATGTTAAACGTGACGTAAAAGTAACACAAACATCTCCGGAGAAAAGTTACCTGGCCCAAAGGTTCTGTTTGTGCTGACTTTAAAAAAGAGCACACAAGGCAATGTTCTGACAAGCCAAGATTTATTCAGTCTATGACAAAAGTTTTTGCCTACTAGAGGAATTGACAGTTAATTCTCATTGAATTTGGTAACCAAGGCAAAGTGACATATGAAGTAGTTATAACCCATACGGAGGTTTATTCAAGTAAACGGTTTGCCAAGGTTCTCCACATTACACTTGAGAATTCGGCTGACGTTACTACGACCAATCCGACGATGGGCAGCTGCCGCGGTGTCTCCCGCGAGTAGTTTACGGGTATTCCCGGCAATGCATTCGGATAAGTTTGGCCAAGCTGCTTAGTAATTGCGTGCCTGCCACATGTTACTACAATAGGTAGACGATTTAACCGAGGTACTCACACGTGCGCACCGGCCTGTATGCATACACGAGTGAGTTGTACTCGACGACTCCGTTCCGTTGCTCACACGGGCGCGAACGTTGCGCGGACCATCGCCGAATCTCCCGCGTTTGGCGCCTGCGCTGTTCGCGGCCCGTGGCTGAACGCTGCGAGGGCGCGGGCGCCGTCCGCCGCTCGCGACGGTGTGAGCGGCGGCCGCGGCGGTTTACGACCGCCCTCGTGAGCACGTTTGTACATTTCCACGTACTATTGTTGGGTACGCAGCGGTCTAGCGCGATGTTGTAAAATTTAATATTTCGCATGCCATTTGTACGTGCAACAGTTTCCGCGACTGCACCATATTGCACTGGCAGGCTCTTTGTTCCCGCTCCAAACGAAAGTCTATAAGGATGACTTATTAAGTAAATCTAAAGAAAATATTTCAATATCACATGAATATTGTATTGGTTTGTACAGGAACGAGAATTTCAAATCAGCAACATTGTTTGATGGGAAGCATAGAATATTGCCGTGCCATAATTGAAGAGCAATAATTGAATACAAAATAAATTGCGCGCAATAATTGTTTAGACCATTTCTTGTTTAGACCATGCAACTCATTTATTGCTTCAATTTAATTGTATACAACAGGCAAGAAACTGGCCCCGTGTAAATGGGCCTTAAGTTATAGGATGTTTAAACGTAGATCGAACGTAGGCGAAAGTACCCAAAGAGATTTGTCTCACTCACCTGGGAAGGCTAAGTAAACATTATTAGGTCTCAGTCGTAAATAAAATCTATAATCCAGGAACGATAAATGTGTATGTCATTCATTCGAAACAATTTAAAATATATCACGTTAAAGCGAAATCATTGTTTAATTACTTGTTTAATGTATTAAAATCTTTGAATGTTAAATCAATAGCAATAATTAGGATGTTTTGTTTCAAAATGAACATTTAGCCATCGAACAATGCCGGGGAGAAATAAATAGACAAGAGACAGGATATGTCACCGAATAGGAACGCGTTTAACTCTGTTATTGGTAAAAGAGAGTTTGTTTCGGATTACTTGGAAGCCGAACAATAAGACCATAATATTTGTGCAAAACTACAATTGCTACCATTCGTTTCGGCTATTTTAATGCACTCAAGCCATTTTGAAACTTTTCCTTGTTAATTGTCGAATGCAATTTTGGTCAATTTAAAAAGACATTGTTACATGATCAATTTCTTATCAGAACTTGACATCTTCACTTTTGTTACTATACCAAAATAATGATACCTTTTTCAAGGACACTGTTGTCAAACTCGTTATCTTTGAGAAATTGTCCCCTTCGAGTGTGATTGCGGGAAGAAGAGCAGTAGGGGGCCGTTCCGCTCTTCGCTTTAGGTTAATTTTTGTGGCGTCATGGCAGAGGCAGTTAGCTCAGCATCGGATAAGTTCGTACCTCAGCACAAGTTAGCTGTACTATGGTCGGCACTAGGAGCCTTCTCGGCATCATGTTGTTAGGGACGAACAGCTGGGCTTATCGGCTGAAAGATGAGTTATTTGGCATACCTATTACCTATTACGCACAGGTGGCTGGTAACAAAATACCACTAGGCGATGATCCGACGATCCTCGTTACTATTTGGGAGTTTATTTTAATTATCTGGCATTAATTGAAAACGCGCGACGTTGTACCGCACTCGGTCGATGTGTCGCGTTATCAGCGCGCGTTGGCCGTTGCGTCACTCGCACGCACACAGGCGCGCGCGTCCGCGGCCGGAGGCACGCACACGCACACGCACACGGCCGCGATCACGCGCCAACAGCCATCCACCGCGCGACACTCGAACGGTTCGAGTTGACGCCGATTGCTTGGGCTGGCGTTCGGTTCAATCTTGGAGGAATATCCATCTCTGGGCCCGCGGCGAGAGAAACAGGGAAGGAAACGTGCTGAAGATAGGAGAGTACAATTGAGCGACGATGAAATGAGATAAATTAAATGGCGCTCAGTTTCTGAGCGATGTGCAAAGGAGTAAACATTGGTAGTAGATAAAGCACGTAGGCGTTGGCCACGTCGGTATTTAGACATTTGTTTTCGAGCAAAGCTTAGAAGCCAGAAAAACATAGAAAGTGCCGACCATTAATGGCTGCCTGCGTGTACATGTCGTACGGCGTGGTGGAAGGCAGAGTGGGGCCCCGTAATCGATTGGCCACCGTTGGAGGCCGCGCAGACGGCAGCGCGTGCGCGTGTGTGTGCATGTGTGCGCGTGTGTGTGCATGTGTGCGCGTGTGTGCCGTGTGGCCGCGCGTGTTCCGCGAACGCGCAATGCCTACTTCCTGCGCCGGAGCCGCGACACTTAACCCACTAACGGCGCGGCGGTGTGTGAGTCGCCTCCGTGAACCCAGAATCGACTCTAAGCGAAGCGCAAAGGGGAGCTGCTCGGGGAGGCTCCGTTGCGCAAACACCGCTACGCCCCAAATATATAAAACGCGGACTTGGGCAAAAACGCCGGTTTGTTTGCGCGTCGAAGAAAGTGGGGCTCGTTGGCGCGATAAGTCGCGAAACGGCGCGAGGGCCCCGACGCAGTACCGACAGAGCTGTCGCTAAGTGTGTCGAGGCTGCCCCCCTCAACTCGGTGGATGAATCCCTAGGACGCTTACCTTAGTAGATTTGCGTGCAGCGCATTCAAACTAAGTAATTCAATCTACAACACAAACAAACAAGCTGATATCGAAAGGATTGCATAGTGCTCCTTGCCGGAAATTATTTTAGTGTCATATTTATGATAATATCTGATTATTCCCTGTCCTGCAAAAGTGCCTGCCATGATAGCTCAGCCTCAGGATGCCAGGATTCTTTGTAAAAAAATACATTAAATGCAGTTGATAACGGTTTAATTAAATAATTTGGAATTATCGGTAAACGCCAAAAAGTTTTTATTGGTTGGCATGGTAACAACCTCTGTTCTATACAGAGGTTGTTACCATGCCAGCCTTTGCCCAGCTGTGGGACATGTACTTTACTTTTACTATGGTAACACCATGAAGTTGTAACTTAAAAAAAAAAAAACAAAGATATGTGAAATTTGCCAATCCGCATTGGTATCGCGTGGTGAACTTTACCCTGATACCCAGAGCTAAAAAAGTTGATGAGCATATACTTCCGGTAGCACGTAAATCCTAGATAGCCGAGCGTTTTTTTAGCTAAACACGCTGCTTGCCATGTTTGGCACAGTTAAGATTTTGTAATAAATATTTTATGGCCTTGGGCAATCCCTTTCATGTTTTTCATACAATATATGTAATATATGTATACAATATCTAAAAGTCCCCGTAAAAGGAGGTGGGGGCGAGGGGCGCCTCGGCCAGAGCGTCAGGCGTGGGCGTGGGAAGCGCACTGGTCATGGGACACTCGCCACATCGCCGTTAATAGAGTAAACATTACATCTGAGTATCTAAATATGGCCTAGTCCTTATTTTTTGCATATTGTTAATGCATTGATTACTTACTAAATAAATTAGTTCTATATTTTCTCACATACAACCGCTGTACAGGGCGGGGGCGTACATTTTTTGTCCAGAATAGTTCGGTAGGTATTTTGCATTCAATATTTCTCTGTAATATTTGAGTATTTGGTAATACAGGTTTTTAAGAAAATATGCACCCGGAAGACGATATAAGAGCCCTAATATTTATGCCCATTATCGGGGCATGCATTACAACGCTTAACGAATTGTTTAATGCAACTTTTGTCAATGGACGGCGGTTATCACCTAATATCAGGTGAACCTCGTTTGCCACTTCTCACATATTAAAAAAGACTTTAAAGGTAAAGAAAGGAACGGGTAATTAACAAGTATAATAGAATTAGTAAACATCAGTCGTTTCCATTTTAAAAATGAAATGGAACAATAAAGTTTCCATTTTATATAATTTATTTTTATTTAAGAAGGTGCCACCCATCGCCCACTGACATTTGCAGAACCCTTAGGGTTGCAGACACGTTGCCATCTTTTAATTAGGGCTCCGACTACCTGACTCTCCAAACTGAAATTAGAAGTATAACATTTTCACTTGACGCCAGTCATCTGTGAGGTCGTGTTACTTACCCGGACGGGCTTGCCCATTCGTCCAACAGCGAAGACTGTGACGTGTTCTTACCATAGAAAAGAACAAGCAATTGTTACTTCTACGCCATCTGCCCCTATCACTTTAGCTGCATGAATTCGTTGCTACGCGAGCGTTTGATGGCATTTATATATTAGCATGAGATTGCAACTGAGATGTTATGGACTACTTAAGTTGAGGGCCTTCCATTGTCTGAAACTGTAAAGTATAGGTTTTCTGCCAGGTCGCGGTACTCCCCGGTCGATCTAGTGTATAATTACAGCAGGAGTTTGCCAGTTATGGATCAGGCGTATCACTACGAACTGTTTACCCGGTCAGCTGCCCTCAGCGCAGACAGCATCGTTCCTGGCGCCCTTATCGCGCGCGATAAGCCGCTTCCTAACGCTGGATGAACGGACCGCCGCTATTATTTTAGTTTATCGCGCGCCTATTTATAGCCCCTCTCATTTGAACACACGCTCGATCACTGTTATCTCGCGCGATACAAAACTGTGAAGCGATCGAGATCCACAAAATTTAGATGTAAAGCGTTCGGATTATTCGTCGCGCCCTGTGATCGTGTTGCGGTGTATGCAACTATACATACGGTGTGGCCTGAAGTGCACGGGCGAAGCGGCCGCGGCAGGTGAGGCGCTAGCCAATGTTTGTCGGCGGGTTTTTGTGTGCCCTCTCTAACTCGCCGTTTTACACGTCTCGAGGGCCCTCGGATCGTTTTCAAATTTGTTCGTGTGCTTTTTTGTCCGCTCGGGTGACGGCTTAAGTGTTCCCAATGAGTTGTTTGTATAGGCCTCGGGGGTCCCGCGGCGGGACGTTAGCGAGTGCAAATAGGTTCGGGCGGTTTGTGCGCGCTCTTCCTACGTCCCCCACGACCCGTGGCCGCGCCGGGCGCCGGCCGGCGTGTCCGTCGCGTGCGGGCGTGGGCGCACGTGGGCCCCCATCCGTCACGCCATACACACACCTCCACCATGCGGGCCCCCTCCTACTGCGCACGCCTAACTGTAACCGACTCGTTATCTGGCGCCCACCGAGCGCAGCACTTGAATGTGCAATATGAAAAGCGGTGCGGCGTTCCGGTTCGCGTCCTGCGCCCTTCGTCAGCTAAATAGTTTGAACGATTCTCAACTCATGTGAAACGTGACACCCTCCGTGGTTCAATTGATTAGCCCGAACGCTCTACTCGGGCCGAGAGTTTGCGCGCGCGTTGGAATCGGAGCCGGCCACACGATATATTATAGCAGCACTATAACAATAACACAACACCAACGACGCCCATTCATCTGCATGCTCGTAATAGCTTACGCTGCGATGTGGCGGGAACAAGCAGCGCCCCTTTGAATTAATGAGACAAACGGCTGCGTTGTATAGTTGAACAAGAGGTGATGCTGTGAGACAAAATTAAAAATAATTGCGGTGTATGCGTGTTCGGTACACTCCTTTTTACAAGTTAAACGGCGTGGTGTGTGCCGCGTCCGGGTTCACTCGAGGGCGGAGGCGGTGAGGGACGGGGACACCAGCGATAAGCGCGGCGCACTTCCTAGCGTTCCGAGCCATTAGCCGCGTCTCGTTCCACTTGGCGCCACCAGAATCGTGGCAGAGGGCGACCGCAACCCATGCACCACGGGCCCCCATCGGAGCCCTGAGCGGCAACGGTCGATTCATTCAGGCCTCCTCAAACTTTATGAACATATCCGGACGAGTTGAAAGAAACGCGCCTGTTTAAGTGGCCGGTGCCGCCATTGTTTCAGGCCGCGCGTGTGCGCCTGACCCATTGTAGGCGGCTGGTCCGTTAATCCGTTACGCGGCCAACTCCTGTTAGTGCGGCCCGCGAGAGTAGGCGCCCACATACAAATAAGGTGGGAAGGTTAAGGCCGCCTCTCCCCTTACACGGTTCTCGGAAACGCTGTTCTGAAGGCGTGCTCCATTCATGTGCAACGTCTCTTGTGCGGTTGCTAAAATAAAATTGCTATCGTGTGTTAAAAAGTTTTATTTATATTATATACACATTGCAAAGTAAGTTATTTATGCTGAACGTTAAATTGAAACGCTACCTTCTTTGTTAACTTTACTTGTTTATTTTTACATAACATATAATGTATGACTAGAAATAACACTTAAAAATAAATCATAAGTAATTGTAAGTTGAGCTTACTATGAGGAAGATGATTACTTGGAGATGGAATGCAATGGTTTCTTCTTATAATTTTGAGAAAGCTTATCTAATTCAAATCCAAACATTCTGTAAGTAGATTTAGTCTACGTCATGGAAAACGAATGTAGTATTTATTATTTCTAAGATAAGTCTTGAAAGCCGACAGAAAACAAATGTTACTCGGTCGTTAGTTTAAAATTGCTCTTTTATTTTTATGCATGACATTTCTGGTGCCCGCAACCCGCAAGGTAAAGAAATGGGCAATACTTTAATTCCAACATCTGGCGGTGACTCCAAGTACTCAACGATAGTGTAATACATTGTGAAATGAAACTATTACCTATACGGATTTTATCGCGTATAATTAGGCTCAGCCTGTCCCGTGCCCATGAAAGCTGGTTCGTAATGTTGGGACTTTTAGAAATGCAATTGTACGCAATGTCGCAATGTATAATATTCGCGCAAAAACAAGAAATCAATAGCATAGTAGTTCAGTATTGAGCCAATATCTCCGTTTAACTTTGTGCCGGAATCGGTGTCACTTGTTTGAGCGTAACAAGCGTTCTCTAGTATTTGAAGGAACGGCGCTCGAGGAAATTGTATGGTGTTTGTTTATTTAATTGTGCACGCCGTGCCGAGGTGCCGAGTTGCCTGGCCGCGGTGGCTTGCTCTCGATACCGTTCAACGTGTGCCCGTGTGTGTGCGTTGGATTGTCGCGTACGACTGTACGTGTTTCCGTTGTGTGCAGGTCGGGCGCGGTGTATTCACGATGCGCCTACTCCACCGGCGCGCCCTACTTTGGAAACGGCGCAGACCTCTCGCAGCCGCAGATGTGGACCTCCGGCTCAGGTAAACAACTGCCTGCAACTGTTTTACCTAACGAGTCCTTTTGCAACATGGATGTCAATAACGTTTTTGGAATGATGTGATATATTACTAAGCCTTTCGATGCTTCACTAAATGGACATTTGATGAAAGAGTACTCATATACACTGTGCTTGAACAAGTTCCCGTCAGTAGTCAGGACTTTTATTGGCTAGAATGGGTATGACCCAGCAACGTACTTAGTGTTGGTTGCAGACTTGTGCAAGTGGACGGAGACGGTGCCGGTAATGAGGAGTAATGTATTAGATTGCGCAGGTGGGTCGCCGAGCTACAGCGGGAGTGTGCTGGAGGATTACGAGACGGCGGAGGGGGAGGGCGCCAACGGGGTGGGGGGCGGCGGGGCGAGGGCGGGCGGGAGCGGCGCCGGCGGCGGTGCGGAGGGGGCGCTGCCCGCCTTCAGCACCAGGTTCGGGGGTGCGTTCGCGTCGCGCCCGCCCCCCTACGGCACGGCACCACTGCCCCCGAATTACGCGCATCAGGTACGGCGTCTACACATAATTCACTTCACTCTTACATAGGGGCTGTCCCTTAATCACGTGAGGCATAAAAGCCCCCCCCCCCCCTTTGGTTTGGCAAAAATCACGAAATATCACAAGGGGGGAGGGTGGTGTGTGTGTAGTAAGATATCACGTGTATTTATTTTCTGTCAAACACGTAATTTCTAAACCGAGAAGCAGTGTGACCTTGGCTGTATTTAAAGATATTCTAAAAATTTTAAGATTCTTCGTAGGTACTACACACTAAAAATACACGTGATTTTTGTTGGGGGGTGGGGGCGTAGTATTAAACCTCACCACGTATCACCAAAGGGGAGGAGGGAGGGGGATAAAAAATGTTAAAAAAACCTCACGTGATTAAAGGACGGCCCCATAGCCATATTATTAATAGGTTTTTTTTTTTTTTTTATGCGAAAAGTTGTCAAACGAGCAGACGGTTCACCTGATGTTAAGTGAATACCGCCGCCCATGGACATCTGCTACACTCGAGGGTTACAGATGCGTTGACAACCTTTTGAAAATTGGGCTCCGGCTACCTCACTCACCAGACGAAACGCGAAAGTATTTGTCATACTTCCACTTTACGCCGGTCTTCTGTGAGGTCGTGGTACTTACCCGGACGGGCCTGCCCATTCGTGCAACAGCCGAGACTGCTGCGTGGCCCTACCACCGTAAATAGGTTCTAAATTCAGACGTCATACGACACGGTTGAGCATTTTAGTAAAAGGTTATATTTAACAACATTTTCGCTTTTTAGAAATTTAAAAATAGCGCTAATCCCAGCACTTAAGATTTAACATTAAAATTTTTAAAAAAAGTACGACAAGTTGCTGATTGCCACAGCCGCGAAACACTTTTCGTACGTTTTTTTAAGTTTTAACATTTTGCCTGTTATGTTTGTGAGTTATTATTATTCTCACAATTCTGTAGCTCAAATGTTGCCAGAATTGGCCAAATAAGATGTCCTAATCTCTGTCACGATTCCATCGAAAAAGATGCAGGTGTTCTCGTAAACAGTGCAGTAACGTCGCCTTTTGCAGGACGTCTGGACGCTGGAGCGAGGCCGGCCCCAGCTCTCGGCCGCCGCCAGCCTCAGTGCCAGTGAGTACCATCGAGCCCCATTCGCACTTATACCATATACACTTAGTCTCCCAAAAGATACAAGCTTCACGAATGTAAAAACAATAAGAGGTGAAGCCTCCAAAATCTATTTGAACGATGAAAATAGTTTATTACCTGTTTGTGTTTACTACAATGCTAATAAAAAGGTTAATGTGGTGGGGCCACGCGGTAGCTTCCACTGTTGCTCGTCCGGGGAAGTACCGCAGCCTCAAAGAGGACCGGCGTGGAGTGGAAGCATTGTACTTTCTCGTTTCGTCTGGTGAGTGTCCGGGGTCCACTTTGTACAAGGTTGTCAACAGATCTTACAGCCCCCAAGTATTGCAGACGCCCACTTAAAAAAAAATGTATAAAAGCTAAAGTAAACACGCTGATGGATGTATTTATTTATAATGTGCCTTTTGCCCCTTGGTTGTTTGGACTGAGTTGGAACAATGTCGAGCGATAATTGCGCGTGCCTAGAGCGAGGACTCGTCCGTCGGTCGTCAATCACAGAGACAAACTTGGCAACGGCCGCCGCCGTGCTCAGTACACGGGCGCGGCGCCTGCCGACGGCGTCCCGCTGGGGCGATCTCGCCTCTCGCGCTCACGCATCAGGGGCCATTATTGCGTGCGCCGAACACACCCGTTGACTCACGTGTTGCGTCACACCGCTTTGTCCGCGTCTCCCATATACACAGAATAGTTTACGTGTACCCGTTTTATCAGCTCTTTTTACACTTCCGTGCCTAAAACGGCACAAGTCGATCCTCCTTCCTAGGAGCCGGCAGCCCCGCGCTCGGCACTGTGCCCTCATTGTCCCCGGATCCGACAGACCCACAAAGCGCTCTAACTGTCCCTCCACCTTGGAAGTGCGTATTATGTTTGCCCTTCAAATATCTTAGATAACTTAATTGTTGAGCACATTGTCTCCATTTCACAAACCGTTATGAACCTTTTAAGCTTTGCAAGAATGACGTCTCCGCTTTATCAGTCTTCAGTAAGCCAAAAGACATCAAAGTGGGAATACAAAGCTCTTGAGTTAGGTATTCTGAAGAAAAATATAGCTTTTAAAATATAGATAATTGATTAAATTATCGAATATTAGACTCAATGCCCGTCCTGCACTTATAGATGATTTTAACTCGGGATGGACTCATTAGTATTAATAACGATACTTGTTTACAAGGTGCCAAGCGCGTCTCAAAAACATCTCTTCTCGACATTAACCATAAAGGGGGAACGGATCACATGTATTGGTCGATATTTTCTATTGTACCTCCTGCGATTGATGCTTAAGTATCCGATTATCCCTCCGCGTGCAAGACGAGGGGTGGAAGACGTCTCAGCAAAGGGCTCGGGTAGCCGATAAGCGACGCGGCTCGCGCGCACTAATTCAACGTCCCGCGGCGACACTTAACCTTCGTCTATCTTCGGAGGTCCTCTCGGCCTCGGTTTTGTGGCCCATTAATAATTAATAGCTTCCTTCGAAAAAGTGTTACGTCCCGATAAGTGCGCAGTTAAATTTAGTGCTTGTTGTCATAACCTTTTTTGCGGATGAGAAAAATGAGTCGAGATAACAACAATATTTTGAATACCGTTTGAACGAATTCTCGTAAACTTTTGACTCAACAATTTAAATGTACTGCCAGCTCCTTGTTATATTGAATTTATTCATGTAAACGGTAAACAGATTATATTGCTATAACGAAGTTTATTATAATATATCAAAATAACGAAACGGTGATAACCGCTATTTGTAATTATATTGAGTTTTATCAGAAAATTCTAAGACGTGTTCAATCTTTTCCAATAAAATACATGACCGAAGATTTACATATCTCCGAAAAAAGCCCGGGTTTTTTAAAAATTAAAAAAAAAACACTTCGTTGCTTGAACTAAATTTACTGAATCTCACTGATCCTTTACTGTTGGTGAAACAGAAAATACTTACTAAACCTTCACCCGCTAAACATTCTTAGTGGATCCCTCAAATTAAAGAAACATTTTTCAGCGCATTTGAACATTCAAATCTACATTCGAATTAAATTCAAATCCAATGCAAATTTATGGGAGCGTCGATACTTTTCACACATATTTTCTCTCCATTCGGGACCTAAGCGGTTATCATTGGAATTGTGAAAGTTAAATTAAGGTACCGGTTATTGTATTAACATAACACTGCCGTTTCAATAACCGCTATCTGTTAATTAACGGCTGCTATATTCAAATGAACGGGCGACAAGCCCGTCGCTGAGTCAACATATTCGAACGCGTTTGTATGAAAAGCCAATAAATTTGTTCAAATACAGATAAGTCGGAGGTAAAACATAAAAAATAGGTTCACAATTCTTTTGTTTTTCGTGTCTACAACGATAAGCACGCGACTAACAGCGTACGCGTGTCCTCTAGCAGGCGATGTGGCATCCGCCTATACAGCCGTTTCTGTGCCGACACTCGTTCCTATATTCACCTTTGGACACATGATCGTCTCTGCGGGAGGGCGCCCGGATAGGCGTCCGTCGGACGAGGCCAGAGCCTGAGCGTGAAGAGCGCTGCGCGCGTGCCCCGTCCTGTCCAAACAGAGTGTCGCGTGGACATTGGCTCGCTTTGCTCGCCGCGGCCGGACGCGCTGTTTGCATAGGTCCCGACAAAAACCGCGTCGCCTTTCCAAATGAGGCCGTTCCTTTTAAGCGCATTAAAATCGCGCTCCGTTTATGGCCCCGGATGAGGCACGTGCCGCGTCCGGTGACGTCACGCGTGCCCCCACCACAAGACCTCGAATCTAGATCACACGTTCGACATGTCACGCAACTGGCAGCGACACGTTAGTGATCTATTAAATATTTCCAAATTACTATGCTATGGTGTGCGCAACCACGTGGTGGCCGATGACGCAACGCCGCCCGTAACCCGACGCCAGCGACACGGAGGATCTGGATCTGGCCGATTACGAGGGGCAGATGCTGCCACGCCGCTATCGGGTTCCAACGCTAATGCCCCGAATGAACATAAACACTTCGCTTCGCTCCGATGTCAAACGAGCCACAATATGGTTTCGCGCCTGCATCGAGCCCATTAATTAAAATAAAAGGCAGCAAACATTGCGGCTCTTGCGCCGACGTGTTTACAAATTACGAACGCAGAGCTGTGGCGACGGTCGACACGCGATAATGTACCGAAGGGCTCAATGTCTAAACTCCAATATTGCATCGTAACAACAGTTGTTTACACATGAAAAAAAAACTGAGTATTGAAGGCAGTTTTGTTTCTTATGACTCGAAACTGATTCATAATATTCCATTGATGATCTGCATAGAAGAGACTTTGTTACTTGTATTTAGGTGACAAAAAAAGATGATTTTGAAACAGGAAAGTGAAACGTAAATGTTTGAAGGAAATAAACGGCTAGGAAATTCTTTGGATAAGATATTGATCTCGGCGCGGCGGTGGGTCGTATCGCGGAGATAGGCGGGGGCTACCGCGGCGACGAGGGGCCCAATAGTGAAAGCGCTGCGTGCATCTCATTGTTAGCCCGCCTCAGGCCCGCGCCTCCTCCGCTCTGGCGTCTAGTCTCTGCGTCGCCGCGCAGCGCTCTCTAATCGAATAATTCTCGTTGCAATTCCTACGGGGCTCGATGTAAATAATCGATTACGTCTGGCCGAATGCGACTGGAGGGATCACGTGACGGGCGACGCGGTAAGTAAGCCTCGATGCGGCGCGACGCGGCATTAGCACATCTGCGCGGTTAACGGTCGCAGATTCCACGGCGGCGGGCGATCGGGTTACGCCCATGAAACGGTGAGCGGAGCGCTCTAGTCAACTTTGAACATACGCCATACACGAAGTTATGCGCTGGCATCCATTTCCCGTCGCGTGTGGCGCGGGGCGCACGTCCGCGAGGCGCCGCGGGCACGTCCGCGCCGAGAGCACGTGCCGCGGCCGCGCGCCGTCAGCGTTTTCGCGCGAATCTGGCGGCCATTGCCAAGGTCGGCCCGTTGTCGATTGGCGTTGTCACTGAATACACATTGGGTCTCAACAATGGGCGACGCTCCGGGCCAATGTCGCCGGGCGCGCGTGGGAGGGAGGCTCTTAATGGCAGCGGTGTGTTGCGCAGTCGAGTTGGCGGAGTTTTACACGGGGGGCCGGGAGTGCGTGAACTGCGGCGCCATCCACACTCCGCTGTGGCGCCGCGACAACACCGGCCACTACCTGTGCAACGCGTGCGGCCTCTACAACAAGATGAACGGCATGAACCGGCCGCTCAAGCAGCCGCGGCGGCTGGTACGTCAGCGGCACGCGGTTGCCCCGCCGCCCACGCCCGACGTACGCAGCCCACGTCTGACTAACCCTAGATCCGCCCCTCGCCCCCCTCGCCCCCCTCGCCCCCCCACCGCCCGCGAGACATCCGCGCCCGACGTCCCTCCCAGTAGTGACGCTTGTGTTGGTTGCAGTGGCCGCGGAGGGGGCCCCGCCGGGCGCGGATTTCTACAAGGGCATCCTCCTCCAGGGCTATAGCGGCGTGACGCCGCTCGCGCTGCCGCCCGCGCCCGCCGCGCCCCTCGCCGCCTCCACCCCCCCCGACTACAAGCAGAAGAAAGGGGTACGTCGCCCCGCTCCCCCCACCGGCCCCATCGCCCTTCCCAGGCCCGCTCACTAACACTCATCGCTTCCTCTATGCTAACCTACCGACTACTGTCACTGTTGCATGGCTCAGGTGGGACTTGGTGCCGCTGTGACTAACCAACCGCATGCCACCTCGAGCTCCAGGAGTAGCTATCTCTGAAAACACCACCAAATACTTGTACCATTGAAGTTGCTCCTGTTTCTCAAGACTAATAAACACAATCGGCTAAACACAGGGACCTCATTCAGTACTTGTTACATTTTCTACACTGGCGGGCTTCTGTCTTCAAATAAAAAAAGTATATATCACACTGCTGACGAAATACTTTCCCCTCCTGTACAAAGGATTTTAGGGGGCTATTCACCATTCAACCATAGTATATTTTTTAAAAAACTGAGCATGCGATGAGTCTTAAAATTGCAGTTGTTCATTGGTGCAACCTACTAAAATTAAAGTGAGCGCCCGCACACTTAGCTTATTCATATTAATTCTTAGAGACTTAAAGAAAACTGCACTTGAAACATAAAATTATTGAGGTTTCTGAGTGCGGCCGAAGTATCCAAAATTGCCTTCTCATTATGTTTTCAAATATCTTTCAAGTTTACCCAAAACTCAATAGTTCAAGTTAGTATTAGCATAAGTGAGAAGTGCAAAATAACAAATTGTATTAAATTACAAAACAATCTCTGGTCTAAATGCATTCTGAAATAATGTCGATCGATATTGATCGACTCGATCCAGAACTGTAGCTTTGTACTTGGTACGGGTGATCTCTCTCACGAGGCAGACCATCGCCGAGTGCGTCCAGTGACGCCCTCGGCCGTAGGAGGGCGCCACTGGACGCGGCGGGGGGCGGTGGGGGGCGTCGGGGGGCGGCGAGGGGCGGTCTTGAGAGCGTTGTTTCGCGCCGCGCAGATGGGTACCAAGCGGCCGGGCATGTCGTGCAGCAACTGCCACACCACCGCCACCTCGCTGTGGCGGCGCAACGCGCACGGCGAGACTGTCTGCAACGCGTGCGGCCTCTACTACAAGCTGCACAACATCAACCGCCCGCTCGCCATGAAGAAGGACTCCATACAGGTGCGCAAGCTATGGTTTTTTTAGGGTTCCGTACCTTAATAGGTAAAAAGGGATCCCTTATAAGATCGCTCTCTTGACCGTCTGTCTGACCGTGTGTCACCACCGATTTTCTCGTTGCACCTAGGAGATTGAAATTCTAGGTCAACCGGAAGTACCTACCCTAGATTTTTTTAATGTGAAAAAGTGGCAAACTGGCTGGCGGTTAACCAGATGTTAAGTGGTAACCGCCGCCCATGGACATTTGCAACACCCTACGGGTTGCAGAAGCGTTGCCACCTTTAAATAAAGTGGGCTCCGGCTACCTCACTCATCAGACAAAACGCAGAAATGTAACACTTCTACATTACGCAGGTCTTCTGTGACATGGTACTTACCCGGATGAACCTGCCCATTCGTACAATGAACATCATTGGTGGTACCACCCTTCCACAGTTGGTGGTAATGCTGACCGCTGTTGTATACGCGTGATGGCTGTTGGGCAGCACAAGCACGTCAGTGCTTCAATTTTGACATTGACGCACAGAATGTCGCTTAGTTACCGCATGATCCTCGCAGTGTACTTTGTCGAATCTTTCGCAATATTCACTAACAATAAATAAATAATAATTGTACAAAATACGTTACATCTGAAATAATCAAAAGGAGGATAGACTGAAACCCCATATGCGATTTGCAACGCTTGTTGGAATTTGAAATATTTTAATTAATTCATTCGATAGTTTCCTTCTTTAACAAATTATAGTAATATTTTTCTAATATAAGTAGGTGTATGAGAAAACGGTATCCATTTCCAAGACTGAAATAAAATTCTGTGCAGGAATTGAAGCTTCGCTTGTTTTTACTTACGAAAGGGTGTGCTACCGAGCATTGGAAATGTAATAAAAACAAGTAGTGGACAAATATATGCAAACATTTTGTGGGTGCCTACCGCCAGAGTGGTTGGTGTTGAGCGTTCCAGTGTAGCTCCAAAGATAGAACCGTAGAACTAAAGTCAGTTGAGACTCAAAAGTATACTTAAAATGTCGGTAAAATTATAATAATTCGAAGAGACCGTTTAGAAAGCTAAGACAATGTATGAAACAACATAACTCAGACTTAAAGGACTTTATTTTCAGACGAGGAAACGAAAGCCAAAGAACAGTATGAAGGGGGAGAGGAATCTCAGTAAGAGCAGTTCGCACGCGACGCATGGAGGGCACGCTGGCCACGGCGGCCACGGCGGCCACGGGGGCCACGGCGGCCACGGCGGCCACGGCACGCACACGCCGCACTCGGCCGCCTCGACCGTCAAAATTGAGAACTTGTGTGAGTAGGCAAAGTAAATGACATTTTAACAGCTATAGTATTTTCAATAATACTTTTGTTCCTATTAAACTATATCTATGTCTATATTCTATGTATAGGATAAAATAAAGTCGTTTCGCGCCGTATGTCTCTGTGTACACCTGGATCTTTAAAGCTACGCTATGTATTTTAATCAGTTTCATCATTAGAAAAGTTGAAATATGGCGACAACTGTGGATAATGCCGGAAGAAATCAAATCGATCGACATATTTCGTCGAGAATGCTGTTTTATTCTTTTGAAATACTACACTTTGATGGAGTTGTGCCTCTATATTCAGTCCCTTTTGACCCCACATTAGTTTACATATAAATAACATAACGTCTTAAGCTTATAATTCTTGTGCATGAATCATGATTAGCCTGAAAAGCAGTATACCAATTTACGCTTCAGTTTATTCTTTTTTTTTGGTGGGAAATTATTTGGTGTGATTTAACAGGATATTCATCACAGTTCCAACCTTTACTCATTATTCCAGATGAACATAATTATATGTGATGTAAACTAACGTATCGTCGTTCGCCATTCGGCAGTGGAGGGCAACCAGGGCATGGGCGTAGCGCGGGGCGTGGGCGTGGGCGTGGGCGGCGGCGCGGAGAGCCGCGCGGCGCTCGCGCTGGGCTACTACGTGCAGCACGCGATCAAGCTGGACGAGCCGCCGCCGGCGCACGCGCACGTGCACGCGAACGCACACGCGCACGCGCACGCGCACGCGTTGGCCACGCACGGCGCGCACGCGCAGCACGCCGCCCACGACATGTACGAGGAGGTGGAGTACCGGCGCGGCGAGCCCTCCGAGCGCGGCGCGGCCGTCTCGCTGGCCAGCTGAGCCGGCCGAGCCAACGAGCCAGCCGAGCCGGCGAGCCTGCAGTGCCCTCGAGCCAGCCGCGAGCCACCGTCGTCGTCGGCCGTACCGAGCTGGACCCCGAGTTTAATTTTATCTCTAAATCGATAGAAAATATTTTATGTAATTTATGTAGTTTTTACATATTATGAACCAAAAAGCCGGGCGTGTGCCTGCCTAGTTTTATTGCCTCTACTCGTCGCGCGAGTACGTAGCTGTTACCAAATAAACGTTGCGCCGCGGCGCCTCATTCCTATGCGCATTCCTATATTGTACCGAGCCAATACGAGGCACGCAGTTTTAAGTTGTCAATGTAATCATTGTAATAATAGCGAGAAGGCTGTTCTTTAATAACTACATTTTTATTGATATTATTTACATAATAATAAGTAAGGAATAGATGACTCCATGACTTCGAATGCATTCCTCGAATTTCTACATAGAAATCCTAGTTCCTAGTGTAGGGCCTAGCGCCGAACTGACTGGTATGCGCTCTTCGCCGCCCACTGACCCACCTGTGCGGTGCTCTAAGTAGACATCGCAGTCCAAGGCGTCCACAATATTTTTCTAGCTCTCTACAAACGGATGCGCGCTCTCCGTATTTTTGTCGGTTGAATTTACATAGGTATTTGATGGAGCGCGATGACCACTCCAGATCAGAAGAGTGGGCATCTTCGAACAAAGCTTCGAACAGAGTACGGTGGGCGGCGGGGGCTCGCCCCAGGCTGGCGGCGAGTGCGGCGGCCGCAGCGGCTTCACCGGCACACTCGACAACACGGCACAAATACAACACTTCGACCAGTTTGCTGAACACCGGATTCGTCTAAAAATGTACGGTCAAACCTGCATGCGCACGAATTATTAGAATTTTACTGGTCACTTTATATTAGCAATCCGTTGAAACGCTCAGCCTTGTGTAGTCGAGTGCGCGTGTGTGCGTTCCCTCTGTGCGTCCGCCGTTCGATGATAGATCTGAAACCTCTCTATGTTTAATCCGAATTGAGTCTCACGGCGTGAAAGTCGATATGTTGTACGATAAGGGTAGTGAAGAATATAATATGCATATTACTATGTTATAAATAAATAGAGATAATATAGTAGAGAAGTGGCACGTAGGGGTGACCCGCCTCCGTTCACCTCTCGAATCTGTGTAAATATTTTATATAATATAAGCAATGGAATTAATAAAATTTGAATAAATTGAAGTTTAAAAATCATGTTTTACTTATTTCTGATGATAAAAATCTAATTAAAGTCTTTTCGCTTAAGGGATTTATATCTGTGAAGATTTTCTTTGTGGTTTTAGTCAACATGAAAGTTGCCAGAGTTTAATTGGAATTTCGCGATGAAGTCCTATGTCACAGCTATGTGTTCGTAGTTCGTTTTAGACATGGAAGTAGTTAACTCCATTACGATGGATGTGGACGTCCGGCCGGGGACCGTGGTTACGGAGTTCAATATTGACGCCGTAATACAACTCATATTGAAACCTTATAACAAAAATGTTACTTATTAGCAGCGTATTAGATTAAAGCATAGATTAGAGCCAAGTGCTAAACGTATTGGATGGACACATTTTAAACTTGAAGGTTCGGATTCTTTGCATTCGATGTCTACCGAATTTTGATTTCAAGAAAGGAGAGAACGAGAAACGACTGCGTGTCGAGTGGTGCTATAAATTAAGGTAAAGTAAAAGCCTTGTATTTTTCTAAATTGCCACAACTGCCGCATAATACAGTCATCAAGAACTAACCCCTATAGGACAGGCATTGCCTAGTGTGGATATCAGAAAGAAACTAAAATGTAATTAGGCTTCTTCTGAATAAAGTTATTATTATATTATTTATATAATGTCCCCATTATTAGGTTATTATTATATTACTTATATGATGCCCCACTTCGGAATATTTTTATGTTTTTATTTCGAAAATATGCATCTCAATTCCTGACGATGTTGTCCTTCACTGCTGAGGACGTCAGTCAGCACTTAAAGTTAACTATTCCATTGGTGCCGGCATCGGAATCGAACTCGGGTTGCTCGAGTATTTTGAGTTAAAAGTGAGCGCCCAGACAATGAGCTATCACGGCTATGTGTTTGTTCCTAGTATTTATTTCGTGAAGTAACTATGTTTTGAAGATTTCTTATTTTTATAAACATATTTATAACATTTTCAAGTATCTACAGAGGAGGGTACGTAAGGTAAAAAGGTAAACGACCTTGCCGCTAATTTAAAACAATTACATTTAAAAAAACCGATAAAGAAACACAGCCGAATAAATAATCATCGGAGACATTTTCATTTTGAGTAAAATAAAATATATATTGATATTAAACACTATTCGCGGGGCTTCTGAATTAATTAAAATATAACATAAAAAATTTAGGACTTAATAATTTTAACTTACGTCCAACGTAATTTATAAATAATATTATGTTTAAGTATCCTGCATCAGTGTATTCTCCGACAAAGAAAAAAAGGGAGTTTGCTGTTAAAGTTATTGAGGAAAATTAATTTTGTACGCGACGATTTCCAAGTGAAATTGCAAGGTTTGTTTTTCTTTCTATCAAAATCTAAACCTCTCTGATAATTTTATATTCTTACTTACCATTTCGGTTACATTTCTCTGTCGATTAAATTATATTAACATACAATTATGTTACGGAAAACGACCTTGCCGCTTATGTAAAGAATTAATATTAAGAAACCGAGCACCGGCCAGATAACGTTTCTTTTAGTTTCCTCTCTTTAGCAATTTAGGACATTATATTACTCGCGGGAACTTCGTCCTTCAACACGATGACGCGTCCACACACTCCGCTTACACAGCAATTCCGTAGTTAAAGGTGTCAAAAGTGGAACCAATGACGAATTCAGCATACAGTTCAATGCGTCATCGGTTGGTCATCGTGTGAAAAATTGGGAAGCAAGCAATTGGTTTTTCACCTGATGTTAAGAGATAACCGTCGATTATGGTCGCCATGATCTACAAAATGTGTGAGGCTGCAGATGCGTTGGCAATCATTTAAAAATTATGGCGGTTATATAATTGACCAGATGAAACCCGAAATTACAGTAATCACAATTCGCGTCTGTCTTTTGCAAGGCCGTGGATTGTCCTTACCTGGATGTTTATTTCCGAAAATTAAAGATTAGCTTAAGCTAATCTTTAATTTTATGATCTTTAATTTTAATTTAAGAGAACCTCTAAGGGTTTAGGATTAGCCAGCGCGGAAGCGACGGTGAATGCGTTCCACATCGCGTTAAATGTAACATAAATACGAGTATATTAACTGATCTGGTTTATCAAAATCCATAAACTTTCCGTATTATCTACGTTCAGCATACTAATAGCTTTTACTAACTTTTACTTTATGAAGTTAGCTCTCATAATTCTATTAAATTAGTTTTATATTTTATTGAAAAATGGAAAATCTGTTATGAACAAATATTCCTTAACGAATATTATGCAATAATTGTACATAGGTCACCAACAGGACATGCATTTCACATTTGAAGTACAAAAAAAAGGATATAAATCAGTAAATGTGTACATCAAGGTATGGTTATTGTATAAGTATGAAGCGGTGACTTGGTAATCACAAAATAATAAAAATGTAAAATAAATCATAAGTTTAAGGTAAATAAAAAGTTAACTTGGTAAATTTACATGATGGAAAACTTATTCAGCAATTCCTGTATTTGGAGGTGGAAAAGCAAGATTGTGGCAATGTTTTTACGGCTGCCACTTGATCACCCCTAAGGTGGCTACGAATAGTTTAGCTATGTATTCCAATTGAACAGTCACAATGATCCCAAGTGTTGATTGAACACTTGGGATCTTGAAGACCTATTATTTTATTCTTATCCTATTACCTTCGGCCTCAGTATGGTCGTTTGGCTCTACGAAAAATTCGACTCTGAAAGCTAATTATTCGAGTTTCTCTGATCTCCATCTGACGCTAAACCAGAAACATAAGATAGCATGGAATAGCTTAATGAAACTAAAGTGATTGTAGTAACTAATCTAAGTTTTAACAAGGTGGGTTTTAAGGAAGGCTTTAAGCCCAGTTTTTAGTACCTTCCAGATTCCAAATGCCAAGGACTAATAATACAAGAGCATACTTTGCGACACATACGCATTCAATAAGAAGGTACTAATGGTCATTATAGTGCCTTTGTCTATTCAAGTGGCCTCTCTGGAATTTTACTCTTGAAAGCGCATCGATAAGTTGTTTCAACAATGCTAAAGATGTCGCTGCTGATGTATGAAACAATACAAACCAAAGAATGACAACTGTAAAAATCCAATCGCCCATGGTCTCCAATAGCAATTTAAATCAATATGCGTGCTTCGCGCAGGCGAGAGCAAAATTCATTAGTTTCTGATTAACATGATTGTTCGAATCGTGATAGGTGCAACATTGGAATGGCACGCCGTTTCCAATACATGTCAATGCGGTACCTACGTTCGCTGCTTGTATCGGTTTCGAGCACGTTTGCCCCCTCGTTGAGTCAATAGTGCGGTGCGAGGAAGGCGGCGGCCGCGGCGCGCACGTCGGCGGCGCGTGATCCCCGCGGGGCCGGGGGGTGGGGTGGAGGCGCTGAAACAATATGGCGGCTTATCAGCGAGCATCGCGCGTCACGCGGCCCCATCGACCGCCGCTCCGGCTTTCCACGGAAAATGTTCTAGTAAAAACTGATAAGATCGGCGATGAGGCCGCACTGCGCCCATCAATAATCCGTCGATGTGTCGCCTATCTGATCCGCGCGGGATTATGTCCGCTCCCCGCTCCCCGCTCCCCGCCGCCACCCCGCGAGGGTCGCACCACACCGTCGCACCGGTTGCACCTCACCACGGCACAGGGGCCAACGCGCCAATTCCCGCGGGCGCACGGCCGCTCGCTCACACGGTAATGAAGCGATGCGCTCTCATAATCAAATCTGTCGGCTTCTATCTGATAATTACCACGTATCGGGGATGCTATCGCGATATCTCAGCAGCTGGCCCCCGAAGCTCCGGACGCCCGCGCCCGCGCTCTACACCTGCACCGCTAGATACAGTATCTGTTAGATACGATTATCAAAACTCTAAGATAACCGGTCTCACATTAACGACTAGTTAAGATAAACGAGATAACGTTTTGCATATCTGAAGACACTACGTTACTACAAACACTCTAGCGGCGAGGTCGATGCACCGGGCGCCCCCAGTCGCACATTTTCGCTTAGACGAGAGAAGGCACTTTAAGGTCATTGACCAGCCAATATACAAGTTTCATGGTATAGAATAATACCATTGATTTGGCACACTTAAACGAACCATAGAGATATAGTAATGACATAATGACTTTTATGAAAAAATTTGTCTTATGATATAATGCTAATGCGTCGGGTACGGCTACACCGTGTCTTACCATTATTTGGGGTTACAATCAAAAAATGCTGTGAATCGTTGGACTGGTTTACTTAGCTTTCTTCGTTGTTCATTTTCTTCCATCTCATCAGTCTGTGGCAAATGCAGCAAAATGGATAGGGTGCGCACGATATCATGGACACCGACTCACTACAGAAATACGTAGCTAGATACTTGGGGCGTAAGAAAAGAGCACCCAATCTGCTTGGGCTTGAATATTTTAGTTTTTATTTAATACCAAAAGCAAGTTATCAAATTGAAGTCGTACTCAAGTCGTTTCTTATTTCATTTAGTCGTTTTATAAGCTTTCAATAAGTTCACTTTCTTTATTACAAACGTACGCATATTATTGAAATTCTTATCACCAAAATTATCGCAAAAGATATTATCACTGTAATAACTTTCTAGCATGACATCGACAATTCTCGTCCACTAAGGGTACTGCCGGTCCTATAAACGAGTCTAGTTTTATCTTCTTCTGTGTCCTGGTTTGTAATGCCTATTCATGTTATACACTACGACATCTGTGAGTTTTTCCGAACGATCCCATACAAATTGTTATAAACGTTCACTATCAGCAGATAACCGAAATAGATCAGCATCGATAAAATAGGCGTTGATACGGTTAAACTTCACACGGATGGTTCGCACTGGTTTACATTTATTCACCACCAATGTACTAAAATAGAGATCAGTATGAGAGGATGAAGCTGAGTTGTTGGAGTCATTTGTGTTTCTAAATGAAGAAACACAAGACTTCATCTTACTCAGTTGTTTCAGAGTACTTTTTCTACTCGTACTGTGTGAAGACTTCACAGGTACCATGGAATTACTGATGTAAAGTATCATGTAGTCGAAGATATGTCTGTGTCTAAAACAAATATCTAATATATATTTTTTGGAACTGAAATATTGCTGCAAATATTTGATGGGCAAGCAGTAAAACATATCTATGTACTCGTACCTATACCGTTGTGATGTTTGTAAGTGTAGTAGCGGATCTATTTCAGTGACAGTCTAGAGTGTCTGCGTCACTGCGAGGCCTCTGGAGGGGTTCGAGAGGGGCTGGGGGAGGGTGATGTTCACAGATAAGGCGCGGCGACGTGCACGCACACAGAGGCACACACCCACGACCTCGTAATCCTTCGGCCAACGCGCGGGCGCCTCTATTTGCTTTGTACGTATCCGCACTCTCTCCATTAGACCATATTATTATGTTGCATCCATCGAGGCAGGTTATACGCTTAAAAACTAATCGTCTACGGAACCTTGTTGATTTCTTCGACTTGGATCTTTTTTCGAGAAGACAGTTGGCAAATATCACAATGGTCATGACAGTGACGCAAGAGTTTTCAAATGCTCTTTATTATATGTTAATTAAAAAACAAACGATAGCGCCGTGTTTTCCTCCTTCGTTGTTTGTTCTCTTATCGCATGCGCATTAATATCATGTTTTATGAACGTCAAATTTTTTTGTGCAAAGAAACAAAGAATTATTACAAATGTAAAAAGTGAACATTGACGTGATAACGTCGTTGATGAATGATCCGCACCGGCTAAAGCGGCTTCGCGTTAACAAAGTCGGACACGATTTTGAAAATACAGCTATATTAGTTGAATTACATTTTTTTCATGAACAGTTAGTAGGTACGTGACCATCTGGTAGATATTAACAGTGATTCTAACATGATGGATAAACGTTATATTAAAACTCCACTCATGATGAATTTGTAACGTAGGGGTTAGGGCCAAGCGAGACCTGAAGCTACGGGTTTTAAATAAAATTCAATAAACACACGGATAAGTACCACAACGCAACTTCGCCGAAAAAGTCCTATAAAAGTAGAGTGATTAGCATGCCCATATTCTAAGCTACTAAAATATAACTTGTCTCAAAAGGCATCACTTCGTAGCAATCATAGTCAGAATAGAAATGCCTCTTATCAGTGATTAAAACTAAGACTGATTTTATTTAAAGTTACCTACAGACATGATAATATTTTAAGAATGCCGTGTCTAAAGTCGCCGCAACCGGTCAGCTGACATTGGCGGGTGTCAAGATGATACAAGTGATCTGTTCGTGTCGTGCTATTGTGAGATAATCTTAAGTCGAAATATGACAAGCTTGACAGCGCTTCCAAGTTTGAAATGACAACGTATTTCGATAAATATGAGCTACAAAAAATGTCCTTCAAACATGTTTCTACCTACACTAAAAGCTTAATACATTTTGAATTAAAGCGCTAACAAAATATTTAATAGTTATAAGAAGATCCACATTCTTATTAGACATTTTGATATCTCTACTGCGATGGAGACTACTCGCCGGGTCGCAAACGAGGACCAATTTCACGTCCAGGAAGTGGAGGCACACGTCCGTACTTTGTAAAATTGCACGATTTCGGTATTGGCGGTGAATCATGCGACCGCTAGCGGCTATCTGGCGCACTATCAGTGCGTCAAGTGGCCAACGATAAGACGGCCTGTTTGCGCGACAACCACTTGGCTGCTCGGACAGGGCGACTTCTAAACACGAATGCCCACTGTTGTCACCGGCATTTCGTCATCACCTCCACTCCTCAGTGGAAATTAAAACTTTTTAACTCGGCTTTAACGTTTCAATTTACCCAATTAAAACGTTAAAGCCGAGTTAAAGTTAAGGGTTAAAGTAGTTAAACTTTGTTATTGAGCCAATAATAATGACTTTCAATTCGATAGAGCCGATAATATAGCATGGCATTCTCTTATACGCATCGGTGAGCACAAAACAGAATTCATGATTCGCTTTCGCACTATGAGATACTGAGACAGGTTAAGGTATTAAACTATATTTTCTAAAAACTTTTTACCATCAGATCCTCAATTTATTGTTTTGCCTGAAAAAAATATGAATCATTTATATAGCTACAGACTTGTATATGCGTTATAATCGATCTCGGATTCTTTCGGCTTGTGATTAATTTTCACATAGAAAATACTTTTACAATCTTAAAACTCTGCTATAATAAGTATCAGTCGATTTGAGAGATTACTTTTTATGCTGTCCAAAAATATCCTTAGCAAAAAAATTCCTACTGCGAATCTGCGATGTATACAGTGAGTAGGTATGAGATCAAAGTGGTTGATATTGACACAACCAACTCGGTAACTAGCTTAAGCACATAGTAAACCAGATTTTCACTCTGAAATGGAATAATTGTCCGTAAATCGATCTGCTTTTCGAGATTCACTGAAAATTGTCAGATCCTTGTTAATTATGTCAGCCATGTCAAGGCCTTTGTTCAGGAGTAGGCGACCTACGGCTCATATGATGATGATAATTATATGTGTATATACGTCTAGAAGTACGTTCGATTTCTTTATACACATTTTATGCTTGATGCAAGTAATTATTACGAGTCAACTCCATATTTATAACGATAACCGAAGCTGGTCATTTTTTTATAGATTATTCTTATACGACTAGTGTCAATTTGTATAAAATTAAATTTTTAAGGTTATTTAATGGTCAAAAGAACATTAAATCTACTAATGAGCTAGAAGACCATCGCAATTGTGAAGCTTCCGTATTTGTGGTGACTGCGCACGTGCTGTGGAGCCTCACCATGATCTTGTGTTGATTATGGCTTAATTATTACAAACTTTCTGTTTGATGACCTTAAAAATACCCCTCAATTTCGAGAGAAAGTTATAGCTTATAAATATGTTCGAATAACGCTTTAGTTTGTAAACGCGAATGCATTTTTTTCTAAGAACAAACAACATCCGTGTTAGTACGTTTGTGGGTTTTTCTATCACCCTAAATAGAAGTAAGCTTCACGTCATCGGACTCCATGGTTGTATCGTAGTTTTAAATCCATAAATATGAGAGCTTCTATAATTTCACTATTACAAATTTATTAAATTGCTGTTATTGAAACTAAAAGGCCAGTGTTTCAGAATTTAATCGTACTTGGTATTTTTTTATATTTGCTTCATCAGTTATTTGTGGGCTCGTAATGAGGCAACATCTATATATACTAAATCGATTGCCAGAGCCGACACGAAATAATCCTTCAAAAACCAAAAGCCTTATCAACGAAATGTGTTTATCATAACCGCGTAATTTATTGATCCAATCTTATAATAAGAAATTTTATACAATTATTAACTGATCGGCGTTATTGATAGCGTCGATAATAATGCTTACAGAGAGCAACACATTTCACGCGATACAGAAATGGAAGCCTAGCAACATCCGAACACAGAATGTCAAATGACATTGTTGGTCTAATCTTTTCCATATAAAACAATAATAACATTACATGATTATCATATACATATATGATATAACAATTCATATCCGTTTCTAGATACAGAATTAAAACACCCAAACAACTACGTTCTAAATTTAAACAACGATTATCTCATCAATTTCATACCTTGTTGCCATCAGTTTTAAAGTTTTAAGACGCCTAAGTGAATGGACAGGCGGCAACAGGATTTGAGTGTTTTTTAATGGGTACTCCACGCATCTGCTCAACTTATTATGATTTTTTTCTAAACAACATACAAGTTGTATTTGATTAATATAAAGCGGGATTTATTCAAAAGTCTTCGTTTTGTTTTAAATATTTTTAGAGCTAATCTGCTCATGTTACATGTGTCAAAATGCGGTGATCACTTAACATCAGGTGAACCTCCAGATGGCTTGCCATCTCCTTACATTAAAACCTAATTAAATGTTGTATTGTAGTGTACATTTCGAAGACCACGTGAACAATCCTATGGCATAGATTTCTGAACGTAAAAAAGATTTTAAAAGCATTTTAAAAAGATTTACAAAGGGACTAGTAAAAAGCATTATTCTGTAGTTAGATGTTTGATTTTTATCTGCAATGAAGATAATAGAAATACGATATATAATAACGGTGCTAGAGCGATCCAAATCTTTCCCTTTTTTTGAGGCGGTTTCATTGCGAAATTTTGATTAACATCACTGTCGTGCCTTTAGGAAAATTGATCATTCATTGATTTGGTTCAAACCGACGTCTGTTAATTTTTGTTATCATCAAACGGTGATTTAAAATGATAAAACGGGACACTATTACTACGACTCCGCTGTCTGTCTGTCTGTCCGTCTATCACCAGGCTGTATCGTGATGGGTAGATAGTTGAAATTTTCTCAGATGATGTGTCTGTGTTGCCGCTATAACTAAAAATGCTAAAAACCACATTTTTTAAGTGAGGCTCCTATACAATACACATGATTTTTTTTGCCATTTGTTTTATAACAGGAACCCGTCGTGCGCGAATTCGACTCGCACTTGGACGGTGTTTCTTTAATTTTTCTTTGCTTCTAAAATTCAGTACGGTGCAAGTGGCGAGAATTTATTTTTCAGATACTTTCTATTCTCGTAGACGTCGTAGGCCCGACGGAGCGGAGGTCACCTTGGATACATTCCCCTCTTTCTGTCCTATGAAGCCCTTTTCTTCATATTGATATGTGTATGTGCAGATTGATCGCTCTCCTTGAAGTCAAGTCTTTTAAAATTAAATTTACGATTAAGAATAACCCACTGGAGTATCTTCGTGATAATCTCCTTCATCCTATATTTTTTGAAAATAGTTTAGAGACCCTTAGCAATTATTGAGATATTTATAAGTGCACAGTGCGATTAATATCGCGAACCAATGAGATGTTTGATAATATTAGCGGTTGGAGGAATATTCGTTCGGGGAGCTGGTGTCGGCAAAGGCGTGCGGTGCAGTCCACGGGGCGATGGGGGAGAGGGCGCGCGGTGTGTCCGACGCCGATTAGGAAATTATCGCGCTAATTAGAGCGATGATCGATGTCTCCGGTAAGCCTCCGCGGATAAGATAGCCGCCGACTTATCGCCGCTTATTGTTAACCAATCTGTCGTAAAAATAATTGTCGCCTCGACCGGCCGCCGGTAGGTATTATTGACATAAATTCACGGATTAAGGCGCATTATTGAAGGAAACAACACGGGACGTGCGTGGCTCGAGCTGTACCTACACATGATTTATGGGCGAGGTCGATTTTTCAATGCATTATGAATAGGAAAACTCTCTCTGAGTACCAGTTTCGCAAAATATTACGGATTATTTTTATTATATTTTCACTTTATTCACAAAGAGCAAATGAGTTCGTTGCTCATGTGCATTTTTCGTCGGGGAGGTTGAAAAACGTTTGCAAATGTCGATGAAAATGAAAATTTTGAACCGATGTTATTATACGTAGCACCAACCACGGTCCTGTACCCGTCTACGGTATCTAAATTACTTTGCTACATCAGCTACGAGTAGCTTTCTTTAATTCTGTAAATCTCTCATCAAGATTATATTATATCTCCGTTCAAGATATCCGATTCACTCTTTATGTATACAATTTTTTTTTTCATTGCAGGCACTTGTCAAAAAGCATGAAATAAAAAATTTGTTGGACAAATTCGAACAATTCGCAATATCACAGATCATTGTTATCTCATCGAAATACATCTCTCCAAATGTAATCTGTAGACAACTCACAAGGCCCCGCTACCTAGACATCATTACATTCTGTTTTTGTTATCTCTCTGTGCGGATCTTTTTACTGAGAGTTATTTTGTAGTTTTTATTAAAATGTACCAACGAGTAATTTAAAATATATTCATTTTATTTGAGGAAGAGGCAAGCGAGCAACCGTTAGACATTTGCAACACCCATAGGGTTGCAGAGTTTTCTAGGTGATAGAGCCACGCAGCAAACTTGGCTGTTGCACGAATGGGCAGGCTCGTCCGGGTCAGTACCACGACCTCACAGAAGACCGGCGTCAAGTGGAAATATAATACTTTCGGCTACCTCACTCACCAGAGTGAAGTAGCCGGAGCCCAATTTACAAAAGGTTGTCAACGTATCTGCCACCGTCGGGGTAGCAGAAGTCTATGGGCGGCGGTATTCACTTACCATCAGGTGAACCGAGAAAAGAGGCGTTGCAACCTTTTAAGTGCTTTTAAGGGTACCCCACTCACCAGACGAAAAGCAGTAGTATAATACTTCCACTTTACACCGGTCTTCTGTAAGGTCGTGGTACTTCTCCGGACGGGCCTGCCCATTCGTGCAACAGCGAACTTTTGTGTGGCTCTTCTACAGATATAATTACACATAAACTTCGATATATCCTGTGGATCTAACGGAGAATGTGAATTCTACACAGCACCCACCTACTACTGTAGCTACCCGGGACTAATGTGTGTAGTCTCCCTGGGAGATCCCAGGGGCCAATTAGATTAATCGCCCTGGAACTTTAAATTCGTTTTAGTCGCCATGTAGGGGACAGACGGGTAATACTTTAGGGCTATTTTAAATTCTCACGACTTCTCCTTTCTTCTTCTTGGAGTCATCGTTCCATGTATTTTATTTTTATTTTTTAGCATTTTTTTATTTGCACCATACTCTGCTTTAGAAGGAATTGCTTGGCCAAAAAGCGCAGGCAAAAGCGATTAGGCTATAAATGTGCTAGTCCGTTTACCGAAGTAGAAATAGAATTGATTAAAGAGATAAATATGACATAAAAATACCCGAAAATAGTTTCATATAAATTGTTATTTCTGTACATTGCAGAAGATTTGTCGCATTGCAGATTGCTTAAAGAGTATTTTAAAATTGAACCGTTAGTTGAGTAAAAGTGAAAGAACATCCCGATGCGTGTTACGTAGCTTTCGTTTACACAAGGACTAACACACAAACAGTCATTTGATAGCATCTAGCGAACTTGAAAATAATAAGTATTTCATTTGATAAGATATCAGACAGAGAACTGGTAAATTAACAAAAAAAGTATAATAATATTAATCCCATTGTAACTAAATCGTCCTTGAAATCCGTAAACATGATCAACATTCAAAACGGTTTTATCTAATTATTCTCTTAATTATATTATTATCCATTTTATGCAGTAGGTATATTACGTCGCATAATCTATTATTATGAAACGTATCCCATTGTAAATACACTTTAGCAAACACACTTTAATAATATATTAGATAAAGAAATTACGACTAAAACTTTAATTTGGGTATAACAATCTAGCCCTCACCGGCAGCCAACCCACGAAACATGGCCTCTAAACGAAGGGGTCGTTTGAAAGCACCAGAAAGTGTCAGGTCAATTTCGTTGACTCACGCGTCGGTAGTTCATTATAAAAGTAACATTCTCTAAACACCGTAATCATCAACGAAAAAGCGATAAAGCTAGATAAGGGGAAAGTGAAAATATTGGTTCGCGTTGAACGTTGCCATTACTAAACATATACATACTTATAACCTATACGTACAAAACAGTGACTTGATACTAGCTACAAAACAAAATCTATCAGTTAGACTGTTCGTATCAAGAAGGAAAGTACTGCACAAGTTGCGACAACTTGTAGCAAGGGCTAGAGGTTGCTCTATTCTTAGGGGTAGCATTTGGAGCAAAGAGCCTCACTACTGCCAGGCTACGGTCTCCAAGTCCGATCCCGTGTGGCTCTATGGTTCCTAGGAAAATTTGGGCAGAGCGCACGATGCAGGTGCCGTGGCGGGGTGCGGGGCGGCGGCGCGGTGGGCGCAGTGCGCGGCCAATGGGCGCTAGGCCCGCCCCGCGGCGCCGCCCGCGCCCGCCTCCCCCCGGCTCGCAGCTCGCTTCTCCTCCACCAAAATCGGCGACCGTGCGCCAGTGGACTGACGTCAATCAGTGCAGTGCCAGTTCGACGCGGTCAAGCCTCGGCACAGCCCAGGTATATGCCAAGCCGTCATCTCCCGCCAATTCAACGACGCTACGTCGCGGCAGACACGGTAAATAGATTGCGCACATCTTATAAGAACACTATTGGCAACTTCTACGTCGTACAAGGAGTGTGAGACAAGTGTAAACATTTGAAAACGGAATGGAGTTACGCTTCAAATTTTCAGTGCCTAAATAAACAAAAATTGTTCTGCTCCGTCTAAATAGCGTACAACAAAAATTAAATCGTTTTAAATATTTCAACAAGTGAACTAAACTTACTTCTTTACATACAATAAGAAATTAAATTGATTGAATTATTTCATCTTAAAGTGATGTATTGTGAAATGGACGCACAGTTTTGATAACATTAAACCAATATTTAAAATAACAATTTCATCTGAGTTTTAGAGCGACAAACGGATCGTATATATAAACGTGTCGCCTGTCAAATGTGCACATTGGAGACACTCAAAATTAATTCCGGTTTGTGACAAACAAGATAGACTTCACGAGTTGAACTATAGAGACATGCAATACGTCATCTTGCATAAATTAAAAACAAAAAGTAAATTAGCACCCTGTGCGCGTCCCACTACTGCGCAAAGGCCTCCTTTGAGCTGAGGGTATTAGGGCATAGTCCACCACGCGAGCCCACTGCGCATTGGCGGGATTTAGTAGGAATGAAATTAAAATTAAAACATTGTTTTACCGACAACTTTTATAGACTAGCACAATAATTCATGCGTTTAATATTCATATGCTAATTAATAACTCCATATTCAAAATTCACGCGTAGTAAATAAGTGAATAACTTAAAGACAGCTTATAATTGTATTTAATTACATTGGGCCTCGTAATCATTTTAAGCTCCAAGGATAACGCAATATTTTTTTCTGTGGCCATAAGTAATAAATTGTCAGGATTTAATAAAATAACTGTCGGCATTACTAATAGTTAGTTCCTCTTGCAAAGCTCCACATAGAGCGTGTATACACACATTTATTTAAAGGTAAGAAATGTAAGGTTTCTTTCATTATTGTAATTTGCAAGACTTAAGGTAGAAGTAGGCTTCTGTAACTGCTTCCACGGTTAATCAAGGTGAAATTTAAGATCGATTAAAATTTAACAGAAACTCTTCTAAGTATTAAGATGCATTAACACCGACTTACAGCTTACAACAACAAAAAAATTCTACAGGATGTAAAAAAAAGTTTTCTGCTTTGTTAAGTAACCTAAAGATGCCAATTGTTCATTTATGGAATTTGCTGAAAAGTAAAAAAAAAAGAAGTTGTCAGAATGCGGAAGACATTAATAATAATGCATGCAATGCTGCATGACATGATATTCCTGCACAAACTCATTAACGGGACCATAGATAACCCAGAATTGTTGAGCCAAGTGTGTTTTAAAACTCCCTCTCGTTTACCGCGGTATCCTATTCGAGTACTCCAGCCCAATTTGTACGGAACCAACCTTGGCCACCGCTCCATCCTTCCTCGCCTAATCAGGCTATACCAAGAATTTTCAAGGAAAGACATTTCCATCGATCGCTTCTCCGACAATTTAAATACTTTTAAAGTTAAAATATTAAAATTATTAACACAGTACTGAAAGACAATTGATTTCGCACTAGGAATAACGTTTACTTACTTATTTTGTTTTAATTTTTTGTTGTTTGTAATACCTTTTTACATTTGTGTTGCTCTTTTTTGTCTTAGATTAGTCAAAAACGATTATACCACGAGTACGACAAATACTCTTGTAGAATGCTGTGACACCTATAATTGAGATTACGTGTAAATTGTTGCCATATATCTTTTGTTTATTTAACTCTGTGTACACGTAATTTTGTTGGTAATCGAAAATAAATAAATAAATAATAACAACTTAAATACAGAAAATTCGGCGTAAATACAAATGCATCATGGTAAACCTTAATTAGTCATTTAATTTTGAATTGATTTTGTACAAAGATGAACTTTCTATAGTTAAAGCAGCGGAAAATACCGAAAATGATATTAATTAAATTAAATCTTAATCTTAAATGTGGTAGGACCATGCAACACTGTTCACTGTTGCACGAACGGGCAGGTCCGTCCGGGTAAGTAGGTACCACGACCTCACAGAGGACCAGCCTAAAGTAGAAGTGTTACAACTTTTGCGTTTCGTCTGGTGGGTGACGTCCCGGGGCCCACGCGTGTTGCAAATACCCATGGGCGGCGGTTATCACTTAACAGTGTGTCGTTTGTCCGTTTTTCGCATAAAAAATGTATACTAACTCGTATGATTCACGGAACAATTTTTAAGAATCTACGCCAAACACAACGCAGTTTTTAGAAAATGTATGAGTAAAACACTATTTCCTTTCCCCGTTTCTTTCTTTAAGTATTTTTGGAAAACACTTATTATTATGAAGGATTATGCAATTATTTTTCATCCTTATATTATTTTTATGTACGCCGTTTCCGGAAAGACTTCTTGAAATCAAACGCGACGTTATATGACAAAGCAACTTAGAATTAGATAACCCCAGTATTGTACCCGGCAACTGCTTGCAAAAGGTTTAATAGTAACCTAGGCAACATTATTTTTCGCTAATGTTGTAGCTATCGTTCAGACATCCGACGGCAATGTTCGGTAGAGTACGAGTATTGCCGTCTTTCTAGACGGTCGCTACCAAATACGGTCATCATCAATAAAGTACACAGTTAACTAGTTGGACACCTACTCCACAAATAAGTTGAAAACACGACTGCGAAAAGCTAAACTCTGGGATGATCTTCGATCAATCATGACTCTATATAAAACGCGCACTGCCTTTCGCCTTTTATTTAGAAACTTACGATTGTAATAGTCGCATTATTTCGACTGATAACGCCCCTAGTATATTAAACACCCAAAGAATTTCAGCCTCATAAGATGTTTCATAATATTTATATTTCACTTCTAAATGAAATACCTAATAGTTCTTATTAAGAACTATGAGGTATTTAAATCATTTGTTCTTCTAAAATAGCTCTTAGTTATTAAGCGATTAGATTAACGATGAGACAAGTAGGTATAAGCGTATTTTAATAATATACAAACTAGAAGATACACAGCAAACGTTGGCTTTCTAACAAATTATATTGCATTTATCACTCATTCTAAATGTAATTCTAAATGTCTCCTAATTTCCAAAGTGATTTTAGGCGATGGCAATTTATAAAATTTAAAATTAAAAGAAAAACACATTTTTTTTAAATCATTAAATTGAAATTTTTTGTAGATATATGAACAAAAACTTTCGGCGCTGAGGGTTTCGAAGCTGCGTCTTCTGTCTTTCTTTACTAAGCATTATAATCATTGTGAGGAAACCGATGTCCTATACTTAAATTCGTCGATGTTAAGCTAATCAAATTGTTTCGGGATATCTCGGTGCGACACTTTTTACAGATACTTTTTCAAACCATTTTAAATTTTGAGTTCAGATGTAGACAGGGCGAATATTTTTTACATGTCTTCATATATATACATATACTTTACTGCATATAATTTGCTGTCTACATTTTAACTGCGTTGATATCAATCATTAAAATTTTATTACCAACAGTCGAAACGTAAGTCCAATACTTCCATTCCGGATGAGCATTTATTTTAATAGCTTCCCGTAACGTCGCAAAAGCAGCAAGGTTATTTAAATAAATGTTCACACAAATAAATATAAACATATCTTAAATGTAAGACATGCTGATGGCATCATCATATTTTCAGCCTGTTAGTGTCCACTGCTGAACATAGGCCTCCAAAAGAGACTACCACGAATCACCATCCTGAACCACCTGCAACCTTCCCGCACAATTACACAGGTCGTCACTCCACCTAGTGGGATGTCATCCTACAGTGCAATGGCCAGTACGAGGCTGCCAACCGAGAATCTTTCTTCCCCATCAGTTGTCGGTTTCACAAGCTATATGGCCGAGCCTTTGCTGCTTCAGCTTAGTAATCTTCTAAGCTTTTTCGGCTATCTTTTTTCTACTGTGGATATCGTCATTGCGAACTCTATCACGTAGAGAAATACCGAACATACGCGCTTTTTGGATTTGTAATGACTCTAGTAGTCAAAGAAGGTTAAGGAATAACCTAATTTAGCAAACTGAATTTGTATTGATTTTATTAAAATGTTTCTAGTAACTAACTCAACTAAAAGGAGATACATATGAGGATAAGGCAGCAAAAAAGAAAATCAAATACCTCAGTATTAACGCTTGTTACATTAATTAAAAATTATGTTATCGAACTAACGCTATCTTTTCATAATACTACTGAATAATATGGTATCGTCTAGGGATACTTATCGTCAAGAATAGCCCAGCGAACGTGTTATAGACACATAATATGAGTTGGGAGATAATGAGTACCGTCCCTACAAAAATTTCATAGATACATCTTAATCACTTTCTTATAAGTTAAAATCGATTTATATAAACCGAATGAATTGGTTAATATTTTTTTTTTATTTATGACCAATTTGATTATAAATTATTTTAATAATTATTATACACTAGTGACCGGTCCCGGCTTCGCACGAGTGAAATGTTTTCTACATATAAACCTTCCTCTTGAATCACTTCTATTTAGTAAGAAAAAACGCATCAAGATCCGTTCCGTAGTTTAAAAGATCTAAGCATACATAGGTACAGACAGACAGCGGGATGACTTTGTATGATGCGGGATGTTTTTAATATAATTATATATTAATTCAATCATATATTTAATAAACAAACCACGTGTTTTATAAATACGTAAAGTGTTAACAGAATTATATACGTGTAACATTTTCTTAAGTTTTCTAAATTCATAAAATCATTATCTGTTACGCTCCATAGCTCACTGAGATATCTATTCCATCGTAATTTAAATATTACACATAGTTTTATTAAATGTTACAAGATTCATTACAAATAACAACTAAGGCACAACAATGGTCTTTATTATATAAAAATACTATTATCGAATTCCGTAACCGCTGCGACGCGATTTACATTTATTGTTCGAAGAGTGTGAGACGTAAAATGCTTAAAGGTCGGTCGATGAGTAATGACCAGACCACCGCTTTGGTCAGTCTTCGAATTTCCGCGATATAAGTGGCCGTTTGTGCCCAAACCCATGTGAGAATTTCTACGATTATTTGGATAGTATTACGTAAGATCAGGCTAGTATTGTATGAAACGATCAAAGGAATGAACTTTGCTTTCGGTCGAGATCCTGTGTGGTATTATTTTCCATGAAATTGTTAGGTGGATCGTTGACATAGACGAATCGGTCTCGCCGCTTAGTTGTAGTCGCGTTAGAATGCCCGCGATAAATATTTTTAATAATACTGACGTTATCACAAGATGTAGGGCCCGGTGTGGTTATCGCTGGATCAGTGTGCTGAGCAAACACCTCGTCATAAAATAGTGTGAGTGCGCAGCGTCAAGCCATTTTGTGCCTTAGCCCGACCTAGCTCGATACACAATACTTTGCTATGTCGGACTCGCAGCTATGAATTATAATAATAACCGTAAACTGACAGTGCCAAGGTGTATTTTGGCGTGTGAGCTCCGTTATTTGCCCAACGCAAGCACGCAGCGCTCAAGCGTAGACCTTCCGCCGCGAGCGGCGACGCACCCGACGAGGCGGTGCCCTAATTCTCGTAAAGTTTTGTAACAAACTCGGCGTTTAATATTAGGAATTTCGACGGCGTAGACGTACGTGTGCCATTGGGCCATCATAGAATTGGCCACCATTGGGCCTTCCTCGTCTAGACCCGTTAAATGTGCGCGGCGTCTACGGCGGCGGGTCATTTCGCCGCTAGAAGAGCGGCCGAGGAGTGCGAGAGAGGGTGCGCGGGCGCGGCGCCGGCGCCGGCTCTTGAACCCGTTCCTTATTTGTATTTCCGTGCCGGCTCGGCTCTTCCGCTCAGAACACGGCGCTCTGTTTGCTCGAAGTCTGCCCCAAAATGTACAACTACATCCTTCCGACGCAAAATTTAAAAGCGTCGTCTGTAGGTTCTCAAAGTTTCGACGTTTCTGTCGTTTGCAGAAACACTATGGAGAACGTAGTAACGTCACTGGGTCGCGGCGGGGACGATCAACGCGAGGAGGACAACGGCGGGGGTGTGGCGATGGGGGGGTCTGACGAGGCGACGGCGGCCGGCGAGGCTCTGCAGCTCGTGAAGAATGAGGAGCGCACGGCCACTTCCAATGAGATGGAGGCCTCAGGCGAGGGCGTGGCCGGCGGGGAGCCCCACTCCGTGATCACGTCTCGGCGCTCCCTGCGCACCATCACGACGGCGGGCCACATCGCCGAGGCGGGGGACTTGCCGCCCGACGAAGGCGTCAAGGACGAGCCGCCCGAACCGCCGCCGCTCGAGGCCGAGCAGCAGCAGATGCAGTACGCGCCCAAGCTCGAGGAGAGCGTGGAGGGGCGTGTCTCCCACCACGCTTACGACGAGGAGCGCTTGCGCCTGGCGGAGGCGGAGACCGCCCGCTACTTGGCCTTCAAGCAGGACCCGTACCGGGCGCTGCAGTCGCCGGCGCCCGCGGACAAGCGGCCGATGGCCCCGTACGCGCGCGGACCGCCACGGCCCGCCTACGGGCGCAGCCTCGCGCTGCGGTACGGGGCGCCGCATCACGTCATAGTGGCTCAGGAGGGCGAGCCCGAGGAGCACAACCACGACGCTTTTCTCGCGCACAAGGACAAGAGCGAGCAGATGCAGGCGTACGCCGCGCAGAGCGAGGCGAACGTCGGCCAGGACGGGCGGCAGTACGCGGCCGCCCTCGGCGAGCAAGCGGCGGCGACCACCGCCCTGGAGATGATCCAGACCACGTCGCTGAGCAACCAGCAGTCGGTGGGCGTGGCGTACCAGCAGGTGAAGTACGAGGCGCGCGGCGAGGCCGAGCCGCGGCCCACCACGTACGCCAGCCTGCAGCCGGTGACGTCGGTGCACGGCGGCTACGCGTACGCGGGCCAGAGCCCGCAGTACGCGGCCGGCGCCTACGGGGCCTACGGCGGCGGCGGCAAGGAGCTGCTCACGCTGTACGGGGGCGGGGCGCCCTCCGCCAGAGGGGACGAGTCCCCGCCGGGGCAGCTGCTCTACCGGAGCGACCCCACGCTCTCCTCGTCCTCGCTCAACTCGCGCGGCACGCACGTCGTCTACGGCTCCGTGGTGCCCCAGTCGCAGGCGGTATACGAGGCACCACCCAGTCCGAATTCACAGCAAGTAAGTGATCTTTCTCGTATGTTTCACCTTTGTTGTTTATAAAATTTCTTCCTTCGTTTTAACCTTCAAATATATAGTTATTAATATGATATTTCAACCAATATACTCAATCATAATAGCTGATGGCTTTGCACGCATAGTGTCGTGTTTAAAATAGTAGAAGTAGATTTGTATAACATTCTTAAAAAGCAGCGAAATGATTTTGTATAAATTAAAACCTCTTCGAATAGTTTGCAATCTTATAACAAAAGATTTCTTATGGAACTAACTCTCAAACAATCTACATAAAACTATCTCAGTACCATAATTATTTTTTATTTAAAACCGACTAAACCGCAATAAAATGGAAATCTAAAAAGCCAATTGCAATAAAAAACTTAACTCTGTCTAGGTAACGCTGTACACGCACGGGAATACTGTTCAGTACAAGGTTGGAGGGGAGCACTACTTGGGGCAGGGCGGGGGTGTCGAGTATGTTCCCGTGTCGGGCTACGAGGGCGGCCTACTGGTCGAGGGCTACGCGGCGCCTGCTCAGCCCTGGCCCACACACAACCTCCTGCCCATCGACGACGGATTTGATCCCAGTAAGCGCAACACTCGCGGACGTTTCAGATCCGACGTGGAATAGACAGTTTCGAGGGACATGTGCTCAATTATTCTGCGCGTCAGGTATGGCCGGCATGGGGGAGGTTAAGGAGTGCGTGAACTGCGCGGCGGCGACGACTCCGCTGTGGCGGCGCGACGGCACCGGCCACTACCTGTGCAACGCGTGCGGCCTCTACACGCGCATCAACGGCGTCAACCGGCCCCCGCTTAAGGGCCAAAAGGCGAAACCGCAACAAGCACTGGTACGACGGACGCGTACGACCATTACGCTGGCGCTCTTTGCGCAGTGAGCATTGGCTGTACCGTGACGTGGTTGCTTCCAGCCGACGAATGGCAACAGGCGCGTCGGAGTCACGTGCGCCAACTGCCGCACATCCAACACCACGCTGTGGCGGCGCAACAACAACGGCGAGCCGGTCTGCAACGCCTGCGGCCTCTACTACAAGCTGCACAACGTATGACCCGCCATAAATCTCGCTTATAGGATCATAACCTGCGACCGCTTTCTAACTTTCTCGACCAATCGCCGCGTGAGCTGATGCATGAATGGGTTCAAGTAACACTAAGACACTGTATCTATAAATTGCCGTTTTGCTAGCGCCAGATAGCGACGTATCTTGTTTTGGGCCGACGATTGTGCATCGATTGCGAGCGCTCGGCTGATTAGGCGGACGGCGGCCCAGCGCGACAGGTATCTAATCGGGCCTCTGTGCAGTCGCAGTTATCAGGGAACTCCTCGGCAAATATTGGGTCTGTATAAAAAAATCAAAACACAGGGTCTCATCTAATCTCGCGAGATAAACGCGACCGGGGCTACCGACTGATAGAGAATTATCATCGCGACCACGAATATTCATAATGAGATAAATAATCTTTTATCAATTATCTCCTCGCTAGTAGGTAGATACGCTTGTTTGAAGGATGATAGGAGCGCGTGGCGGCAGATTACGCGGGCTTCCCCGGCCGCCGGACGACTCATAATCGCGACCGCTCACGCCGCAGGTGAACCGGCCGCTCAGCATGAAGAAGGACGGCATCCAGACGCGCAAGCGCAAGCCGAAGAGCATGGGCGGCGGCCACGGCGTGCCTCGGGCCGGCGGCGCCCTCTCGGGTAGGTGGCTCGGGCCGGGGTCGAGGGCGTGGCCCTGCGAGGCGTCTGTGCGCTAACGTGTGTGTGTCCGCAGCGGAGGCACACTCGCATAAGGTGCTGCCGCCGCTGTACGCGGCCGTGGAGGGCGCGGCGGGCCCGCTGCTGCTGCTGCCCGCCGCGCGCCACCACTCCGACGCGTGAGTACCGCGCCCCACCGCCCACCGCCGACTCTTTGTCAATTCGATCGTTTTCTAGATCTCTCCTTATTCTACCAGCTGTGAACCTTTCGTTCTCCTTTCGGCTTGGCAGCCACATTAACGCTTTGGTACGCAATCCGCGGGTGGTGGCTGGGCTACTTCATGTCCGCCGTGCACCTTTGCTGAAGCACCTTTAGTGAATTTCTTCTTGCACCTGTCAAATGCTTTACCTGTAACGAAAGTAGCGCGCGTCGTGGCAAATAGAACAATTTATGGAGCAACTGCCGACGCGGCGTGTTTGCCTTCTCGCATTATCTAAGGCCCCGCTACGCTCGCAGCACTCGGCACTGTTTCACTTTCAGCTTAACTATTGTGGTATTTGTCTTCGTGACGCGCCTCTCAGGCTCCGACCCTGAGCGAACGCCCTCCTACCTAAAGAGCCGACGTGATGCCAGAAACTGTCTGATGAGTACTTTTACTGACATACAGTACTGGAAAGAGTAACAGGACGGCGTTCGGTGAAGGTCGCCAATAGTGCGTCGGCATCGGCATCGTATGAACTTGCCCGTGTCTGTTGCAGGGTATCAACGCTAGAGCGCGCGCCGGCGTCCGTGGCCGCTGCGCACTACCGGCCGCCCTAAGCCCTCCGCCCTCGCCTCCCACTGGCACAGTACCCGCGAAGAACTACAAGTTCGCGCGCTTGTTGTACAAACTTAGTGACAAAGTTCGAACAAAGACTCTTATTGCTTAAGTTATATTTAATGTTTGTAGTTGAAAATGTAATAAACCAAAGAGACAAGTTTCAAGCAATCTTGTGGAGAAACAGTTACTAATGTAAAATTCTATCAGGAACTATATAAATAGTTCTACTAAGTTATACGTTATGTGATGATCGAATTGCTTAAAATTTTGGGTGCTTGAGCAAAGCGATGCAAAACGATAGCTCGAAAACATGTCGCAATGGTAAATAGGTCAACGGAAAGGCCAGCTTGTTGTTGCGGTCAAAATTATTCCTATGACGGATATAGTAAATGTAATAAGCAAGTGCACAGTTTAATTATGACCATTGATTTAAGACACAACTTAACAACCAAATAAAATATACCAAATGACAGTCTTAACCAAACCGTAAAATAATTCTTGCAATGTGATCGTCCTAAGCTTATGTTATAACTTATGTTATTAACTAGTCTGCTTTTTTTCTAATTATGTAAACCAAAAGTTTTCTATGGACGCAAACATGGTTTTAGCTAAAGGGCCCACTAATCACTATACATATAGGTAAATACTGTTTTGTTCTAATCGCTTAATAGATTTGTTTTTCTTATTACTTGTACATTCCATTTGATGCTCAAAAATCATTCCATGCTTTTTACATGACTTATTGTGCCAAGTAAGGTTTTCAATTGTGAGTAGTAATACTAATATGTCTTTATACTGAACAAGGGGCTTTATAAGGTTAAACCAATGTTGAACCGTATAATTTTAATTGTTGTGACGAATTTATTAATATATTTATTTTATAATTGTTCTTAAAATCATTTACGGGTGAGTAAACGTGTTGTAAATGAGTGAGCAAATGTATATTGAATTTGAATAATTAGTTTTAAGCAACATTTTTATATACTAGGAAAGTTATATGCGACTTTGTAAAATAATAATAAATATTATGAAAAGAGTCATCTGGTTATCTATTAAAATTATTCCTAAATTTAATGTATTACTTTATTTTGTAGCTTTATAGCTGACTGTTGTTGCACCTGGAAAGTCAATGAAAGTGTTTTTTCTTTATTAATTTACTACTTAATTGCAACAATCTATAACATCGGAGCCCGGAATACACTCAGAGACCTTTTTAAAGAGATTAATATACTCACTGTTGCGTCTCAATATATTTATTGTAATATTTTGTATGTTAAAAATAATATTAATAGTTATCTAAAGAATAGTGACAGACATAAACTAAATACTAGAAATAAGGACAAACTAACTACGCCATTGTTTCGTTTACAAAAAGTAAACAGGTCGTTCATGGGGCAATGAATTTAATAATAATTCAATAATTTCTGTGAATTTAAACGAAAAATTAAAAGTAAACTTATGGCTAAAGCCTATTATTCTATTGCCGAATATCTTGACGACGCCAATGTGTGGGGTTAATACTGTTGATACTCACGTAGGCTAAAACAAGACTATTGTAAACTGTTTTTTTTTAAAAAGAGCAACTGTTAAGTTTCTTGCCGGTTTCTTCTCAACAGAAACTGCTTTCCGAACCGGTGGTAACTTACGAACGTGTTAATTTCTTGTAAAATTTTGACGTTTCATAAGAACGCGCAAGCGTCTATGTGAATAAAGATATTTATTTGTTTTCTCGTCTGGTTGGGTTTATAAATAAAAATAAAAATAAAGATATAGATATATATTGCATATATAAAATAAATATTATGGATAAAAATAAACACATATATATATATATATATATATATATATATATATATATATATATATATATATATATAATAAAGATATTTTATTATTATTATTATTATTAACAACAATCGTGACTTGCGATGAAATTACGAGAAAAACGGAAACAAACGAAAGTGAGGCTTAAATTTTGGTTTGTTTGTATAGGCATGAGACTGCACCAGTCCGAAACGACGAACGTTAGGCAAATTAAACATGGGACTATTTTTAAAATGTCACCGTGAAAAATCTAGAACATTTCGGATAAATATGCGCGTGACCTTGAATACGCCTCTGCGGAAAATTAACTGACACAGTCGGGGCGCGTCACGTGTTTCTTCATTACCTCACTGATGGGCCTCTGAACTGTAAATTGCTAAAGCAATAATAGGAGTGTATAAAATACACTAAACTGCGATCAGTAAGATTTATAATTCTTAAATAATAATCAACGTATTTCACACTATTATGTAAAGTTTGATATTATGATAGAAGGTGGGATAAAACATAATTGTTTTATTTTATATTAAGTTTTATTGGCTTATGGTTTTTGTCAATAAATGATTATGATAATAATTGTTAATGAAGAATGAGGTGGGACAGCGAGAGTTTTATAAGATTGGTTTCTTTCAAAGTGCAACATAGGACAGCCTTTACAGTGCAATATTGCTGATTTGCAAGTGCGACAAGCAGACAAGTCATCTATGCGTCGAAATTGGAATATTTTTGTAGACTAAAGATGAAGATTAAAATATGTAATCGGTTTACAGATTATGAAGACAATGTTCTGAATTTAATGTTAACACTCAATAATTGCTTATTAAAAATGCTGCCATCTACCGCTTACATTTATAAGCGGTTGATGGCAGCACATTTGTACATAATGTTGGAGTACCAATGCAAGATAGATGGCGTAAATTTTTCTTCTAATTTAAATTTTTAAATTACAATTGTAGGCAAGTATCGATTAAATAGGACATTTCAAACGACACTTTAAACGCAACTTGGACAAGATGAAGCCAAACAGCGACTAAAAATACCAGCCGTGGCGTAGTTGTATAAACTACATTCATTATAGTTGTGTTAAGAGCTTACAGTGTTTTAATCTAGAGGGCACTGTTTGAAATTCATTCTCAAATAAAAATTATTAATAATTTAGTGTTATTATATGAGTTTGGTAACTTCAATAAATCCAGAAATCAATGACCATAAATTAAGGTAAGTAGTATACACGATGATCCTTTTATCGTGTACAATATCAAAGTAAATAACCCTGTTTGTGTTTAAATCCAATCGAAGTGTTAAAATAAGTTAGTAAAATAATCATGTATTTTCTTAACACTATTCCGTCATGCCATCATGAATGCTTGAAATTGTGGAGTTTTATTCCCAAAGCAATCATTGTATCATGTTCTAGCTTTAAAAATTGAGGTACAAATATATATTGGTAGATGGCACTGCATACAGGCATATAACATGTGGTGTGAATGTGAACTTTAGCATATGTTTCCTATAAAATTTTTGTATATTCTTCCAGTCATTATCATTACCATAATTCTGCGGTGAGAACTACAACCATTTTACATAATTATATTACTACTGAAAATGGTGTTATATAGCAGGTACAAATATAAACTTTAGAAATAACCAAAAAGCTTTTAACATAATTAAACGGTATCTTTTATTCACTTCATTTAATTAAAACATCATAAAATTTTAACGATGATGCACAAAAAATCTTTTTCGACTCGTATTACTTATCTGCATAACAGCATAAAGATTCGGTATGCGTGAGGACGTGTATTTCATCGTTGTATTAAATCATTTGTATTGAGATATAGGAATATTTTCTACAAAATGCTATCTCTTTCATTCGGTTTCTTAATAAATAAGGAAATATTCTGTTTTCTTTTTGCCGAAGCAACTATTTAATCTGTGTTTTGGAATGTAATTGTATATTTTTAAAAAATAATAAATATAATTAGTAAAAATATAAAAATATTAGAAGTACATGAAACAAAAATGCTGTAAAGAGTAGATAGATAAACATCGAGCCTAGATGTTGTAAATATAAATTAGATTCTCCGAGACAAAAATATGTTCACCCAGTAGCAAGGTGAAGCATTTTTATACTCCATGAATAATTAATAGTAAACTTATTACCATTTTATTGGTACAGGTTTTGTTTGGTAAATAAACATTGTTTTTCTATTTTGGATTGCTATAACTATTAGGTACCTATATTGAGATGATGATAAATTGGAACGGTTTGAAGAGATCCAAAATTCATTAGGTACTTTCATTATATCGAGAATGAAACGCATGTGCGATCGGAATTATTATAAAAAAAATTATATAAATGAATCTCTGTATAATATTACTTTATATTCTTTTTATTTTGTTAAATAATATAAAAAAGTAAGCGTATTACAACAGGATGAAAATTCCTATACAATTAAATGTACACCGATATTTTCTAGATGAAGTGACGGCTTGTGCAAATGTACAAGAAGTAGATTTTTTTATGGGAAAAGTTGCCAAGCGAGCAGACGGTTCACCTGATCTTAAATGAATACCGCCGCCCATGGACATTTGCTACATCTGAGGGATACAGATGCGTTGACAACTTTTTGAAAATTGGGAAAATGATGATTTCAGAAAGTTCATGCATAAATTAAATCAAATCGAATTAAAACTTCTTTATTCGAAGTAAGATTTGTGCGAATCGTTTTTCGACGTCTCAAAAAAAGTTTATTACTAAGATGTAATTATAATTATAATAGATAGAAGAAATAATTTTAATAATAATAAGCTGTATACGTAAGAATAATATATACGTATTATCTAATATTTATAAAACACTCGTGTCACGGTGTTTGTAATTGAAGTCCTCCGAAACGGCTCGACCGATTTTCGTGAAATTTTGTGTGCATATCAGCCAGGGTGGAGAATCGGACAACATCTATTTTTCATACCCCTAAATGTTAAGGGTGCTCCACCACAAACATTTTTTTCTACCATACAAATAATTTATATAGCAAAACAACGTTTGCCGGGTCAACACAAACCTCCTTTCATTTAATGCCAAAATCAGCAGCCAGACACGGAGGGCGTGAAACAAATAATCGATATGGCGTCATATCACATCAATCATCCACCCGAGCCACCACACGAGGCCATCGTTCCGACCCTCAGTAAAAGAAGCTAGACGATAGAAGCTAGAAGCTAGAAGCTAGAAGAAGATAGACGGGCAGACACCCTTTTGGCACAAACAACGAACTGTGCACTCTCAGTGGAGAAGAACACGACCAGAAGGACATTCGCAAGATTTGCATCTTTTTTCAACCAACAAATTTGTTCAAACATCTTTGATCAAACAATCAATCAAACAACTTTGTTCAACTATATAAATCATTGTTTATAATACGTTATTGTGACTTTCATGCCATGCTGGACTAATTTTTGTTGTTTAAATAACCATCTAACTTATAATAACCGTTTTTAAGCAGTATTTGCTTTACAACAAATTTGATCTTTTTCTCCGGTAGATATTTATGATGAGGATGATTATATCATGAGGTATTTTGTTGTACTCGTAGCTAACCTTAGCTAGTCTACAGTGAGGAAGAACGAAATTATTCTTGTTTATGTTATTAGGATCGTGTCGTGAATATCTGAATTTGTACTGAGTTCATGGATATTTTTTTCCAGACATGTTATTAATAAGGTTAAAGAAAGTTATTCCCAAAAAACAACACAATGCCATTTATATGAGTATATTATAATATTATACAAGTATATAATAAAGTAATGGTCGCCAAACAGTCTATGTCCCAAACGGATGGCGAAAATGGCGAATGTATTGATATAATTGAGACTTAAAATTGGTAAATACTTTTATTATTATTTTTTATATGAGTAGGTAGTTTGCCGTTAGAGCAATTTAGCCTTAATAGTTCTCTTCTGCAGAATGAAGATGAATTAAATATACAGCGGTGAACTTTGAACAGTTTGAAATTGTTAAGGATGATTAAGATTTAGGGTTCCGTACCCACAGGTTAAAACGGGACTCTATTACTAAGGGGGCATCCATTAATTACGTGAGGCCGTGATAGTAACATAGTTGATAAAATTTTCACAGATGATGCATTTCTGTTGCCGCTATAACAAAAAATACTAAAAAATAGAATTAAGTGGAGTGGAGCGATATAATAGACATGATCTTTTTGCCGTTTGGTTAGAAAATGGTACGGAACCCTTCGAGCGCGACTCCGCCACGCACTTGGCCGGTTATTGTTTTGTTCTTATGATTTGTGCTTGTATACTAGGAGCATATCAATTTTTTTATATTATAACTGTGTGATGTGGAGTGTAGTGTCATTTCATGTGAAACCTGTATGGAAATCATATAAAAATGACTTCGATGCGTACGTGTGATATCAATTATTATGTACATGTGTATATATATATATATGATGGCTTATTTGTTTTATCATAATTTAATTATTTGCAGCTGCCACTCGACATGAAACAAAAAAATGTTGATTTGAGAATAAAGTCTAGTTTAAGAGTTTTCAGAATTAATTACAATCTTTTAAGACTCAAAGAAAACATCCTCTTTAAGAGCGCTCGTAATCAGGTTTGAACGGTTTTCAGAACCCGTCTGCTATACATTGTGCAGATCATGGTAAACCACATAATGTCGTTCAGCCTTTGATACGATTCTTCTTTTTCTTCTTCTTTGATTAATGGCCTCTCTTATTGATATGATTCTTCAGAAGGCTGTTGTTATGACGTAACGTGACAGAGCGTGGCTTTAAATACGCCCTCTTACTAACGCGGCTAGGGCTACATTCATAGGGGCATCTTCGGATTAAACTTTGGTTCGATCAAGTTTATATTTATGTGAAAAACTTCAAACTGCACCGTATGCTCTCCTATTTTATACCCTATTATTTTATTTTTATTTTATTAGTTTACTGCTTCAGTGCCTACGGATATTTATTGTAAATACTAGCTGAAAACATGATACAAATAAAATAATTATAGGGCCACTGATAACATTTTCATAAAAAAGACTGTTGAGATTTTTTACGTCCTCAAAGGGTCATAGACACACGCTAATAATTGTCAAGTACTCTTCTAGTAGTAAAGACAACAAAATGATAATAATCATGATATTAAGAGAAATAAGTAAAGAGAGATAATGAAAATTTTTTATTTATTTCTCAGTAAGTAAACTTAATATATCTACAGTATGCACATTTATGACCAATTAAACCTTTGTAAATCGTTAATATTTTTTCATAATCCATTTTATTTATGTTTTTTAACAGATTTCTGTTTAAAATTAGCTTATCGGAATTATATTATTTCTATGATAGGATTTTCCAGAGCATACTTAGACATATCAGGTGTTGAGTTTCCAGAAATGGGAACTGCGTTTGATTTGGGTGATTTAAAAATTAAGTAGTTCATTCTTAAAGATGTTTTAAGCATTTTTCGCTAAAGAACGATGTTAAATTTGATTACGCTTTAGGTAACGTAATGTGAGCATACACTAGCCAGAACAAGATAGTAGAAATTTGTCTCATACTTACGTCGTCCCGTCGGAAAGATTGGAAACTTGAAAAGTGCCCGGCGGACTACGTTTTAATATCTCCATCGTTTTGTTTGTTTGTTCCATACTATTCTTATTAAAGATTTTATTATTTATTTATTTATATTAAATAACATTCATCATCAAGTACCAAGAACTATAAAGAATGATTGCAGAGTGAAAACGATTGTGGTCCCTCGTATACGGTGTAGGTTATGCAGCTAACGCACGGGTATTGAACATTCGTGTCCCCGAACATATCGAACTCCGAAGATATCGAACTTATAAAAAAACACAATGAGCAACATGTAACCATCGCGTTATACTACACCGTCTGGAGCAAGCGGGCATTATAACGATATATCAGCAATGTATCATAAAGGGCACTGACTTTATACTGCATTATTTACAACCACTGTAGAATAAAATGAATGTTTCGCCTGAAAGTGCTGGTGTAGTGCTACCGCGGAAGCAGAGCACAGCTGACCGTCAGCTGAGTGTTAGCGTGAGATTCAGCATTGAGTATAATTCGAAGTGCGCGTAAACAGGAAAAAGACACTTTCTCTATAGTCCATAAGCAAATATCATTTACAGATTCTCTAGTATATGATTGTAGACTTTAAGTTAACTGTTTTGTTATTATTTGATATGTATCATCATTCACTTTCCAATTTGTCATGTGTCTATGTAATGATTCATTTTATCTCTCGCCCGGGTGTATGTTCGGTTCACTACTGAACCAAACAGCTTTGTTTGCACTCTTTACCTAAAGTCCATCAATACGTTGTAAGCATTAAAATATACCACCACAAGCAGCCACTTCACGTACGGTAATCAGGCAAACCACGCGTTCCCAAAATATCATACGTAATTATCATATCATAAATATCATACCATCAAAGTATATCATTTTAATTATATCAATATTGTAACAAAGTGTTCTAATAAATTCTATTATCATTTATATCATCATAACCGGTGTTAGGAGTTAGCCCCAACAACATCTATCATAAGTGTTGGAAACATTATCCTGATTCGGCAATAGTTTTAAACGTATGTAAATAGTAAATATTGTTAAAAACATTAAGAGATACTCAAAGGGCAACCGAGTATGTCACACCCCATTCACTAGACGAAACACAAATGTGTCATTACGACATTAGATTGGGGTACTTTCCCACTAGGCCGGGTCCGATCGGTGGTCGTACCACAGTTAGCACAATTTAAATATTTTTCTTAAATCCGCTATTGGTTCATATTCTTCATTGCAGCGTTGTGCCCGCAGAAGATGTCTAAGTTCAGGCGGTTTTCACGTAATTGTAAGTTATTAAGTTAAGCGAGTAATTATATAAAGGAAGCAAAACTCCTAGTAAACTATAGCAAGCCAACGCATGGATAATTCGTAGAGATACCGTATGTAAACCCCAATGAATGCACTGAAACGCCATTGAATCAACGTTGCTAACAATTCTTTCTGAAATGGAAGCGACTCCGCTTGTCGCTTGCTGTGATACCGCAACAGAGGTATGCGGGGTTTAATTTGATTCAGCTGTTTTAGTTATGGAGTCCTTGATACTTACCTAACGGGTGCTATTTTCCATTATATTAGATCACCGAAATTATTTTTAGGTAAAGATAGTAGAGTCGTCGATAATAGTCTATAAAATCTCCCTCGAGGAGAGCGGGGCCAATAATGGTCGTGGGCTGTGGCGACGGGCTCTCGCCCGCTGAGGAGTCGCCCCCGACGCAATCTGCGCCCCGGCGACAGCTGTCGGGGAATTGGCCTAATTTACCAGCGGCCGAACGCCGCAATAGGTAATGGTATACTTTAATAAATCGAGGGCGCTCGATAAGGCGGCGGCAGCGCCCGCTTTGTGCCGCGTCTATGTCTATGCACCACCGATAAAAAAGGAACGTCCTAAGCGCAGGAATGCCGCAGGTTTTTGTTTTAGGCGGGCGCCGGCGCCGGCCGCATTAGGGCCCGCGACGAGACAACGCTTGCACATTAGCCCCTCGCGGCGCGCCGGCACCGCCGCGGACGCCCCAAGCGCCCACGCGCGCCAACCCACAATCGACTCTGGCGACGCGCAATTGGGCGCCTTTTGGCACGCAGTGCCGTGGCGGATGAGGCCTTGTCGCGCTAGCCACGATCGCCAGAGCTCGCGCTGAACGGACTCAAGCCTCCGACCGCGCGAGGCATTCCGACACCAACGCGCCTCGACTTAAGGCTTGGAGTGGTCTGGACGCGAGGGGTCGCAAGCGGGCAGCGTCTCACGCCCACTTATCGAGGAGACAATTTAGTCGATACGCGTGTCCGTGTAATATATCAATCGCGGCGGAGGCAGGGGGGCGGGGGGGCCACTGGCCAGGGGGGGGGGCGGGGGTGAGGTCCAGACGCTCGCAGCCTTATCTGCTGGACCCCTGCGACGGCACCAGCGAGGTCTTACGCACCGGTTACGTCGCCCTGCGGACCCAAAGCGAAGGATGTATTGCGCGTAGCCTTCCCGCATGAAATGTAATTCAATACAAAATTTCTTATAAGTACGAGAGATAACTTTATCATGTCATTAGACGCTTCTCAATTGGATCTAAATATGATTGACGAAGGTTCCTGCAACAACAACAACAACAACAACATTTATAAGCATCATCATAGACGGAATCATCTCCCTACGGAAATTTGGTGATCGATTAGAATAAGTTAAAAGTTAATATTAGGAACGTTCATATTAGAAGGCTCATTTTATTACAACCGGTGATAATAGAATGCATCAGTTGAATGTTTTACTATTATATATGAATACGATTCATACACTGTAATAGGTTGGTTTCCGAAATCATTCCTTTCTTTCAGTAAATATACATACATAAGTATAATATAATATAAAACATCTATTATAATTATGATTCTTAACACTGGTCCATCACATACAATATTGATTTCAAATATAGAGAAGACTTTGGTGTATAATTCCTTTTTGATTCATAGTTGTGGACACAAAACCACTTTTTTCCTTCAATAATTCAAACTTTAGACAGCAGTGTCCAGTGAACAGCGTGCAAGAGAGTACTCCATTATCGAAGAGACGGCATACCAAGGGGACATATTGAAACTGACTTAAAAATACTTTCATTTAAAAAGTCACTATCATTGCCCGTGTCAAAATTGGCTTCAATTAACCCAAATATCTGTGAACAGCAGACACTACGATTATTATCGTACTAACGAGGTATTCATTAAAATGGATTCGTTGATTGCAAGATAATTAAAAAGGATATAAATTAAAGTGCAATGTACTACAAAAACATAAAGTTGAAAGAATTTCGCCCCACCGCTTTACAGATCTGACGCGTGTACTTTTTCTTTAAATATCTCCCAAATATAACAGTAAATAATATTCTGAACCAAATGGTCGAGAATATTTTTATAAGTCTACTTTTAAATTTAAACGTTATTGTTATATAATTAATGTATATGTTTGGAAATATATATTTGGAATATATGTTTGGAATATATGATATATGTTAGGAAACGATATACACCCGTATCTAGGTATACCAGCCGTATCATAGCTGACGCTAGTCGAATAAGCAAGTCTTCTCATTATTTTTTCGATCAAAATTCTTCTTGATTTTTTTATCTTTTTGATCAATTTTTTCAAATTTTTGATTTTTGATTTAATTTTTTTTTATCTAAAAGTTGTTAGGCGGTTCAGTGTGTGTTATGTGAATACCTCCACTCCTCAACCTCTCCGACACCTGAAGGTTTGCAGATGAGTTGAAAATCTTTAAAAAGTTGGCCCCTGTTACCTCACTCACCAGGCGAAACATGAAAGTTATATAATTACATTGTCAATTTAATATCTCATGCAAAAATAAGGCTCCAAAATGAATTACTTTTGTCTATCTGTTATGGGAAAAATATGTCAAATTTTGTTTGGTTTGTTGAAGAACCGATTACAACTCTAGCATATTCCATGAAACGCAAATTAACCATTTAATTTACTCCGAACTAAAGAAATCGTAACGAATCAAATGATGAAGCCATTGACAACACAAACACGCTTGTTTTTAAGGGAAAACGAGCAAGGGGCTCAACTGATGGTAAGTTATCGACCGCCTCCAATGGATACTTGAAATATTGCATAAATGACAACCGTGCCTCCGACTTTTGAGTAAGCTCTCTTTTTGAAGGTCCCTAAGTAGTATCCGGTGACGCAAGGTAGTGAATACCTCATCAATCATCAAGATGACGGTAATTGAGGTTTAAAGGGTTCTAAGGTATAAATCCAAACTATTTTTCAGAGCACTCCCCGTGATGAATGCGATAGATTTCCTATCGCATTACACAGAAATGCAACATCTCTTTGCAAGACTAAAGGCCGAGATGATTGGACAGGACCTGATCATCGACAAAGGACCTGGTATTGGAGTGCCTCAGACCAGAGATAGGAACATGTGCGCCTGAATCTTATTTTATATTATGTGCTTACCACATCGAGCTTTTTAGAAGCCAACTGCCAACTTTGTTTTCCCTTCCAAATGAACCGCGAAATTGAACGTCACTCGATATGGCAACGACAAAATCTCTAATCGAGTCAGTGATAACAAAAGAAGTGCCCTCAAAAGAAGGAAATACGACGAAGGGGTTGACGATGCATTTGAACCCGTCAGTGAAATCGGAAGCAAATTTAATAAATTTTGCCAATGAAAAGTTTTCGGGTGTTTTAAGGTCAAAATACTTTCACAAAAATTTTACTTATACGTTTTATATTTAAAAAAAAGGAAAAACCTACGTGGCACATAAAACACGAGAATCCTGCCTTCAAAGTGTATTGTAATTATGCGCGACAATAACTTACGTATGTAGGAAATAAGTCATTATCATTGCACTAATGATGCGTCATTTACGCAACCTATCTCGTAAGGCATACGCCCACCCACACCGGAGAAGTGTTTAGGTACCTGTATCATAGGAACAAGTCTTAAAATAATTAAGTAACGTGATTTTTCGCATGGAAAGATATCGAATATTTTTTTATTGAGAAATTACTTTGTCAGGTTAACCACCATCCCATCTAATGATTAAGAGTGATACGGCTTCACTTAAAGCCTCACTTAACTAAGGATTCGTTTACCATGGAGCATGTGATACTACGAAATTAAAGAAGACGACTCGACGACTGTATAAAAATTTTTTAACCTGGAAACTATATGCCTTTAACTGAAACATTACAGCAACAGGACGATTGCATCCCTGTTGTCCACCATTGCAGTGTCTGCCTTCGATAAGAACCTTTTGGAAAGAAGCGGCGGCGTACACAATGGCTTAGAAAAAGGCCAATCCAACCGGGGAAGTACCACGGTTCTGGAACATTGTGAATGGCAATGAACGATAATTACTATCAGGTGAAATCGCTTGCCCAATTATTACCATCCGTTTGAAATAAACTACATGAAAAACTATCGAGCCACAACTGTATATGGCGCCAAAGTTCTTTCTTGTGGCGTTGTCAAAAATTACAATATAATAGCTCAATTCTATCCAAAGCAGTAATGAAAATTTTACTGAGATCTTTATGAATTGAAATGATTTTAAACACTTATGCGGTTCTTTTCGAATCCTTTGCAACACCTATGGGCACAGATATTGCGCACAGCATAGTTAATGCCTCAGGGCAGAGATGATTTGGATTACACTTTGGTTGCCCAAAGTAATAGATTGCGGATGCCTTGTAGATATATAATGGAGACTTTATGCCTCCTTTTGTCACTATTGGCAGTAAATATTGTAATAAACTTTGAAGGTCCTACTTTTACACTACAGATACTAGTGAATAGCAACACAAATTAATAAAACGGCCTATCAGCCGACCCCCTAGGTCGTCATTTTAATCATAGGAAAGCAGTTGTCAGGCTAACGTTGGAGTTTTAAAATTATAAAACTTAACAGGACTTTTATATGATGAATTTTGATGTCAAATATTGCTTGTCATTGCCATCGAAGTGCGATCTTTATAAATACAATCGTTAAAATATTTATCTCTACCTCCCACCTAACGGAATGTTGCACTCATATCTTGAAGATTATAAGTTCTTACTTAAACGTCTAATCTCTTTTGGATGACATGCAATAATGTGTACTTACACTTAAACAATAATTTTAGTACTAGTCTCTACAATTAAGATGGAAAAAAAGTTTTGTTTGGATAATTTTATCTACATATTTTACGTATTTATACTGAACCCAAAAGGCCGCAGCGGTCTGTTTGATATAAATTTCATTTCATTTTACAACAAAATTTAATTTAGAGTTACTTCTGTATGATCCATTAAATGATGTCTGAAAGCAAATCTCGGTGATTAATGGTAATTAAATAAACAGAAGAAAGGGGCCCACTTGGGTCGAATGCTCGTAACTTAATTAATTTTAATGAGAAAAATAATATCGAGTAGTAACAAATAAAAAAGGGGGACTAGTGAATAGGCTTTTATTAAAATAGTGTGTTCACCACCTCCGTCTGCATTCGCCACTCACCATCAAGTGGAGTAGAGAACAAACACTAGTCACTTTCTTGCAAAAATACTAATAACCTATATATTAAAATATTTTTTGTCTAGTGTTGAATTATTTCACCCAACCGAGTGGAGAATTAATTGCGAAATGATGTCGATTTGACTATCTTAGAAATATAATGAGGCGTTCGATTTGTCAGCTTAGATGCTTGCAGAGCTTTCAACCTAAATGGCTGTGGATTGTCAAAAGGCTCGCATTCTTAATTGGCACGATAACGTTTAATTAGTAAGAAATCAATTAAACACAACACCAGACGCTGTCATTGCAACATACAATGTCTCGGACAAGACCACGTTACATAACTGCTTTACAAATAAAACTTTGCTTTTATTATCCATTCCTTGTTCCACGCGTATAGGGTTTTATCTTTAAGAATTTTGAAGTTCCCACTTTTAATGTTTTTAATTTATACCCTCGTATATCTCACTTATCTTTCATATCACTACACTAACAACTTTTTTCCTGACTTCCAATTGCATCGTAATTTATGAATAAATATACGAATTATATGCAATTAATTAAAAGGCGCCAATGTTCTGTTACTGTACATGGTGCTTTTAAAACTTATTCTTTTTTAAATACTATTCAATAGCAAATTATGAACACATTTAAACTTTTTTTTCTATATCACGCGAAGCAGATATATTCACCATAGGGTATGGATTGTATTTCCAGTGGAATCTCAGCGCAAATACTTGCAGCGTGGTGCAATGTCAATTCATTGACTGATTCCAATGGAAAAGTTCACTGATGATTAGTTACTCCTGTTTATCACCAATTCCCTAGCAGAGCGTAACATCACTTTTATATACCAGAAGATAAATGTTAAAAAGTTTTGTTTTCTGGCGTACGACTGCACAACCAGCCGTATACGGCCGATGTGGAAACAATATTTATTTTGCAAAAAGGAGCAATAAGAGCAATTTACAATCT